TTGTGTCGACTTTCATCAGATCTCTGGGAGAAGAGTGGGACACCGTGGTCCCGCTTCTCTATGGAATGTCGAAATCCATGAAAGTAATCAGTTTTGTTACTGTTGAATTTCAGTAGTATTCCCGGGATGCAGCTCGGCTGTCCCGGAACGTTCCAGATCATTAGATAATTGTCTTTAGTCATATACCGGTAAATAGAAGAATATTCTAACTAGTATTACTACTATATAACTAAGCTTGTATGTAGTGTACGGGCATCAGTTTGCCCTAAAGCAATTCAAGTTCAATTCTCATTGCTATTGCAAACCTACACTACAATTATCTAATCGACCCTTCGACCCATTTTCCCCAACAGTTACCAGGCATGCTGCACGACTCGGGAACCGATTACTTGCCTTGAACATTCCCCAAGCCCTGACTGTGAACTCCACCATCAACAATTGCGAAGCTTGTCACGCTGCCCAACACAACCTGGTATGCACTAATCCCCAGTGCGGCGGTGCACAAGGAAAGTGTAGTCACACTGCAAGTGATTGCTTCTGGCCAGGGGGAGGAAAGGAAGGTCAATGGCCAGCCTGGTGGAAAGGCAAGTGGAACGGACCTGCAACTTCAGCAAATGCAGCTGACACATATGCTCTGCCGTGTGGACAGTCCCAGAAGCAACTGTAAACATTTACGATTGAGCGGGGATACAACATGTCGACTTCCATGGCGAGGAGGTCTTGGTATTACCTGGAGCGTTAATGGAGTGGAGCGAAGCAAATGAGGCAAAAATCTGCGTGCCTGTACCTACTTCTCTGAACACAGATTAGCACAGCTCTGTGGGGGATCTGCGCTCTGATCCGTCATCCAAAGACACCAACATAGAAGGCACAGGAAACATAAGCAAGTTCACAACTCCTGAGATGATGGTGGCAAGGATGCTACAGAAAGGACAGCCTTACCCAGACGAGAACAAGATCCACCCCAACTGTTTTATTGTCTTCGAGACCAGCAAGACAGAGCACTGTGTTATGGACAACCTCCTTGGCACAGATGTAATGTTCCCATCAGCGTGGATTCAAAACAGTGCCATGTTTGACGCTCGTGACTGGTATGCAACACTCTTGTGCCTGCGTGTTGCAGCAATACCAGTCCTCATGTTGCAGCAATACCGGTCCCTGTCAACGCAGCGGTCACAGCTAAGAAATAGTATCTTGTGATTGCGGACACCGGAGCAATAGACCACTGCTTCTGGAGTCGAGAGGACTTCACCGATTATACGGCTGTTGAGCACACGCAGTGGGAGGGACAAAGTTTTGGATTATTGACCGGCATTGTGACAAAGACGTACCTGTTCAATGGCCAAAAGAAAACAATCTTGCTTCACGCTCTCCACACCCCCGAGTTTGGCATCAACCTTGTATCCATCTCTAAGCCGGACAAAAAGGGCATAACAGTCACCATAGCAAAGGGCTAGCAATCTTCTCCAATCCAAACAGTACTCCATTCATGTGGGCAGAACATATCAATGGGATGTATCATCTGGGTTTTGATCAAGCCAATGTGACTGCTCTGGCTGCGAGATTGCGTGGCAGCCCAGCCCAGCAAGCAGAGGGACATGGCATTGGCGTCTTGTTTACATCGGCAAACCGGGGCTGAAAGCTCTGATGAGGGGAGAGGCTGTTGATGGGATGGAAGTGGTTGATGGCAAAGACCATGGACTATGTAAGGATTGCATCTCTGGGAAGCAAACACGCTGACCTTTCAATGGTGAACACAAGCCAGAAAAAGAAGTTGGCAACTGACTGTACATTGACTTGTGGGGGCTAGCGCAGACAACAGGGATTAGTGGGGCAAGATGGGTTTTCCATGCCGTGGATGGTGCGAGTGCCGCAGTATAGATGTTCCCGCTCAAGACCAAGGAAGCAGCAGGCACACTCAAAGCGTTCAAGCAGGTTAAGTCGCAGATTCAGATGCAAACTGCAAAGCCAGTTAAGCATGTTTGTGTGGACGGTGGTGGCGAGTGGCACAACGCACTATGGAGTACGTACCTTGCTCATGAAGGCATAATACTCAAGGCAACAACTCCGCATTCATCAGCGCAAAACAGAGTGGGCAAGCAAGGCATATGCACCACCATCTCCCAGGCCTGCTGTCTCCTGGCCAACTCAGGCCTACCCAAGTCCATGTGGCCAAAGGTTGTTGAAGTGGCAATATATGTGCAATGGTTCCACCCAAAGTAGCAGAATGATGGCATCACTCCCTGGGAAAGGTTCCACAGAACCAAACCTGATATCTCCTATCTCTGCATCTTTGGCTTGGCTACATATGCAAAGATTGTCCTGGCAGCGGCCAAACTCAGCCCACAGACGGTCAAGGTAGTGCTGGTTGGGAGCAGGGTCGTTTCTTCAACGCAGAAATGTGATATTCGACAAAGGCGCTGGGCACTGGTCACGGAAATCAACAGCAGGGGGAGGTGTCAAGATCAAAGATGGATTGGAAGCTGTTGACCATCTGCACGTTCCGATTGACTCTGCAAATGCCAATACTGACCAAAGTGTGCCACCAGATGTCACGACTGCCTCTTCTGAACCCGTTGTGCCAGTGTCAACTCCTGCATTAACCAAGACGTTTGGCCTGAAAACCCGTGGCTTCTCGAGTCGTACCCAGGAGGAATCCTCCACAGCTGAAGCCAGTAGCTGCGAAAGCAGCTGGTGAGGCATGGTCGTTGAAGAAGCAGTCAACCTGTTGCGACATCAATGATAGAAGCAGAATATGTGGCTCTTTCTCATGTATCTAAGCAAGAATGTGGTTACAGCAACTGGTACTCATCCATGGTGACAATATAGGCGACAATATAGGAGCGGAGGTGATGGCAAGAGATGCACGGGGCCATGTGCTTGAGTCAAGCATGTTGACATTTGCAAACACTACACTACATACGTGAACGCATCAAGAAAGGAGACATTGAGGTTAGACATGTCAATTTGAACAACAACCTTCAACAAGATCCTTTGAATGCGTGGAGGGGAGTGGGGCAGAGATGCCTATATGAGGGGGGAGCTTGTCCTCTCACGTTTCCTTTCTCAAACTCTTTTCTTTCATGTGGCTTGGCTGGCTATATAGCCAGGGCCTGTATGTTTTGCCCTGCCCTGTAGACAGATCTCCCTTAATTTGTAACCCCTTACGTTACTAAATAATAAGGTGTGCCGCATTAGGAACCAGCACCCATGACTAAGCGTCACACCGTGATAGAAGATGACGGCGGCCACGGAGAGAATACAGCTAAAGCACTCACATAGGGTGTTTCTAGAGGCCTTTAGGGCACCTGCTATGTGAGCAGAATTCTTTGTAATGCCTCCTAGAGAGCGTGATGTGAGGCTCAAGAATTTTGCATCAAAAGTTTTCTTTTATTGTAGAAAGTGATTTATCACTGAACTGAGCATTTTTTAATTTTGGGTCGTAAGATTTGAGCATTCACGTGACTTCCTAATTAGGAAGTGGCAGTGCTGTCGGCCTCGTGAAGCCCTTCTATAGTGTCATAGTAGCCGTACAAAAGCTCAATTATCCTTCGGACGCCAATTTTGGATCACATTGGTTGTATAAAAGTCCATATTTATACTAAAAAAGAGAGCTACATTTTTTGGACCGTGGATTTGAGCATCACGTGACTATCTAAGGGGTGCTGGTTACTAATGCGGCACACCTTAGTTGAGTTATATTATTTAAGACCACTGGTCTGGTCTGATCTGATTTTCTTCACATGACGTTCCACCTTGGACACCCCAAAATCCTACCTCGAGAGGTACCTTATTGCTTAAAATAGAATGTAGCTCAACACATCCAGCTATAACGAGCCAGTGTTAGTAGTTTTAAATATGGCCCTTTTTTTTTTCAGGCCTAGGTTTACCCATTTGTTCTACATCATTTTCCAAGTGATATCATCATGTGGACTGTTTTCGATGCTGCACTCTAACGAGTGATCTGATCACCCATGTGTATAGGTGAAACTTGTTCAGTTTTGCGAGGGCTACAACTTTGATTTCCCATCATTTTCTTTGTCAGCATCAGTCACATGCTTCACTGCCATGTTGAATGGCACTACTTTTGATCTCCCATCAATTTTTGATGATAGTGATGATGTAAATTTGATGATAGTGATGATGTAAATCTTATCTTATCTGTCAGACCCATATCTAATTGTAGTCGCTGATAATCAAATTGAAGACTTATCTAATGTTAATGCGGCTGTGTGTGATTGGATCATTATTGCAGCACAGCTTCCATTAACATGTGACTTCCTTTTTAGGACATTTTGATATTGATGTCTGTGGTTGATTATTCTAATCCCATCTTATCTTTAGTTTAGATGAGTATGAGGTTAGGGTAACCCTAATAGAAGGTTAGGTGCTTATCTAATCTAATCTTAGATGAGTCAATGAGGTTAGGGTAACCCTAGGTTAGGTGCCCCCCCCCCCACTTGCGAATGGTCCCATCTACCAGGATAAGAGACATAGGATGAGAGAGCTGAGGGCGATCGCAAACTCTCAAGCTCGGTGCGAAATGCACTAGATAGTGGCCCTATTCTATAGAACAACCGGTCATTAGAAGCATGCCCATTCTTCAGTAAACCCTCTAGCTTAGAGCAGGCCTGCAAGCCCTAGCCGTATTCCCTGCCCGTGGCAGCCAGACCCCCTTCCCCACCGCTCATATGTTGGGTGTGTTTGGTCAGTATTGATCACACGCCTTGATCGCTGTGCCACGTCATTCCTCATTGTCGTCCACGGTGAGCTCAGGCACACATTTTGATGCATGATGTCTCATCATTCACCGTGTCATTCCATCACTTTGATCACAGCGATCACACCGTCAATTCATCATCCGTCATTGCAACAACATCTGTCGTCGCTGTCATCAGCGCTCATCAGAATCTCTTGGCGTTGTCTTCCGCGATGAGCACCAAATAATTCAAATGTAGAAATAATCTGAAATGTATGCGTATACTACAATCTAAAGGCGGTCATCTATCTACGTCCAAGTCTATGGCCAGATCCTCTTCAGCATCTGAGGCCTCAACCGTGCTCACCACACCTTTTCGGCCTGTCTCGATTGAGCCGGGCACTGATTTCCACATGTGACGCAGTTTCCCTGCTCGCCGGTCATGGAAGCGTGCCTGCTTTTCAGCATACGCGTGCAATGCTTCGTCCATTGCTGGGCCCAGCTCCTCGGCCTCACGGCCAAGCCTCCGTTCTCTCCACCATGCTGCCCTCCACTCCTCAAACGCTAGCACACGTCGCATCTCTTCTTCAAGAAGATCAACCTCCTCCCGCCACCTTCCTGCCCGAGCCCTAGCCTTAGCCCATTCAACACGAAGCCCGGCAGTGAGCAGCTGTGCTTCATGTTCGGCTACAGCAGGGGACAAACTTGTGCTGTCGGTCTCAGGGTTCTGCGAGGAGGATGCTACCTCAGCCACTGGCTTCAGGCTGGTTCGCCAGATCCATGACATCTCTTTGGCTAAAGTCTCTGCCTCCCTCTCCTCCACGGTCTGCAGCGTACGTTTCTTCTTCTGCTTGCGCTGGGGATCAGCGAAAAGCGCCTGCGGCATTCCACGGATGTCCTTCTCTTCCAGCGGCCGCAGGATCCTTGACCATGCAGCATCACCCAACAGACGAGCCAATGCAACCAGAGCCGCTCTATAAGAGACATAAAAAAAAAAAGCCACAACAGCCGCTGTTCCATAGGCACCGTGGAAGCCAGAAGATGTGTCATGGGCACGCAAGGGCCTTGCGTGGTAAATATACCAAAATTACATATTTTACAGGCTTAAATTACAGTAAATTACAGTAAATTTTCGGGCCGGCGGCGCCGGTAAATTACATAAAATACAGGCCCTCTGTATTTTACCACAGACCCCCTGCAAAAAATACGTAAATTACAAGCCAGAATCCTAATTTTACCCAGCCCTACATTGCGCTGTGGAACTGGAAGCTCGGAGACGTCAGGCAGACGCTCAGGCAACGCACGGGTGGTAGGGAACGCTCTACGATGTTAAGTATGAGCTCTTATCACTCAGACAGGAGGTCGGGGGAAAATGACAAGAGAAAATTTTCGACTGTGCCTGTCTACGATCATCTTGTGGATCATGGAACACGGCACCGAGATGTGTGGGAACAAACGAATCTCCGAGCCGAGTCTTTTTCTTTTCCCCCACATTTACCTCGCGTCTTCCCTGCCCCCGGGCCCACACACTCTTTCTGCCCTGACCCGCTCCGCGCCAACACAATGATCACATTCTCCGCCTTTCTAACTGCTCTCTTATTGGCTCCGGCCGTCTTTGGCCACAAGGACTTGCGCCTACGTCATAACGCCCACGCCAAATCGATCTCCAGGCGCGCTAACACCGGGACGATGACCTGGTATCCGACTACCACTGGCCCGTGCGTCGTCCAGCTTCTTTCTTTAGCCCGGCACTCATCTTCTACAGGGACGCATGCACCGGGAAGACCCATACTGACAACGACTGGGTGCGTCACCGCCGCTTTTTGCAGGAATGTCTTGTTGATCAAGGTTATCCGTGATCAGTACGTTGCAATGGACCGCAGAATGTATGGCGACGGGTCTGCATGCTGTGGGAAGCAGCTCACGCTGTCGTATATGGGCAAGACTACGACCGCTACTTGCGTCGACGAAGTGCGTTTACTTGGGGGTCTTCCCGGCCCCAGTATCTGAATTGCCCGCTAGTGCATGACTTGCGACACGCCGACTTCCCTCGATCTGACAAAAGGTCTCTTCGACTACTTGACGGACAACTCGGGAGGCGGAGACTACCAGCTCACCTGGTGGTACGGCTCGGACTCTGGATCATCCGGATCAGGCGCTACAACCACGCACGAGACGACAACGAGCACCACTTCTAAGAAGGCCACTTCCACTTCCAAGACGACCCACACCACAACTTGCACCACCAGCACTACAAGCACCACTAGCACCACCAGCGCACACAAGACCACCACGTCAAGCACTCACACCACCACATCCACGACCAGCTCCCACAAGCCGAGCACGACCTCGGTTACGCATTCTTCATCAGCGTTGTCTTCGGTCTCCAAGCCCTCCGCTTCGGGATCGTCCGATGACGTCAAGTCGACCTCCGATACCGTTGTTCCTCTCGCTCTCCCGACACAGGGCGTTGCCAACGTCGGTGGAACCCCCGTCAATGGCAGTGCAGCCTCCAGTCCTGGTTCGCTTCAAGGCGCATTGGGTGCGGGCAGCGGTACTAGCGCTGGAGTTCCCTTGGCTGCTTCTGGGAAGTTTCTTGCGGCTCTCGGCGTTATCGCTGTAGTCGCGGTCGCTTGTTGATCGAGCGGTCATGCCGTTCAGCTAGATTGAGTACCTGCTACTCCAGCGCTTGTGCGCTCATACCCTGTTATCCATAGTAGTTAGTACAGGTTCTGGCCAACCACACAATTGTTGTAAACCTCCCTGAGGGAGTTATATCATTTAGTGTATCCGACATTTGAATCCCATCCTGTTCCTTTGTTCGTCGCTTCGGACGAGTCACCACCTTCTGCATCTCCGCGGAAAGATAGCAAGAAATGAAGAGCCCACGACTTGACGATTATGAAGTCGTCGGGCAATGCCTGCAAACCTACTGTGCAGTGTTCATATAGCTTCCGAACATTCGATGAGTTGTTCGAGGCACCTGCGTCGGATAGGAGTCTGGAATCAGTTGCTTCGATCTCTTCTTTTGCCTTCGACAGGCTCGATATCCGAGATAGGATCCGCTCCCGCCCCTTGATCTGCCTCGAAAGAAAGAACCATGGTTGAACGAGTTACATAAGAATCAGGCTGCATGCAGAGTGAGACATGGTTGATCAGACTCTTCTCTCTGAACTTTTTCAGTGGATGAGAGAGGCGAGATGGGGGAAAGTACGCACGAATCGAGCCCGAACATCGCATCCAGCTCCGACTGCATCCCCGTCACTGCTGCTCTGCGCCGGAAAAAACCGATTTATCTGTCTGTTCTGTGGGGTCCCCGCCGACTAGATCTCGTCTTCTCAATTTGGCCTCGATTCCCACCATTGTTCAGCGCTTATCCTGAATCTGATTATGCGACGAGCTTGGATGATACATCTTTCTGGACGGTCGCGGAGGAGGGGGAGGATGCGGGAAGGCTTATGTGACGGCGGTCGTCGTGACTTCAGCTCCCGCGGTACTTCATTTTGGCGTGCGGCAGGCACGTTCCGGAGTCGAGCTTCGGTGAACCCTTATAGCGTCGCCGCCACGGGTTCTTGAAAGTTGAGCCTTCCAAGTGCAGAAATATACTGATCTCGTGAATCTTCTACGCAACAGAAATGTATCCGACTCGATGAAAGATTCATTGCACCATCTTTTCACAGACGATAACAGCGGAGGGGACGACATTTGCAGTCTTCTGTGCCGTCCTTCGTCCGGCCGATCTCTCTTCGCTGCGTGTCTCTGTTCTATTTTTGTCTCTAGGGTGAGATGCTGCAGCTCTGTCACTCGCTCCATGGTACGAGGCGACTATATCAGTTTTCTGTCTCAGTGTGACGGGCGAGCTGATTGCCAGGACGGATGTTCCGAAGGTTCTCGAGTCATGATTGGTGTGGGTTACAGCCACTGGGCACCTCGTTCTTCATCCTGAAGTCATTTGGACGATGATGGTCTTAAGGCGAGCTTCTGCTCGGGCGGTTGTCAGCTTGGACAAGGCGCGGCAATCGGACGTCTACTCTCAGTCTAGTCTCCGAGTCTCCGATGCACTGATCCCTGCATGGCTCGAAGATCAATTCACCGTCGCGACATGGCTGGGACGTTCGTCACGCAGTGCAAACGGAACCCTGTCGAGATAACCTCCCCGTTCGAATTCTGGATTGCACGCAAGCAATTCATCTCTATCAGGCCCTCTGTCTAACAGGTTGATTGGTCCGATCTTCTCTGCCCTATACCCAGGATCGACTGTCATACGCGTGCCGTGCCGGACATCTATCTCATCCGGGACAAGTGAAGAAGCTCGTGCGATCTGTATGATCTCAGGCTTCCGCGGAGTATAAGTACTAGCGCGTGCTCGTTCAAATGACCCTTGCTCCGGCTTCCATAGCTCATCCCTTTGCATCAATTCCTGTTTTGACCATGGCTAGTGTTGCCCCTCCTCTCCCCGACGTTCGCCTGAGGTATGTGATAGTTCTGAGCGCTGATAATCCTAACATACGAATAGCTTTGGGCCTATGCTGATCGGAGTCTTCTTCAATATGATCCTCTATGGGGTGTGCCTTTTTCTACCTATAGTTTTCAAATAGAGAAATGACCTCGAACGGCCCAGGTCTTCGTCATACAGGTCCGGAACATTCACGAACATTGTTATTGGCCTAACTCGGGTCTCTTGCCGTCCAGATGATGACTTATGTCCAAACGTACAAGAAGTGAGTCTCTGGGTTGGCTGGTCAGTTATCGATCCTCATCTCTTCGGTGCTCAGGGATGCAATCTGGATGAAACTCTTCCTGTCCTATCTTTTCGTCGTGGAGACAGCGAACACCGGCATGGACATGGGCATCATATACGAGCCACTCATTCTGCACTACGGTATTTTATCACGCGTGCTTGCTTTTTCGGATTTCACTTAACCTCATCTAGGAGAAACACCCAAGTACTTTCCAACCCGTGAGATTCCGCATTTTCTTTGCTGTGATGCAGCTGAAGCCATGCTATTTCCGCCTCGCAGTCTTTATGGCCCGTGAGCCCTACTTTTTTCCATCTCAAACCTGCACTTACTGATCGCCGTGCTATATTTAGAGCCGCTCTGTGTCGTGCGTCTTTCAGGGGGACTTCTTTCCAGCGGACTTACGAGACGTCAGGTCCTGATCTCGATGCCAGTCCAGCTCTTTTTCGCATGGCGAATCAGACAATTGACAAAAGCTGTCTGGCTTCCGGTGCTTATCGCACTGCTGGCCCTTTCTAGCTTTGGTTAGTCTGAGTTGGCCTCGACGATATATGCGTTTATTGATCCGAGTTTGTTCTGTGCAGCGGGAGGTCTTTGGACTTCTGTGAGTGCGCTCTATTGGACAGGATCCTTCGCTGTGAATGAATTATGCTCTTCAGGTAGAGATCCAGATCCTGCGTCTCTTCGCCAAAAAACCGTTGCTTCATCATCCAGCTTTGGTGTGGTTCTTGACCTCCTGTGTCGCGGACGTGTTGATCACAGTCACGCTTGTCATCACTCTGGTATTCTTCGACGATCCATATCTTGGACGAGGACATCTCTCAGTTACTTGCAGTCCAGGAAGAAGACTGGTTTCACCGCGACCGATTCAGTGCTTGACAGAATCATACGCAGTAGGTTTGGGGCGGCCGGCGTTCAAAAGGGCTGTGATTGACCGTTCTCCCGAATTTAGTGACCATTCAGACTGGCGCGGCGACGTGAGTGTTTCTTCCTGTCTTCGCGATCCATTCCATCAGCACTGACAGTTATTTTCATAAAGTGCCTTGTTCAGTATTCTGGATGTCGTGTGCTTCATGGTTCTCCCGGTATGTTGTTCTCAAACCGAAATACATCATCTGACCTAGCACCAAGCACTATGCTGTGTGAGGATTCTCCGATCCATGACTGGCTGTTCGCTCTGATTGGGTCAAAATGCGTATAGAAACTTCATCTGGGATCTGGCACTATCGAAGTTGTATAGCAACTGTCTCCTGTCGACTCTAAATGCACGCGCCAAGCTCAACTCGGCCTCGCATGGGTCGACATATCAGCAGCATCAACCCCGAGGATATGTCATCTCCCCCCGCGGGTCCGGCAAAGTGCGTTCCCTACTTATGGATACACTTCGAAACCGACCGTTATTCAGGACAGCTTCCTCGATGCTCAGGCAAAATCGGTGAGGGCAATTCTTCTGCTCAGCTGCGTCAACAGCTGAATTCTTCAAGGGTTTCCCTAACGATCCCCTCGAGTACGGCATTCGGATGACGAAAGTCGTCGAGCGTATGCAGGATCCTCTACCCGGATCGACTGCGGATGCCTAAATCAAACTTCCGAAGCTGCAGGTCAGTAGTTCGACAAGTTTCACAGAATCGTAGATTGTCAATGCTGAATTTTGTGAGGATATAGTATTGACAAAGCGGACTGTAAATGTATATATGTTGTAAATTGTGTACGATCCATCACACTGTGATTTCTCCCCAAATGGCAATCAGTATTACTAAATAATATGAGGCAGCACACCGATGAAAACACGTGCCGCAGGTCTCCTATGATGATATGATCGATATCCGGTCGTATCGTGCGATCAGTCTCTGGATCCCGTCGGTCTCTCTCGATGTCCGGCTCTCACCAACATATGGCCCTCGATCTTTGTGTTCCAGGCCACAGTAGGCACTGCAGACAAAAAAAGACCCGACCTCATTGCCTGCAGCCGGCATAGACGCCGCAGGCCGGTAAAACGCTGTAGCACCGCAATCCTCCGACACGCATTGGCAGCACCGCATTCCACAGTGCCTGCTGTTCCAGGGATGTCGGTCCGCAGTCCTTTATAGCTGTAAGGTCCTTTTCCAGCATTTTCATCACATTGCCTTTCTACGTTACACACCATGGTCATCACAGGCGTCGCAGACTCGGTCGCAAAGTTTCCCAACAGCTCACAGAGCGTCAGGGACTGGTTGTCCCGGAGCATGTCCCAGGGATATCACGAGCGACAGATATCCGCCTCTAGTCAGGTATGCAGCAGTGAAGGCTCGCACTCATCATCATCACACTACTCTCCAGGAGTCCGGCCGAGGGCAACACGAGTTCGTCGGGTGTGCAGCGCAATCGGCGTTCCGCTCAATATTGTCAATGGACTCAAACGTCCGCACATCTCTGCTCGAAGACGCGTCCCGCGTTATGAATCTCGCGGCGCAGCTTCCGCCATCGCAGTCGAGTCTTGCACTCGAAGAAGCCTTGTCGTGTTCCTTCGAAACTCTCCGGTTTTGTGATCAAAGTGCGTGGAGAGCTAGGTACTCTGTCTGTTTCACTCAAGGTCTGCAGACAGACCCCGGTCTGTATTCAGCCCCGTATTCCAGGGCTTTGTTCTCCAACGGCGTCTGAAGCGGGCCGAAAGGAATCTCGTCCGCATCTTACACGCTGCCGCATGATTCATTGGTCGTGTTGATATTCTCTTTGTAGCGATAGGCAAACATTGTATTACTATGACGTTCCGGAATATTTCGCTTGGAGAGCATCATGAATTGCATTGTACTACTCTACGAACACTACATACTATATACATACTATATACCAAAGCATTGTGAAAGCTGGGACAGATACAAGATAATCGATAGCAAGACTAAATCACACTTTCTGGTTCTCCAGGCCGTCCACCAGAGCCCGCACCTCTTCGATGCACTCCATCAGTCGCGCATGAACCTCTCGCGCATTCTCCAGCAGTGGCTTGATATTCTCCGGTGTCATAGCCAGCTTTCCTGCGGTCATCATCGCAAGAACCGCATCTGACGACGAAGCACTCGGCGGCATCGACCGCACCGAACCCGTGTTCTTGGCTGGTCGTCTCGTCGTCTTGGTTCCTGTAGGCGGTGGTGGTGAGAACACGGGAGATGGCGGCTGAGACGCATCCTCGACCGTTTCATTGACATTCGAAAGTCTCGTGATGCGGGTGACAACCGTAGCCCCATTCGCACCAAGTGATGTATTCGAGTTGGGAAGGAGCGCTGGATGCAGATATGGCGACCGGTTCCTCCCGCGTATGGTCTGCTGAGGATGCTGCTGCTCTGCTTCAGACGAAAGCCGATCCCAATCCTCCTCGCCCTCGTCATGACTGACACCCTCGCTCGAGCTCTCATTTGGCATGCCAGTCGGAGTCTTGTTCCTCCCAATCCTGAAGATCGATGCCAGCGACGGGCGCCGTGGCGATGCGCTTGCGGTCTTCGCTGAGTTGTATGGGGAGCCGGGCTTCAAAGATATAATTTCAGGTCCGGTACTCGTCTTGGCACGCCGCCGGCTGTGGGTCGAGTTATGCGTCGAACGAGATTGAGACGATGAATCTGTACTGAAAGATGTTGTGGACGGAATCGGGTTGGGGTGATGAGATGGATTCGACGAAGAGGATGAGGCACCCCCACTTCCGCTTCGAGCAAGACTCTTCAGGAGATCCCGGAAACCACTCATCCGCATCTTGCTGCTCTTCCTTCGCTTCTCCTTCACCCTCTCTTTGCCGCTACCGTGATCCTCCTCGGACGGCAGTGTGATCGTGCTTCCCATAGCATCTGCACCCCACCGCCAGTCCCGATTAACCACAGTTCCTTCCGGCACCCCATCGTCCGTGCCAAACGAGTCGTCCGCTGCGGACGGCGAGCTCAACAGCTCTTTGAGCAAAGCCATCTGTCTAGAATTGAGCTCCGCATTCGAATGCATGCTTCGTCCGGTCGAAGCACGCCAGGCTAAGCTGGGCGTGCTCGCTGTCGGCAGACTCGCTGAGGTTGGCAAGGCCGCAGAATCGTCCGTGAGGGTGATCGCACGAGCGCGTGACTTCTTGCTGGATGTAGATGTCGGGGGGATAGCAGGTGCTGACGTACTACTTGGAGGTCCGGCCGAAGACCCTGCTCCTCCCAGCTCGATCAGTAGCTCTGCACATTCCCAGGAAATGCGGTATCGAGAGTTGATGGTATAAAAAGCCGCGGCGAGCTGCTTCCAAGCTTCCGGTGGTGGGGTAGAAAGAGAAGCGTTGGAGCGATGTCGTTTGAAGAATGATGGTGATGGTGATGGTGATGTCGGTGCTGCTGGAAGGAGACGAGCGTCGAGCACTGCCTGCACCTCAGCGACCAGGGACTGATAGGTGCTTTGTAGCTCTTTGAGGTCTAAAACAAAGAAAGTGAGACAAGGGCAGCAACATGTCGTACTAGAAACACAGTATTGACAGAAAACAAAAGAGGATGGTGCCAGATTGGAGGCGTGGAAGAGGTGCAGGTTTGATAGGACAAAGGATACTCACCTTCGACGTTCCTGGCAAACTCTCTCACCATTCCTAGATCACGGCGCAGAGCGCCTTGAGCTTGGCTGATCCGCGCAGGAATCTTGAGGTCCCCTAGCGAGTTCCTTCGCATTGCGCTTGGACTTGCTGTTATTGCAGCAGCGACAGCTGCTGATGATCGACCAAGAGAGGCCGTTGACTGCGGGTGAACTTGCATCACAGGTGTCACTGGCCTCGAGTGATTGGACTTTAGAGGTGACTTAGACGGCTGCAACGCCGTGGAGGGTAAGGATGTTGTGGATGCCAACGAGAAGGTCGTTCCCGTCAATCGCGACCCTGTTGCAGCATTCATGGTTTGCGGTGGGGACGGTGGCTGAATCTCCAGTCCAGGCGTTGTTGAAGACGGTTGCTCCGTTTCCTCTAGACCCGTGGCACTCTTCGTCCGTTTATGCTTCTGACCTCCGACCAGACTGATCTTCCGCACGCTACGCTCGACGAAACCCATCTTTCTGCCCAGATCTTCGACGCTGCTAGAGCCAACGCCGGTGGAAGAAGGTCGACCGACACCGAGAGCTCCATACTTGGTAGGACTCGGATGCAGTGATCGACCTGCCGTCTTCTCGTCACCATATCCTGGGTGTCTTCCACGTCCTATAGGCACAAAACTGCCGGGGTGCTGTTTGACTAGCAGCTTCGATTTCGGACCAGAGAAATCGGGCAGCGGGGTCGGGGTGTGCGGTCGACGCTCGTCTCGCGTTCGCGAGGTCGAGCGAGATCGAAATCGGCGGCGACCGGGGGAAGGACCTCGGAAGAACCATCCGCCATTGTCCCCGGTCGCTGGGGTTTTAGGCTGGGGATTGGAAGATGGATTCGGGGGTGTCTGCGGTGTGTACAAGCTGCCCCTTCTCGCTGGGGTGCTCGGAGTTCCAGTGTGATACGAATGACGGTTACGCGAGCATGAACTGGATGGCGACCGCTGGGACATGGATCGGCGCGGGGTCAAATCCGCATTTATATCGGCCGTTATATCGCGGATGACGTCGGTCTCTGCTTCTGCGAGAGTGATCAGCTTGCAATTGGACTGGAAAGGTACGAAGATTACCCATTTCGCTGCCGACGCTCATACTACTTCCCTTTTTTCTCCGACCCCATCTCTTCATACTACCAATCCGAGAAAGCATCCCACCCGGAGGCAGCACTGGCGCTTGGGCTGCTGCTGCAGGCTGCATGGATATGGAGGAAGTGCTTGCTCCATACGGATTGTTGGTCGACGAGGGCGAGAGCAAACTGTCAGTCTGATGATCATGAGAAGCAGGGGCCTCGGCATCCCAATCTTCTTCTTCTTCTTCCGCACCTGACGAGGAAGATGCACGTGAGACCTCGATAGCAGAAGTGAGAGCAGCGGGCCGGCTCTTCTTCCGCAATCTCCTCCGCTCCCGATGTATAGGCGGGCTAGGGGGTAAACCAGCCAGACCGGGGCCGATTTTCTTCTGTAGCCTGCGTCCGGTACCACCAATGAGCCCTGTTGTGCTGGAGATGGTTTCCGGGGCTGAGAATACGCTGGTCGTTGGGCTGCGGGGGAAAGGTTGAGGAAAGTCCTCGACAGACAATGCGCCCAAACCTATTCCCCGGGTCGAATAGCCGACGGTCGCCGGAAGCGGTGGGACGGGCGGTGGAGGACTAGAGTTCGTCGATATGGTGTGTGAGAACACCCGTCGATTATGAGCGGTAACGGTACGATCCTCATCAATACCATCGGCGAAGCCAAGTTCCTCCTCAGAGGAGGACAGCGAAGCACGGGATCCCGATCGAGGTCGCTGGCGTGCGGTGGCCCCCGAGCCAGAACGAACTCGCTGCTGTCGCTTGTTCGCGCGTGGGGTACGTGTCGCCGAGAGAACATGAGCGGAGTGAGGCCGCAAGTTGACGCTTTCATCGTCTCCGTGAGCAGAGGACCCGGAGGATTCGTGATGTGGTGCTTGTGCATTGACTTGAAGAGATGTCGTTCCGTGTGTCGTTGTGTCATCTTCGTAGAAGTCGTCCCAGTTCTCGGCGCTACTCTGGGACTCCTTGTGGACGTGTCGTGGGCGTGGTGGTGAAGTGCGAATGTCGTGGTCGTTAGAATTGGATGCGGCGGATGGTGAACTTCGCGCACTTTGGGCGTTGAATTCAAAGTCGTCGTCCCAGTTTTCGGACGCTTCTACAGAGATTCTTCAGTACGACGACAAAAAGACGAGAAGCAAGCAGGAGAGAGAGAGAGAGACTCGTTCGTAAACTCAGACGGGAACACGGGTGCCATTGGACCTCCAGCCTCGTGCTATGTCGCGTAGTAAAGACCTTATAGAGGCCATACCCACGCCAGCTGGCTAAGTGCTCACGACCCAAGAGACCCATCTGCTCATGCTTCGCACCGCTCGATGCCCGTGTAAAGCACACACTCCGCGTCCGGTCTCCGTCGATTCCGTCACGAGCGATGGAGCAATGCAGAAACGTTACAAACCTGCATAGTGTGTCATTTCGGAAGATCATATAAATCTAAACGTTCAGTGAGCGGACATCGCTGATTGTTCCAGCAGTGGACGTACCGGCGTGGTTCCATGCAAAAGGCTCTTTACGGATGACGTGACACAAGAGAGACGGTCACACGGTGTCGTGATCGTGATTGTTGCTCGCGATCGCGATCCGAGTCTTCATGGCTCAACTCGAAGGTTGTACCTCTTCTTGTCACTGAAGCTAGTTCGGACTTCGAGGGGAATAATTATGTCTGTTGAGAGCATCACCGCTATTACGCAAATCGATGGTCGTGACAAAATATCTCAAATGTCTCTCATGATGAATGCTTGCAGTCCGCGATATTCTTCTGATGACGTGGTCCATAACATTGCGTTGGAATCCGAGAACACGGGAGTCGTTTCAGCCTAATCTCTGGTTTATTTTCTCTCACATCGGGGATTGGGTTGTATCACAATCATGCTGAACCGTCGGGGGAACGACCAGAGTCGCCATAGTTCAGCTAACATTTCAAGATCTCCTGCATTGACACTCGCTAGACGTCGACATTGGGCGTCATAAGCTGTACGGAATGCTGTCTGAACCCTCACTACGCGTTCCCGCGTCCCTATAAAGAGCAGGGAGACTAGGCAGGCTGAACTGTGCCAACGACGGACCATTGAGCCGGACTGCTCGCTACTATGGCCTTTATACAGCGCGCTATTCAAATTGTACAACCGGATGGAGCTAATCTCGTGGTATCAACCTAGTTGGCGGAAATATTAATTCATATGGGTTCAACCTTTGCAACACCGCGACATTTAAGTCAGGTAAAACAACTAACGCCCTAAACTAGTGTTAGATGCCAATAAACCCCTCGCATTTATTCGGCCGCCGCCCGTCCAAAGTTTCAGATTAAAAATCACCCTAACCCATGACGAGTCTCGTGAACATTTAAAACCTTGTATGAACATTACTGATAAAGCATATCAGTTGACCACGAGCCTCAAGACAACGTATTGACAGGATCAGTGGTCACGAAATCGAAAATCCCATCCGTCGCAGAGTGGCCTCTTCAATCCCTTGTATGCAGATCGATATGCATGTTTGCGACAGGTTGATGGCATCGGTGCAGAAACCCGCGGAACTACACTCTTCAGGGCTGAATCTGGTAGATAACGACCGGGACACCTAGGCAAAGGGACACGAATGCTATTCTAGCAGACGTGTATTGTCGTTACAATACAAGCAAGCGTGCGAGGGTACAAACGACACAGCCCCCGCAGGAAAGAGATTGGGCATCTCGGGTGATCTCGGCGGTATGCATCCGATCATTTGATGGAGGAATGATGATCGATGGATCGTTGGTTGAAGTTGAACCAAGATGGGGAGGTAGTCAGTGTTGTAAACTTGAAGGTTCGGGAAAAGAATTGCTATGGATGAGAATAGATGTGATTTCTAGAGTAACCGTCACAATAGATAATACAAACGCGACTCTGCGTTCATCAGCTGCGTGCAACCAACTCGACGACTACATCGCGTGAGAAATCTGCTATCACATTCAAGCTTCCGGGATCCATTATTGGAACCTGTTCCACCGACGAAAAGTCAAAGATCTGGAGAAATGTAATCACCCAGACCTTCATGACATGATGGGCAAAGATGCGGCCTTTGCACTGGGATTGGTCGGCATGGATTCTCGAATGATCGAATAGCCGCACACGTACCATGTGAGCACCTGAGCCCCAAGAAATAATCTTCGCAGTTGGTGTCGCGCCCTTTTTCTGAACGAAGCGATCAGCGCTGAACTTGGCCGCTTCGGGGTAGACATCGTTGTCAAAATGATAAGGCCGAGGATTGACCATGAGCAAGTCGCCCGCCCGGAGAGGAAAGGATATCTCTCTGTTCTCGGTGGGAAACTGTAGATCCTGGGCGACGACTCGAAGACTGCCAGGCATGGTACACAGCCGAAGAGTCTCTGTGACAGCTGCATCCGCATACGGAAACTGGCGGAATAGCAGCTCTTTGTCCGCACCGAGCATGCTTAGAAGGTCACCGTCCGACTTTCCTTCGATCCTCTCCCGAATCTCAGTAAGGAGACCCTCGCGAGCTTCAGCGTCGTTCGCCAGATAAGCCATCATCCACCAAATCGACTTCAGCAGATTCGAATTGACGCTCCACAGGAGGCTTAGCAGACAGACAGCCTTCTCATGGAGCGGCAGGATCTCGACAGATCTAAGTGCACTTGAGACGATTTCGGCCGTGGTGTCCGCGAAGGGGCCGTTCTCCTCGATGTACCCGACCATGACCTTCAGCAGTCGGTTCCGTGCACTCTTGGCTGCCACGGCAGTGAACGCGAGGGGGCTCATGAGAGTAGTCATAGCGTCATCGAGCCTAACAAAGTCGTCGTAGGTATCCAGGGGGAAGGAGGGGCCGAATATCACACTGGTCAAGGTCGAGTATAGAGTCTTCCCGACGATGTCTCCCAGCCGATGGGACGTGCGACCAGACTGAGAAAGCATCTGGAACCGCTGCCGCAGCTGCGCGTGGAGTGGAGTGCTGATACCATCTGCGATAGCCCTGCGGGAAAGATTGCGTCCGAATGTCGGCAGGAACTGCTCATGTACGGGAACTGACAGCAGCTCAACATTGCCAGAGCTTCCCAGCGCAACCAGCGCACGGAAGTGTGGCTCGCGGTGATCCAGGGCGTGATTGAAAAAGAAGTCCTTGAACATCGATGCTGACGAAAGAATGTAGAGATTCCGCAGTCCGACATTCAGCTTGAAAGTCGAACCATAGCGCAATCTGACCAAGGCTTAAAATTCAGTAGCGAGTCTGGCGCATGAGCGCATTTCGAACCTGGATTTTTCGAGCAGAGGGATTCGACGCAGGTAGAAGAGCAGGCCAGTATCGAAACCAAAGAATCGAGTGGGAAGGGAGGGGATAATGGATCTGTCACGGTAGGAGTCATAGGCCAATAAACCGAAGAAGCTCAGAATGAGGGTGCCGGGGACGAGATAAGTCGCGCTATCCATCTTGTTAGGATGAACATCCCACCCCAACGGTATATATATGTTTAGCTCTCTGGAAAGCGCTGTAGCTTGATAGGCTGTGTGGTAATGGTCTAGGGTGCGGCTGCACACACGATCAGTATGATTGGGTACAAGGTTTCCACTGGACGTACGAAGGTCGTTGATCAGACAGATATGATTTAAGGCATTCCTTCGATCAGATCGCCTAGCGGAACAGGATCAACTTGCGTTGTGCGCGAAACCAAGAACTTAATCACGGGGTTCTCAAATATATATATATAGAAGTTCCTGTACTACAATCAATCGAGGCTACATCTCACTAGCAAGAACTTCGATTCTATCTTTCTTGATCAGCAGACAGGCTCACAAACTGACAATTGCGGCAGCAACACTCAAGAGAAACACCGAGTCAACAGACTGAATATAACCCGTGAGAACGAAGTTGCGGATCTCGGTTGGGAAAGAGAAAACTGCTTTGATGCTTGAAAGAGCTTGAAAGAGCTGTGGCGATCGCGGTTGGATCTACAGATCTCGGCGATTTCACCGAGACGATGTTTCAGCTGGGTGGAAAAGACCGCTCCCCCGATGGTGTGTATTCGGTCGAGCTAAAGTGGGCCCCTGCTTCTGCTCCGCACTCTGTGACTCGTGCGAGACCAACCGCAGGACCTGATCTAACTGCCACGAAACACCATTTGTTAATGAAAGAATGGTTGAATGAGGAACGCTTCGTAGCATCAAAAACCAGAAACGATTACCTGAGAAAACTCCGCCGAGAAGCGGCCCATCGATCGAGGCAATTGCGTAGACACATCCGAAGACGCTCATGACTGACGGTCTTTGCCGAATGCTTGTAACCTGAGAAATATCATCAGTTACCGTCTACGAAGTGAAAAACTGAGCAGGGAACAAACCTTGGCTATAATGTACATCATTGAGACCATGAGACCAGAGGCGCCAACACCAGCAAACACTCTTCCGAATATCAAGACATTCACGTTCGGAGAAACAGCACAGAGCAGGCTGCCAACTTCGAAAATGCCGATGGTCACCAGGAGCATGGTTTTGCCTGAGAAGATCTAGGGTTAGCGCCAAAAAAAGAGCATGAGACCGGCCTGTGAGAGTTGTGAGCGAGAAGAGCGTAGCTCGACGATGAGGCGCTGCGTGTCTGGGAAAGAAAGTAGGTGCTGACGATCCACGACCGATCCGTCAAGGCTCAAGCCTAGCGGTCATGAATCGCGGCACTCAACGTGAAAACCACCTGCTTGACGGTCTGCCCCTGAACGTCAGTCTGCGAGACATTGGTAGAGGTAGTATCTTCAACGTCTTTCTTCGTCATCAGCTTGCGTTTGGGTCGACAAATGGGGGAGCAGTAAAACGATTTGGATGAAGTCGAGTCAACGGGGTGAGAGCTGCGACAATGGGCTGCGCGCTTCTCTCTGACATCGTGGAGTCTCTACGACAACGTTCCGGCCTAACGGGGATTCGAGAAGGCTTTCAGACGCTGTGACTCATCTTGAGCGGGGACATATCTTGATCAAAGATCGGGAAAGTAACAAAGGGCGAGAAGGGTAACGAGGGCGACGCAGAAGGACTTGGGGTTCAGCGACACCCGTTTCAAGCACATGAGAAGTAAAATTTTGCATCGTCTTCATCAGCCGTCGTTTTCAGGCTAGGAGGTTAAGTTCCGAAAGTTGAGCGATCCATCATCATGCATCATGGAGGGGTCACGTCAGCATCTGTTTTGATCTCTCCCCGCTCCGTCACCACAGCCTTGTGGATTCAAATTCTGGATTCGTGCGACGAACGAGCCTTAGAAGACCCTTTGATTTCTTTCCGCCTCCGATCGATTCCAATTCGATCTGGTCGCGTACGTCGCGTTTCGCAAACAGTGTCGCTCTTACCCACGGCAGCTTTTTAGGCACACCGGCGGGGACCTGGGCTCACTGCTTCACTCCCGTGGAAGCAACGATGGATTTCCATTTCTCTGCGCTCTATCCGGGAGACAGGTTCGCCACCGCGTCGGCCAGGCACGAGCAGTATCTGTTCGCTTAGTTGCTGCTTTGACCCGACATGCGCGTTCTTGCAGTGGGATGCGGCTCCGGACGGGCATGAATTGAGTTGTTGCAGCACGAGCAAGTTTACCTAGGCGGGATCGAAGAAGACGAGCACAATGTAACAAGCCCATCCTCTTAGCGCCTTCCTCGTCCGAACTCACCGTCTGCGCGAAGGTTCGCGTTCCTCAGGAGAGAGCTGCGAGGAGCGGATTCGGATCTCGAGTCGAGTTTGTCTATCGTGAGTGCTTCCCTTCAGTTCCTCCACGGCACTAATCTCGATCCTTCCAGTGAGTCCTCATGCCTGTGCAAACTATTTTGGGCCGGCGTCCTTCGACGCCGTTTTCAGCATTGAAGCTCTCAAGGTGAGTCGGGAGTAGATCTTGTGAGCTGTCTGACATGCATCCAGACGGCCTCATTCTACTATGATGTCTATGTCCCATTGGCCACCGTTCTAAAACTCGGCGGAATGGTATGTGTGCTCCAATCATCTCGCACGCGAGGATGGTGACCAGAACTCAGATGGGCCTTTACGAATGGTGCTGGACATCAAGTGCCGACCCGTTGTTTCTCGATCACGTCCGGCTCGCTGAACAACTTGAGCGCCAGACCCACATCAGTCATGGGCCGCTCGCTGATCGTGCATATCAAGCAGCTGCGGCTTCCGTGGAGCGGACTTAGATGATGAGCCTTTTCGAGACTGAAGATCTTGTTCAGCGCCGCTCCACGCTGTCTTGGTATGCACCGCTCCTTCGGGGATTAGCCAGGTCCTCCACTCGCTGGGCATCTGACGCGGACTGCAACGTAACGTTCGGGGCATTGACTCGCGGCGGGGCTGCAATCCTGGCCCGAGCTGGGCAGCTCAAAGTGAGTACTGCCTCGTTATCGGGTGTCAAGCTGTTTACGATTCCCCAGCTTTTCACACCAATGCTCCTTGTTGCGCAACGCGTTTGACTCGGCCCTGATAGTCATATTACCAAATCGACTGAATCTAGTTTTCCTTCGCTTCCATCACTCTGTCAGGTTTCATGTAGTCTTCCTTTGTGTACTAGCGTTTTTCTTGCCGTGAGACGGTGATAGTTCTTGAGCTTAAATATTTGGGTACAGTTGTAATATACATTAGTTGTGCGCGCTCCCATGTCTAATTCTTCATCGAGCCGCGTTCGAGGCTGCCCTCCAGCTGATCTTCTCTGAAATGAAGAAGACATGCACGGAGAACTACTCTCAGCGTCCGCAGTCCATGATGTAACACATGCACAGGCTGACTTGAGTCTCATCAATCGCATTCCTTCTCTTCGACATCATCTTCCGGATCAACAAGGAGGTCAGTCGAGTTATATGAGTAGTAGTAATAGTACATAGTGTAGGCTACACCCCTGTAGCCTTCCCTCTTGTTCAGGGCGCCCAAGGCCACCAAAAGATCTGGAAAAGTGCGCAAACCATTGCTAATTGTCCTAAATGAGATGCTGCACACCGGCGTCCCACTTCCGGCCAATGGTGCCCAGAACGAATTCCGCGGAGGGTCTGAAAACGATCACTTCCCATCAGCGTGTTTGATGGGATGGGAACGCACAGGGCAATTTACACGACATCCGTATTTTTATTACATGAGTCGTTAGCTGCATATTTGAGGACGTAGGATCCTGAATTTTATCTTTTTTGCATCAGTGGTACCTGCAGAATATCACCATCTTTCGGCGCACCCACCACTCTCAGAGGTCAGCTCGATATCTGGGTACGCAGGGGGTCTGCAGTTCATCAGAGACATCCAAAAGTTTTTCAAGAATCATAGAATACGTCTAGCGCTATGAAAACAATATATTTACTGCATTGTAGAGGGTCCGAGACGACATAACCTCGTCGAACTTCATCTGGTCACGTCTGGTGACAGAAGTCACATGAGCTTGCACCATCGTCCGTCTCTCTCCTCACAGATCCTATCGCTTTGCTCCACACACTTCGACCACCAACTCACGGCCGCCAACTCACGGGCCCAGGACGATGGATCGGGAGGTTTGGAAATCCTGGGAGCCGGTTAGATGCGGGGTCGAGTGGAGTGAAAAATGTGGATGGATGACACCCAGGTGCGTCCTTTTTTGCGATTGGTCTCCCACTCTGCCCATCCAGCATCTCGTGCCACAAAGCCGCCGAGCCCACCTGAGATCCATCCAAAGCTCTGACCTCTCTGCTAGGTATGACAAAATCGAAGCCAGCACCGAAGCCAGCACCAGTGCCGCGGACGACATCTCCCCTCCTACAAGCTGGACTACCGCCAATCTCGTTCCGTGGCTGTCAGCACACGCTGCATCGCTTGCGGAAAAGGACATCCCCCGGGGGCGATATCTTTGACCAGGGCTTTGACAGTCTCAACGCGACGTTCTTCCGCCACCACATTGTCGGCGCGATGAGCAAGTCATCTGACTCGAGTCGCGGGGCAGCCGCGCCCAAGATTTCGCACGACCTCGTGTAGTCCCATCTAACGATCGAGTCGCTCGCTGCTGCTCTGTCGGCATTCGCTTCTGGAACCCCCGGTAGAAGCTGTGGATCACAACGTTGCTGTCGAGGAGATGATCGCGAAGTATCCGGCTGGACTGAACACGACCGGAAGGGGGCGAGGTCGTGTTACTGACAGGGTCGACGGGAGGTCTTGGCTGGCATCTCCTCGAGATCTTGCTCAAGCACCCGTCCATTTGTCGCGTCTACGTATTGAACAGGCCCAACTCGCACGCGACTTCTGCCTCTCGACAGAGCGCTGCGTTTTTGGACCGTGGACTGGATGCGAAGCACCTCATCGACCCAGAAAGGCTCTTGCTCCTCGAGGGCACTGCAGCTGACCTCGAAGAGTCTGTCTTCCAGACTGTGTGTGAGTGGATCGTTCGTTGTTCAAATTTGCCGTGCAGTGCTCACCGACGTCGCAGCTAAGAAACGAACTCAGCGCGATCGTACACAACGCCTGGACTCTTGATTTCAACAAGTCGCTGACGTCGTGTGAGCCGCACATCAAAGGCACGCGCAACCTGATAGATCTTGCCCTAGCCTCGGAGACTGGAGCTCGATTCCTGTTCACGTCATCTATTGACACAGCTATCGGGATCCAAAACGAGGTCCGTTTTCGGAGGAGCTTCAGCTTTACTCGAGCGCTGCGTAGGAGTAGGGATAAGGGGATGGCAAAAACGTAGCTGAACGAGTGCGTATTTCGAGGACGACTGTGGAACCTAGGACTGAACTAAGGCGCAGATCATCGCTGCCTCCGGACTGGACGCCACGCCTTTCCGTGTCGGGCAGGTATGCGGCTCGGCTCAAACGGGAGCGTGGTCGACGACCGACTGGGTGCCGAGTCTTGTCAAATCCAGCATCGCCTTGGGGGCCTTGCCGTCAGAGCCCACTGGACAGATCGTGTGGCTCTTGCCTGAAGCTGTGTCACGGGCCATCTTCGACGTCGCGGTATGCGAGAACCGGGCGCCCGATGCAATGAATCTCGTCCATCCGCGGCCCGTTTTGTGAGATGGAACAGCGACAGGGAGGTTAGGGTCAGTCGGTCCAGGTTCTGACTGTATTTCTAGCCTCCAAAACACTTTGCTTCTGTGTCAGTCAGCTGCCCACCCTTGTCGCATCCAGCTCTCTCGACGTCATCGCCGTCGGTCTTCGAGTCGGATCTGCTGCGGATGTCGTTGCCGCATTGACTGCCAAGGTGGGCCTCCGATGCCTGCTCCCTAGTCCAAAACTGAATCCGTTCTGCACAGCTGTCAAATTCTGCTACCAGAAAGACCTGCTCGTTCCCCCTCTTCTCTACCCCGACATGCGGAAAGTCCGATCTCTGTGCCTTCACCTGTGCACCGGGCTTCAAGTCCATAGGGGGAGCGTGTGTTGCACGATCTGGGCACGCCGAGGCGTATGGAGATGTTGAATGAAAGGAGCACGGTGAAGCATGCGGGCACGGCGAACACGGTCACGAACACGGCACTGGACTTGGATTGGGGCTGGGTGATGGTCTCGGCCTATGCCTTGGTCTGGGTGGGCAAGCTGACGCGAGCGCCAGTTTTGGTATCTCGGCGGGCAGCATGCTCTTCCTGGCGGTTCCTATGCGTCAATCTGCGGCTGTGTTTCTGGCTCGCTGGAAGTCAACGGTAATGAATGTGTTGACATCCCTGGTGTGTTGACATCTCCCTGTCTCTTGGCTACCACTGACTAATGCGCAGCATCCGCGAACTTGTGTGCGTGTCTCGACTCTTTCCGTCTCGGCATCTGCCTCGGCCCTGCTCTCGTCTATCTGAAACAGCCGCAAGTTCTTAAAACATCATATTATACATATCGCTCACTCGGAATAATATATATATACTGCGTTGTGGAAGGTACAAGACGAGATAACCTCCTCGAACATCTCTCGAGCCCATGTCTTGTGACCACCATCACATCAGCTACAATCATCGCTCTGCTTATACATCCGACCAGGCAACCGCGGCTACCAACGAACCGGTGCGGGGAGGATGGGCTTGGGTGCTATTGCAAGGGCAACAGAGCAAGATATGGGGGGAGAGAGAGGGAGGGTTCCATGCAAAGAGGGGGGGACTCCAGGTGAGGGACCACCATGCTAAATCACCCAGTCTTCAGACCCCGCTACAGCAGACGCGCATGCACATTAACACCGCCACATTCGTTCGACACCTTGTGCAGCTGAGTCTGCAATGGAACGATGTCCTCCATCATGAGCTCGTGCGATACCATGGTCCCGGAGTCCCCTCCGCAATCGCTCGGCTTCGCGACGCAGAGCGAGTTCGTGCCCCCTGCGCACCCGTATCATACGCTCGTTCTCTACTTCGATAGTCTGGCTAATCCGCCTCATTTTCCCATGAGCTTGCCTGACTGACTGGTTAGCTGACAGACAGAAACCGGGGTCCAGTTCGGCTTGGACAACTTGAACATCGTGCAGTTCTTTTCGATGCTGCCCAAGGGCGACTGCGAGCGCCATATGATGTACTACCTGCGGGGATCGGGACATACACGACGCCAGAGATTGCGACTCCGATGATGTCGCGGTTCTCCAAGCTCCTGGACAAGATGATCGCGTGGAACCTGCATTCGCATGTGATCGATACGAGAGCCGCGCGCTGAACATTGAATGAGATGTCCCCTGCTGACTTGCTTCCCTCTTTTTGCGCTGACAAGGCTGATGCAAGACTGTACGTGTCTTACGCATCCGAAGTGTACTTATACCTTGGCTCATGCGGAACCTTATGCAGACACCGCTGGCAATCGGATCTGCATCTTTGAGTTCTCTCGTGGTGCCTACACTGCGCGCAGGTGTACGCCTTGGTCCTCTGCTGTGGATCCCCTCCATTAATGAGCACGCAGCTTGGCTGGGATGCTCCACAAAGTAACTACATGCCTCAATTCCATTACATAAGAGAGACACTGTTTCTCGAGAGCTAAGACCCTTCCAGGTCGGCCTAGGGTTATTAGAAGTGCTCTAGGGTCGATTCCCTAGGCCAGTCCTAACCCCAGGGCAGGGTTTCCCGAGGCCTCCCTGGCCGTTTAGGGTTACGCTTGGACCAGCTTCAGGCCTGGATCGTCGAGCGGTGACTGACCGTGAGTGATCAGAGACAGGACGTTGACCTGGAAACGAGTGACAACAATTGATCGGCAGGACATGTGACAAGATGGGAGTGCATGCCCCGCATCGGAAGTGTTCCGACACGTGCCTGCGAGGATGCCTCTAGGTCGACAGAGGCTACGCATCGGGAGAGTCCCAATGGAGTCACCCTGGGTTTTGAAACAGACTGAAATCTGTTTTGACAAGGCAGTTCCTGCTGCGGGGTGATGATATGGAACAGCGCCATGAACGTCAGGGAGTCCACTGCCCCCTCCGAGCAGCGTGAAACGGAGAGCAAGAAAGCCAGATGGTAAAGTCTGGATGAGATAAGTAACTACCGGGACCCACGCATCAGAAAAGTCCCGATGAACGACAGCAGGCGATCTGGCGACCCCGGACCTGGGGGTGTTGCAAGTCAGCACAAGATGGGGAAGGCACCCAGACCCACACATCGGAAAGGTCCCGATGAACAACAGGCGATCTGGCGACCCCTGACCTGGGGTGTTGCGGCAAGTCGGCACAAGATGGGGAAGGCACCCAGACCCACGCATCGGAAAGGTCCCGATGAAGAGCAGCAGACAGTCTGGCGACCTTTGCCCGGCCGCCCAGTAAGGCCAAGTCGTTTACAACCGCACACGGACGACCGGGGTGAAATTTCGGCACCATGAAAACGCGGTGGAATTGAAACCAACTAAGCCCAGTCCCGACAATTCCATTACGCCAGACGGGGAAGACTGAAAGCGGGATATCACGTGCGATCATCAGTGACTCATGCCGGGGCTGATGGGTTGTGACGTGACCAACTGCTCTTGCTCTTGACCACCACCTTCCCCATTTGTCGGAGCACAGCCACAATAAACCACTCGCACCCCAGTATCGGAAGTGTCCCGACGTTCCCCCATGACGAAAAAGCTGTCGTCCACTGAAAAAAAGAAACGCAAGGAAGATCGCGCCGCGGCCAAGGCGGCCCAAAAGGCCCCCGCGGAAGAAAGCGAGTCTGAGCCACCGCCCACTCCTACACCCAAAGCGCGAGGCAAGGGCAAAGGCAAGGCCCAGGCTGGGCCTTCGACCCGAGTCCCGGCAGCAGTGAGTGACGCTGCGAAGAAGAGTAAAGGCAAGGGCAAAACGCAGGCGGCGGGGCCATCCGCCGCAGATGATCCGATACTTGGAGATCTCACTGCGACATCGGGTCAGAAGCACGTACCTCGCACATCGCGCCTCTGACAAATGAGCTCAGGGGATGACACGGCAAACACGCGGCCACCCGCCCCAGCGCGACAGGACGAGGCTGCGTCTAGCCGAGCGCCGATCGCCAAGGCGATGCGACCGAAACCCAGGCGTAAGCTGCTTCGGACTGTAGAGACCCCACTGATTCCTGGCAGCGAAAAAGAAGGCGGCTGCCGCTCCTGCAGCCCCAGCGCAAGCGCCCGCTCAACCGGTAGCGGACGAGGAACAGGGCTCTCCAATGGACGCGCGGCCAACTACACCGCAGCCGACGCCGCAGCAGCTACTGCCGTCTTCCAGCATCCCATCGACTCCGTCGGCCCCCACGCCAGCGCCGGCTGCAAGAGCCGGGAAAAGTGAGTGAACGTTGAATCGGACAGCGTTGACTGACAAGAGATAGGAAAAGCAGAAGTCGTTTTAGCCGAGCCGAACAAGAAGACCAAGCTCGACCCGCCTGCGACGGTCAAGAAACAGATGGGGATCGTCGTCGCGATGTACGGGGCTCTGGGACAACTGCTGCTCCGGTGCAGTACCCTTTTTGACGACTATGAAGAGGAGGACGGATCGATGGCGACGCCGGCATTTGTCCTGGAGCTCAGGGAGAAGGGGGTGTATCCACTTTGGGATACGAACCCTCCTGCGGGCTCGGAATTCACGCCGGAGGAACACGCGAACATGCGTGCGGAGCTGATCGGTGTGGATCGGGACATTATCACTTGGGTTCACAAGACCGCCCGAGGGTTCGACTGGTCGCAAGCACCGGAGTTCGAACGCCTGATGATCAAGGCGTCGAAGGAAAACTGGGACTTGACGCATTCGGCACGGGTGAGTGATGGACTATGCTACGCAACCCCTGTTGACACCTTGGCAGTTTACGGAACTGGTGAAGAAATCGGAAGTAGGTGATCCTCTTGAACTGTTCATGTCGGATGCGTTTCAGATGCAAGACGCGGCCAACGCCAGGGTTCCTCCCGGACAACACCACTACGGCCGGGTCAAGCAGGACATCCTGATCGACCTGTACCGCTCGTCGATCAGCTCGAGTTGGATGTCGGGGAACGCCGAGCTTTTGTTTTCAATGCTCTTCGACCGTCAAACCGACGCGCTCAAGGCCCGAGCGAGTCGAGCATTGAAGAGGGCGCACGAACGCTGGGATGACTTCTTCGCGTTCTTTCCTAAGAAGCCGGCGGGTGAAGTCTTGGTGGGGGCGGACATCGCGGCCGCGAAGTTGAGCAGTGCGGGAAAGGCCTAGTATCTATCGGCACCCCAAATTGCGACCATAGTACATTTTGGGGACGCCGGCCTCAATCCTTGTCCGAAAAATCTGGAAAAATTGGGGAATCCTAGCTGAGGGTCTAAAGAATGAAAGCGGACACCGGCGTCCCACTTCCGGGCAATGGTGCGTATCCCATATCGAATTCCGCGGAGGGTCTCAAAGCGATCAATTCCCATCAGCGCATTTGATGGGACTGGGACGCAGAGAGCTGTATCCACAACATCCGTATTTTTATTACATGGATCGTTAGATACATTCTGTAGGATGTAGAATCCTGAATCTCGCATTTTTATCTTCAGCCGTTCTTCTGGAATTACACAATCTCTCAGCGCACCCATCACTTTCAGCCCGCTGCTCAATATGTCAGGACGCAGGGGGTCTGTGGTCTATCGAAAACAGCCAAGCGTTCATGAATAATGCTAGAAGACGCTTTGCAACATGAAAACAATATATTTATGGCGTGGTGGAGGGTACAAGACATCACATTCTGTCGAACATATCTTGTGTCACCCCTTGTGACCGCAGTCACATCACAAGGCACTGCCTTACTTAAGTCCAAGCAGCTTACCACGTCATTCCACGTGACGTTCAAGTCCCTCTGCGCCGTTACTCTCTGCTCGCCCAGGATGCAGAGCAACGTATGCTGGTTCAGAGACTCGTGAGACTTAACCAGCACACGGCTTGTAACCCCGGGCTCCACACTTCCATCTTCTCCTTTTTTTTTTTTTTTACTTCCTTGCTGAGCACCAGATGGACCGACCAGCAATGCACCACATTCGAGGTTGATGTAGGTCTCAATCGACAGTCGAGTGAGATTTGTGGAACGGAGCTTTTGATGAGTATTCCGATCCATAGAAGCAAGAACCGTGCTGAAACAAGACAGGATTAAGATGAAAATTTCGATGGATACCGCCACATTGACTTAGATGGCATATAATGATTTGAAATCAGAAATCACGTTTCCCTAGGCCTAGATGGGCCTTGAGCAAATTTTACAATAATTTACACCCAACCTGGGACCTTCCTGGTAAAATATGTAATTTACACTGTAATTTACCGTAATTTATGGGTGTGTAAATTACAGACCCCAACTTTACCCAGCCCTAGCGCAATGTCTCTGCGGCTCGGAGGGATTCTAATGCATTGTTGTTATGGTGGCAGTTGCCAAGGAGAGGCATGATCCATATGGGATCATCTCGTGATGGATGATTCAATCACGTGACCCTTGCGGCACAGTTGAACTTACTGCTCGTTCTTCAGATTTGAGTGCTCTGATGAACGCGGTTGCTTTTCCTAGTGGTCAACACGCGGTCTCTGAGTAAATCGGAGAACCCTGGGCCTGCGAGAGCAGGAGTTCGAATCCCAGACAAAAAATCCACTATGCGGGAGGTTTGGTGGGTATTATCATGTGATCGAGTCCCACACTGTTTGATCTTCGTGATCATTCGCGCGTAAACAGCGTTCCTACCCTTGGGGGAAGTCCTCGGACTTTCCAACTTTGCGGATCAAAGGGGCTAATCAATTATTAGCTGCCGGAGGTCGAAAACCAACGCACCACCAAAAAAAAAAAAAAAAAAAAAAGAGTGCTCTGATGAACTTCGGTGAAGATAAGGAGCCTTAATCAATTTATTTAATTCAATCTCAGCATCAGGAACTTCGAAGTCAGTATCTTCTCATCTAGCTTACCACCGCGTAAAAAATATGAGGGCTGCTCAGGACTACGGAAATAATTGGGGGGAAACCTAGGGGAGGACAATCCCTCCCCCTCACAAGCGCGCATCATCGCAAAATGCTCACTCTGAGGGTCGAACTCAGGACCCTTGCATCGGGACATTGAAGGCTTCCACATAAGTACAATGCACTACCACTGTGCTAAGCGAGCGAAGACGACGCGGCAGGTCAACGTTCTGAAGCGACTGGCCCCAGAGAGTGGGCTCGGGACTCACTCAGTGTTTATGCGACCGTTTTCAATTGCGTCTCGCTACTGTACTTCCTGGTGCGCTTTTGAGCCTCGAAAGTTATCTGATGTGGCTGTGTGTGGCTGTGCTAATATCTTCCCTCCCTGATCACGAACAGGCGTCTCGCACATTTCGTTACGCATCGTTCTTAGTACCCAGCCGCAGATTTGAAAGAGTGTCCAGTCCATGAAGAAAATTACCTCAAATTCTTACTCGGTCTGACGAAGCATCCATGCTCACTGCGTGAAGCCCTTTGCACCCCACCCATCCACAAGAATCTCCGAAATCTCTTTTCATCTATCCCTGCGTGAAGCACAAAAAGTGCCCAGACGATCACTGCTTGCACCGGTTGAAACAGGTCTCCACCCATCAGTCTCGAACCGCCCACTCTCGTGTGTGACAGTAAGAGTCAGCACGCGTCGGCCCAGCCGGACGCGACCATGGGCATCACAACCTCCAGTGCACCATGACTTCTTCTCTGACGACTACGACACGCTGCTTCTCGTCCTCATCGTTTGGATCGGTATGTGCTCTTGACGAGGCACTAAGCGAGATAGATCATCGGATGAGGGGGGGGCTGCATCTCGAGAGGATTGCAAAGCAACGTCGGGATGTTGTCCACATGTGCTCTCTCAGTACTCTCGGAGCACACTTGTCGCAGAGCTGCCATGGACTGCGCGCATAGCAAACCGTGGCAGACTGACTGATAACCAGGTTACCAGTACAGTCGTAACTATCTCATAACGATGGACACCATCGCGCTGGCGTGTTCTCGATCTGCTCAGAAGGACTGCATTATGGGAGCCAAATCGTACACATCGTGCCTGTCTACGCATTCTCTGGCAACACAGAAGAACTCGACTTTGCGCATCTTCGCAGAATCCCGGAAAAGTCCTCGAGGCGCGAATGCGAGTGGAGCGGGTGATGTTGGAGAGCACATCCGACCTCTGTGGAGATCATGCCCTCATGCTGTACGAATGACGAACGAAGGACTGGCAGGAGGGGTGCGGTGATCAAGTGCGCTCTGAGGAGGCGACGGCCATCACTGATTCAGATGGCCCAGGCTACCAGCTTTCGACTCGGGCTCTGGCTTCCCGGTCCATCGTCCCACATCTGTGCCAAATTCATCCTCACCCGCCTTCGACGGAGACTGCTGCAGAACCAGCCGCCAATGAGATCGGTGAGATCTGCGACCAGGATGAGGCATCCGGACTGGACACATGCATGGAGAATGAGACGGGGTCCGCTTGGGCCTCCCATCAATGGCAATGGCGTGTTGATAGTGCGGGAAGAATGGCATGTCAGGCAGGAGTCGCCATACCTGGACAACGGCATAGGACGAGGGGAGCGGGAAAAAAAGGCGAGCTGTGCCGGGACACGGCGAGCGGGGGCTTCGTGGGTCCCCTGAGGACTGAAGGAATGGTTTCAGCGCCCACGGAAACTTTCGCAGAAATTACGCACCCCAGATCGTCATCTCTGCTTCTTCGTGTGCATACCTTCATTCCAAGCCACGAGGCGGTATGCAGGCGAGAATGTAATAGAGCGTACGGTACGGTTCGCATGAGGGTGGGGGTGGCGAAAGAGCAGTTCGATACGATCGGAGCAGAAGACCGTCGCGAGCTATTCCACAGATCACTGGTGCAATCCCGGTCGTGAGTGGGGAAGCTTGCGAAATTGGGATCTTGGAAGTTTAGAAGAGCCGTAGATGGTGGTAGCTGACTTATTCCCGCCTGGAAGAGGGCTGCAGACGGGAAACGCCCAGTGGAGTTGTTTGAGAGCAGCGAGAAGAACAATGCGCGTTCGCATGAGGCTTGCTTTGGACTCTTTCGAAGACGTGTCGCCAATGACTGTGTGGGCGCGGTGCAAGGCAGAATGATCGGCGGTCAATTCATCGCGTAAGCATTTGCACTCTCGTCCGCTCCAAGTCTACTTCGCGACTCCCCCGCTGGATTCATATATCTCTGGCTCGACAGCAAGCCTTCTCCGGCGTCCACATTCTTACGTCTAAGAGCTGCAGCTCCAGTCCTTCTCGTCGACCAATCCACACCCGGCACTTGCTCGCCTCCGTTACACGCATGCGTGTATGAATATGACCGTCGTTCCAGAACCGACGAGCCTCCCAGTCTGGGTAAACCTTGAATCTTAGCCAAAGCCGCTCTGAAATCGATCTCCGCTTCGCCCGATTCTCAAAACGCATGCTGGACATGCTGCCCTGATTGTCCGGGCTCATGACGTCCGGCGTGTGAGCTATCAGCTACACTGGTCAGGCTGAAATGGAAATGTGCCTGCCAAACCATATACCAGCGACTCCCCGAGACTCTCGGCTTCCATTCTCAGTCTGACGCGCCAAGGGACGGTTTTGCGGTCTAGTGCTCTCTCGCTATACTCTCGGACTAGTGGAGGACTATCTCTTCTATTCAAATGTACAAGAATCTGGCTGCGAATAAACAGTCTATCTACGCTTCGGCACACGTCCACCGTCCAATACGCTGCCGAGAATCGGCGTCCTATTCAATGAAACGGATTCTGATAGGTGTGGCACACGAAGAAAGAGCCCGTCTTCTTTCCTCCTTGCCCCTTCCTTGAGGCCTAGAGCCTGTCTTAGCCCCGTCGAGAAAGTACACATCACGCCGACAACATGGCTGCAGTGGAGCGAGTGGCCATATAAAAGCATTTTGTTCTTTGTTCGAGAGGGCAGACCTGACAGTCGACAATCGTGTCTACTCAACACAATGTGCTGCACCTCATCAGCTCAATCAGCTCGCTCGAACACGCATTCGGCCGCCGCCGCCCGCACGACGCCGCAAATCACTGTGCCCTCTGCGTATCGTGACGGCCAATGCAGCCACTGCAGCTGGCGAGGAAGCCATGCACCGACCTGCGTCTTCTACAACCCGACAACAGCTACTCGCAGGTGCGCCCTGGATTCTATTTGCTTGCTGTAATGCGATTCCTGAGCTGTGAACTAGTGCCTGATCTGCATCTTAATACATTCCATTGGTCAAGGCTGGCATCCAATGCCCTCCGAGTATGTCGCTCGGCTTTCCTCTTTTCATGTTTATCATTGACATACTTCGAGACCAAAGGCGTCGATTTTGTTCCTGTTCCAGTTGCCCTTCGTTTCACCCATGTCTAGCATTGTATCACCATCGAACTGCTACCTCTAGCACAGTATTCTGTAGTCACTAATGCCAAGAAAAAACGGAGCATGCGTCTACCCCATTCCAATCTAAGGGGAGGTCGACCCATTTTCATCGATCCGTCAATAAACGCGTGAACACTAAAGAGATAGAGCTCCTGTCGAGAGTCGAAAGTGCACTTGCGATACAAAAGTGGTCCAGCGGGAAAATGACCGTATCAAGTCAACAACGGAGGGATTCTACATGGCTTGCCTGTCAAACGTAAGAATCTCGTAAGACTTTCACTCAGGCAGAACAGGAGAATACACATCGGCCCATAGTCTTCAACAACGTCAGCCGTGATGAATTCCACATCGAAGGCTGCATCAGGTCATTCAGCCGGACGATACAAGTTATGCGGTCTCGAGAGAATAATCAGCAACTCATAACGGAAGGTATCTCGTATTTATGCAAGTTGTATTGCGAATCCAATGGGCACGTTGCCCGTTTCAAATCGCATCATCATTGCAGCAAAAGTCGGCGCGGTCACGGTTAGAAAGGAATAGATGTGTGGCAGTGCTCACCAACCTCGCTCTTGCCACGACCACAACCTAGAGCTTTCACTCTTATCCATCCTCTCATGCACTGCCTTCAAACCCTCTGAAATTCGGAAAACCCCGAGGAATCCTTCGTCCCTCAACTCCTCCTCTTCCTGCGACTTCGATGGACAATCCAAAGGCGGTCGGCGGAAAGTTAAACGAAGACACGCGTCCTTCCAAACTTCGCCCTAGACACTCTTCGCTGTTCATCAAAGAAAATGCAATCGAACGTTTGACCACGGTCGAGCTCAATCGCCCAGACTCGTGTGCACTCTCGAAGGAAGGGAGGGGGCTACGGCGTATGTGAAGAGATGCAGGGAGACGGCCTCTCGATATGCATCCCGCTGCACATATGAAGCGCACTTTATGAACACCTGAAGCCGACTCGCTTGCGTATCCTGGTTCTCGCTCACAGGCGAAGGGCGAGAGGACATCATATCGAGACTCTTCGGGACTTTTACAGGCCAGTTTCCCATCCCTCAGGGCGATATCGAGAGAAGGGTGTCGTTCGATTCTGAAGGTCAGCTACCAGGTATAGCAACGTTTCCCATTCAACGAATTCTTCACTCAATTATGTCCTAAGACTGATTCTGAGGATGGATCGATAACGATGTCCTTGCTTCGAGTCACGGCAGCGATGTTCCGTACATCTCTTGCATCTGGAGACATCCTCTATTTTCACACTGGGAGAAATCGAGCTTGCGCAGCTGAACCTTTCAATGACACCTGATGACCGAGAGCGGAGAGTTTGCACGTGACGCAAAGCGGAACCTTCTCAATGTGAGCCAGAATCCACACCTACACAGCGACCCATCGGCTGACAGCCTGAATTCAAGTACCTTCATCGCCATGCTTCTTCTGCGCAACGTTTTCGTTGCCATATGGGACTATATCATCGGGAGCGATGATCCGGGCCTATCCCCAGTCTCGGCGGCCTGCGCTTCGTCCATTCCTTCAGATTTCCGGGCCCTCGCGACAATCGTAGCATTTTGGAATGCAGAACCTGTCCCTTAACGAATCATCTGCTGCGCTCCGGGTTGGGAGGGAGCCCCCACATCCACGCCGGTACACGATATCATCTTGCAACTCAAGGCCCAGCTCGTATCCTTCGAGCCATGTCTTCGCTGCCTCTCCACTATTCATAGAATAATCGTGATCTCTTGTCCACGGTTGCTCGGAAGCATAAGTTGCCCTTCCCGTTCGGAGTCTTCAGAGCTTGAAGAACGCCCTGGTGCGCATCCGCCGATGGGGGCTCAGACTTTTCCTGTGAATGAATTGTCACACAAGACCCACTCCTACTCAATCTCTATTGTGCCGTGGCCGGATCGAGCGGAGCGTCCATACTGTGTCGTGGCAGGCATATCGAAGCATTCTCCAGGCGCGCGTTCCGATACGTACCTGGTATGCCTTGACACAGGCTCCGCGACGAGACTTAGCCGGTTTCGAAACGAGGAACGCGCTCTCAGGACAGTATCCCTCAAGCTCGTGGGAATGAGATTCCCAGCATGGAGAACGTGCTGAAGAACAGGCGGCCAGCCGTAGGTTCACACTCCCGGCACTGCAACGAGAATTGCAAGAAATCGCTGTGATGCGATGAGTGCTCTCGGTTTTTTTGTGACAAGTCGGCCACGGAATGGCAAGAAATCAAGTACTTCGCATGCTAAATGCGTCTGCGGGAATGGTTGGTTGCCACTGTTGCCGGACGAAATCGTTGATGCGGGCTCGACGAAACATTCTCATGGGGACCACTGAGACGTAGAAAACGCTAGGGTCGAGCTCAAGACGTGACAGAACTGGATTTCACATTGACAGGACTACGAGATATCAAGAACCTCGGCGATGTCTTTACACGAACGAGTGACCAGGGTTATCATTCGTGAACTTTTCCATCTCAAACATAGCGGATGGTGACCGAGTCGCTGGACGCGCTGACGGAGGTGAGGACGCTGTTCTGCTCAATGTCAAGCAGCTGCGCGCCGCTGGGTCCGACGGTTCCGCCCGAAGCGAGGGTGGCCTTTGCATTAGTGAAGGTGACCGTGCCAAAGTCGGCGAACGGCACCAGCGAGTTGCCCTCTTCAAAGTCCTCGACGATCCACTCGGCGTTCTCGCCGCAGAGTCTGTGGGAACCGGAGAGCGACTTATGGACGCTGCGGCCGGTGGACTCGTTGGTGATGGAGACAGTGCCTGAGGTCGAAGAGGTCTTCGTCGCGACGAGCGTGATCACGTCGCCGGCGCTGACAGAGAAGCCGGAGAAGTCGGAAGAGGCGGCGGGGTAGTACTCGTACCAAGCTGCAGAGAGAGAAGGGAGGGAGTCAGTCTCGGGGTCAGAGACAGGAAGTGCCCAATCAACTTGCCGTCATACGAAGTGCGGCCGTTGTCGATGGTAAAGTCGATCCCGGTCTGCATGATGCCGGTCGCGCAGGTGTCGCCGTCGATTCCGACCCAGGCCGCCGCTGCGTGGCTGCCGGATCCGCGGGACTTGGGGGTCGGGACGGTGAAGGTGCCTTTGACGGAAGTGTACGTGCCAGCCGGGCTCTCGAGACTCGCGCCGGCCCAGTTCTGGCTGTACGCCACGTGCGAGACCGTCGTGTTGGTGATCAGGTTCGCCGCAGCGGGGCCTTGAGAAGGAAGACGTGGGCCAGACATCCGGCGGCGGGCCTGGCGGCTCACGATGCTGGGGCGGCCGAGAGCGGAGCTGGCGAGCAGCAGGGAGACAAGGGCAGAAGCAAAGATCATCGTGCTGGTGCTTGAGGGAGATAAGCTGGGAGGATACCTGGATGGGATCTTGGAGACCAATGGGCTCGCCGTCCATGCTTTTTATACACCTGTGGGTCCCAATCCCACTATTCTATCCCATATGCTCGCTCACGTACTTTCCAGTCCAGGGGTCGCAGTGAGAGGCACGTAACCGTCGCCCCCATATGCTGCAGCACACGCACTGGTCGTGTTATCTGTTACTTTCACGGGTCAAGAACTCTTGATAGACGACAGCATCCGCGGCGGATTCTCTTTCACGCGCCCGACCGACGTAAGGGCGCCACGCCCGCGTTGCCGAATGACATGCCGCCATCTATGAATAGACTGGCATCGGTGGCAGCAGACAAGAATAGTCCATTGTGGAGCCGTTCGATATGCACGAGAAGATGGAGCAGTATTGCAAGCCGGTGGAAGAACAAGAAGACTGAGAGTGCGATCACGGGCCCGAGCCTTCTGGATTAGCCTAGTGCAAACCGCTCATGTACAAGACTCTTGTTCTTTTTTGTCAAGTAACTGCTCACAACTTGGAGGCATGAGCCAAGCTAGGGGCGTAGTCACATTACGACCCATCAGAGAGCATGATTGTCAGACGTAGATTGCCAACTGAGCGAAAACGCGTGACCTCGACAATGATCATGCGATTCACTCAAGCCGCTAAGAATTTCCTTCTTACGATCTCATAGGCCCTAAGCCGCTGTGATTCCCTTTCTGGATCACTAATTCGATGAATCCATTCTCGGCGACTTGTCGGCCCCACTTCCAAATTGTCTCCTTGTCAGGCCGCATTTGTTGAACATAATCCGTGTTCCCATGACTGCATCCATGCTTTGAAATTCTAAATATCAAGTGAAGTGAGATTCACCCTAAACCTCGGCGAATCCTGACCTTGAATCAAATGGCTATGTACACGGAATCACTCAATGTTTGCCCGTGCAGGAATGCCTATTTACAGAGAGTGCATCGCAGATTCGGCGGTTTATAGCGAATTTTGCTACACCGCAGGGCCCAGGTAAAATGTGACCCGTGAATGGAAGAGTCCTCTGCGACGAGAACCTGGTCATCAACTGTGATTTTTTTGCAAGCGTTGTGATCCACAATCACCAATTGAGTATACGAAGTCGCATTCAACGACCCATTCCCTGGGTTCAAGTCGACTGCTTACGAAAGGAGCTATCTTGATTGTGCGCATGAAAACAAATGCTTACCGTAATAACGGCTCCTTTAAGAGCAAAGATGACTTGAACGATTTCACGGATTGGATTGATAAAATTATCATCATCAGAAAGTGCGTATACTACCAGTCAAGACGATCGTTCACGTGATAGTCAAATTCGACTGCAGGTACACGACATCGCTCGTGCCGATCTTGATCGTAAACACACCGGGCTCGACAGCCCAAGCGTTATTGAGTGTCCAAATGGCCAGGTTGGAAGTCGTGATGGGGATCGTGACGGTCGTAGATTGACCAGCACTATCATCAACAATTAGTTCAACTCGAATGACGTGAAGGGTGGGCAATTCGAGAGACGCACGGAATGTCAACCTTCTTGAACCCGATCAGCTGCTGAGTGAAAGTAGCGACGGAGGAGACGAGGTCTGTCGCGTAGACCTGGACGACTTCTTTCCCGCGCACGGGGCCGGTGTTATGCACGGTCACGATCACGTTGAAGTTCTGTGCAGGGCCGATTTTCGATGGCGAGACGTGGAGGTCAGTGCTGCCGTGCTGGTATTAGAAAAACGCAAAATCTTTCAAACGATGGAGACGCACTAGTTGAAAGTCCTGGGAGAATCAGAAATCAGTGTGGTTGTAAATAAATGTGATCGAAGCTCACGTGTAACTGAGACCGTGTCCGAAGCTCCAAATGGGGACTGGGCTGTTCAAAACGTACTAGTGGACATTATCAACGGCCCGTTTACTGCAGTTCTCATGAACGCACCTGGTGTCCAAACATCAAAGTGCCATCATCCAGAACCTGACCGGCATCGATGGGACGAGATCCCTTGAGGTAGTTGTAGAACGCAGGCATCGTGCCAACAGAGCGGGGGAAAGACACAGGCAGCCTTCCGGAAGGGTTGAAAGCACCGAAGATAGCCTCGGCGATGGCCAGACCGCCCAACTCTCCAGGATAGAACTGCTGGATGACGGCATCGGCGTCTACGGACCGAACAGTCAGTGAACAACCCTTGATAATCATAGGACAGACACTCACGCGCTTGAATCCACGGCTCGGCGACAGGCTTCCCGGAAACGAGAACGACAATAGTCGGTTTTCCAGTCGCCTTGATGGCCTGGACCAGGGCGAGCTGCGCTCCCACCAAAGCGAGGTCAGCCACGTCAACGTGCTCTCCGGTCGTCGCATTCGTTCCAGGAGTCCACAGTTGGGTCTGATCAAGCGACCAGGTCCCGACCATGACGACCGCCACATCCGACTGTTGAGCAGCCGAGACAGCCGCAGCGAACCCAGACTGGTCGTTCGACCACAGCTTGCATCCCTCCGCGAAGTTGAGCTTGACAGAGCTCGAGACGCTAGACAGGTATTGCTTGAATCCATTCAGGGGCGAGATACCGTTGTTCGACGCGTTGAAGAACACGTAGTCGCCGAAAGACACTCGATCGGCTTGGGGGCCGATGAGCGCAACCGACTTGACACTCTTGCCAAGAGGAAGGACATTGTTTCGGTTTTCGAGCAGGACGATGGCTTCCTGCTCGATATTGTGCAGAATGGCCCGAGACAATGGCGTCCGAAGAGTGGATTTGTAGTCGGAGTAAGGGTATGGGTCTTCAGACATGTTGAGCTTATGGTAGGAGTAAAGGCACACAAGAAACGTACTTTCGAACAGACCGAGGGAGAACTTGGTGCGCAGCATCGCAGCCGCGGTCTGGTCAAGGTATTTTTCATTGATTGTGCCAGCAGCGATTTGGTCTAGAGAGAAAATGATCAGAGAAAACTGGAGAGCGGACAAATGGTACTCACCAGGAATCGTGTAGTAGGTGAAAGATCCACCTCCCATCTCACCGCTGATGCCATTCTCCAGTGCCGTTTTGGCGGCGCACTGGCGATCGGCACATGTGCCGTGCTGAGTGATAAGCAGGTCCTGTGCGCGATGATGAGGTAACGAAAGTATAGCAGGAAAAATCCCACAATTGAGCCGGCATCGGCGGTGACCCAGTACTTGTAGCCCCATTCGTTCCGGAGAATGTCGGTGAGCAGATCTAAAATATGTTGGCTGAGGCAAGGAGAACTGATTTTCTGAACATACGAGTGTTGGCGACAGCCGGGATACCGTCGTAAGTGGAATAGGCAGTCATGATCGACAAGCTGCCCACGCACGCACGGTCGAACGGACGCAAGTACAACGCTCGCAGGTCTCGCTCTCCACCCGTGACAGGCGCCGTGTTGCTGCGATAATTTAAGAAACAAACGGAGATTGAACAAGGTCTGTGACTCACAGTCCACCATGCGGTGATCCAAAGGCTGCAAAGTGCTTGCATGTCGCAGCCACCTTCGCAATCGCAGTAGAGCTCGCATTCCTCCTCCTGCCTGCCTGCACACCAGTGACATACGCAGCAGCCATCTCACCCGTCAGGTACGGGTCCTCGCCGTAGTTCTCCTCAACACGTCCCCAGCGAAGCTCGCGCGACAGATCGAGCACGGGTGCAAAGACCTGCGAGAGTCCGAGCCCTTCCGCCTCGGAGCTGATGATGCTCGCGACTTGTTGCACGAGATCGGGGTTGAACGACGACGAGAGACTGATCGGGGAGGGGAACGTCGTGCCATTGTCCGTGAAGCCGTGGAGACTGGTGGGGCAATGGATGAGAACTAGAGCAGGAAAGGACCAGAGAGCTCTTCAACGCACCCCTCGGATTGGAACATGGCTGGGATACCCAGAGTCGTGTTCTCCATCATGTATTTTTGTCCAACGTTGATAGCGTAGACCTGGCAATAGTTCAGTCGAGTTCTTCCTCCGCCAGGTCGGTACACGCACCAGCTTATCCCAAGGCGTCAGATACCCTGCCCAAATCGATCCTCCCTTCAATCTCACGGTCTCCTCCTGTGGTTTTCGTCAGACCAGCACGGAACACATCCAGAACAACTGACCAAACCAGTCTGATTGAAGGCCAGCGTGTCGTCCAGCGGATCCGTCATGTTCATCCACCCATTGATATCCCCCTGAATACTATACGCATCTGAGTCAGCCTGGCCAGTGCCGAGTCCAGCACGGACAGAACTCACATCTGCGCGACCTTCTCCTGGATGGACATGCGCGGAAGCAAGTCCGCGACACGAGCCTCGATCGACGCCTGGGGGTTCTTGTACGTCGGGACAGACCCGTCGATGTTCGTCGCGCGGGACTCCAAGCTGAAGTGCAGCCCGTCCCTGACACCTAACAGGCTCTCTGCCCCCAGCACGGACGGGACGGCAACGACGAGACACGAGACGAGGAGCCGGAGCGACGGAGAGCGGATACGCACGACCATGGTGGGCAGCCAACGAAGGACTAAGACACCTTCGTCGCGCGGTTGGACTTAAATACCACGCACGCGGCGCCGCATAGATGCTAACGCGGGGATATAGAAAAAGTTCCTGACTGCTCATGTGACCCTTCTGAGCTATTTTCCCGACGTTTGTCCGGCGCGAAATGGTCTTGGGAAGACTCGGAATCAATTCCCGTGGTCACCATTCCAGTGGGGGCGTGGCATGAATGTCCGACGGTGACTCGGGGGTTCATCTCCATTCACTCGTGGCAAATCCTTCTTCGACATCCCAGAATGACTTCGATCACCCCATGGGGTTGTATACTCGTTGCAGTGTCGCTGCCTACGCGCCGGTCGGCAAGCGAGACGTGAGCAGGGTGCATGGTAGCGCCGTGGCCAAGGCAGATCATGTGGTTGATGGGGAAGAGCAGTCACCCCTTGTCACGCATCAGGTGAGAGCTTTCGGCTTGCCGGACCGGAGCATCCTGCCATGAGTCGCTTCCGCAAGGATCCCCTCTATCGAAAATCTATCTAGAGAAGTAATCAGTCGATTACATGAAGACAGCATGGGACAGCATCTACGGCATATATATCTTGCATTTTCTTGCATCCCCTTTGCATCACAGAAACGGACGTGTGGCTTCCCTTTAACCGTCGAGTGTAACTGCTGCCACCCTGCCTCGAGCTTCGCCCTCCAAACTATTCTGAGTGTCTAACTGATGGAAAAATCTGATGGTCTTGAAATCCACGTTTGCTCGTGCGTACAATCGGAGACCTGTTTCTCGTGGGTTATGGCAAGTAACTTTGATGCGGCCACGGTTTGGCAGGAGGCAATCATCTGAAGCGTAACTGCCCTTCGCGAGGTCATCCAGATCTGGATGTTGCGCATCAATCATACGCAGGATACCATGGGGCTCGAGAAGTGAGGTATTTACCGGTCAGATGCTGGACCACAGACGCTGTCCATCAAGATTCGACGGAGCTAGCCTCAACTACTGTAAATTCTGCAATGAAGTGAACATAGCTGTTCATACATACAGAAGGACGCTGAGCATCTCGTTCGCATCGTCCGCACTGATCAAATTTATCACTTCATCCCTAGCCAAGCCTCCAATTTTCCTCCAGTCATGACTACCTTGAGCTGGAGAGGATGGTGGACATGACTTGCAATTCTTGAAACGACTAGTGACAGTGGACACCAATTACTAAGTTTCAGGAAGTTCTCCCCGTGCCACACAAATTCGAACGAATTGAACAAGCAAAGTGTTCAGAGTGCCGGAATGTCATTGACAGTCAATGCACACAGGGCTCATGGACGAGAGCAACCCGTCCGATCCACTGAGTAGAGATTGCATGTTGGCTATGAGCAGCCGTGCTGGATTGTGCCCCAAAACAATGAAATGTCAATCCCGGTCCAGCTCCTCAACTGCTGCATGTTTTCAAGTTCACTCTGGAAGGATAAGATCGAAGTCGTTCCGCCGAGGTTATATCGAACACATGAACCCGGACAGGACTCGCCTGTGTCATCTTCTGGAGGGTTCTGGAGGGCTCAAACCCTCCAGTCTGATACGGCTCTGGGCGAGAGGGGAATTGGGGGAGGGTGCCCACAGTGGTCCACGCAAGTATGCCGTCGCAGTCTATATCAGCACATGCTCCGACTAGGATATCGAACGGCGCACTTGATAGCCCGAAGAGGAGATCCGAAACCCGGGAAGTTCCGATGCGTGTTGCGTTTAGTGCACAGGAGAGCCAAGTATCAAGTATGCTGGCATGGACATGGGAGGCGAAGAAGCTATTCTGGTCAGAACGGGAACGTCCCAGGCAGTTACACTACTTCTAGTATAGAACTCGTAAGGCCCACCAAGCATTACCAGCATTCATAGCATCACAGTATATACAGAACGAATCCATGGCTACTTATAGAGGACACGCCGCATACATCATGACATATGTATCATAAGAGAGAACAGCAAAAATCACAACAACCCCTGACGCTCACTCTTCTCCGCCCCAACCCAGCCTGCACCAGCCAACGTGCGCCGTATGGTGCGGGGTAGTACAAGCGGAATAGAGCCCCCAATCTTCTCGGTGGATGATCCCGAGGCCGCCCGGTCGCGCCTAGGCGGTGGAATCGGAGGCGCGCTGCGCGGCGGATCGAGGCGCCGCTGGGCGAGCGGATATCGCTGCCCCTCGAAGGTCCCGACGGGCGAGACGGGCGACGCGGGGAGGCTATCGAACGGGGACCGGAAGGAGATCGAGGAGGAAGACGGAGAGTGGTTGGAGAGGAATGCAGCGGCGTCGATTCCAGCCGCGGAATCGTCAAACGGCGAGGCAGACTCTTGCACCGGTCTTTTGGGTAGAGGAAACGGATTGACCAGGGCTGCGCTGGTCGCCCTCCTCGGCGGTAAGGGCGGTTTCGGTGCCTTAGTCTGAGCGCGAAAGGGATTCGACGTCGATCGCCCCAGTGTCGATGTAGGGGTAGTTGCGTTGGCGACGGGAGGCGCAGTAGGGACGTCAAAGACAGACGTGAAGGGCGAGTTGGGCGCCGTCAGCGTGCGATGCAGAGCTGTCGTCGATGTCGACGGTGACAGTTTGCTACTCGGAGATCGACGGAGTGGATGAACTGGGGGAGGTGGAGAATGGGTCGCGCGTGAGGGGAGTGGCGGCGGCCCTCGGCCAGGGGCGCGCGCTGGCTGACCGGAAGATAACGCGCTCAAGGCTGATAACGATACCGAGTGCCCATGGGACCGTTTCACATTCGAAGAGGCGGACGACGACGAGTTCGAGCCAAATGAGGAACCAGTGGTGTGAGCCTGGCCTCGGCTATGCGTCGACGACTGCGACGAACTGGACGAAGCGGACGAGTAGGTACCCGAACGAGTGTCCCGGGGTTGAAGCGGATGGTGTGGAGAGGTTGGGGACGGTGCCGGCGTCGGGAGGAAGGGATTACTTGTGGCCGCTGTCGCGATCGAATGGGTTGGGGCCGGAGCTGAAAAATATGATCAGGCACACTCAGGAGAGAAGCAACGCGTCCGGAAGAAGATCAACAAAGCGCATTGATGATCACCGACGGACATGGCGACGTTAACGCGGCGCCGACTGAACTGGCTCCGGACGTTGCCCGGACGTGCAAAACAACACGCGCAGGTCCATAGCGGCACACGAGGCGGGGATAAGATCGATAGCCTTGAGCCACGAGGACATCCCGGTCATGCGTCGGCAAAGAACCCCGACGCCTCGCGTCAAATGAAATACATGTCGGCATCTCAGCAGCAGGACGAATCGATAGCGCGGCACCCAAGACCGTGCAGTTCCCAATCGCCCATGTTCGCCCATGTTCCCCACGCTCCCCGCGCTCCACATAGAGATGGATACTCCGATGGAAATGACGTTGTGGCTCACCTTGCACGAACGCCAGCGCGCGACTCACACCGCGTCCGGTCTGCGCATGAAGCACCAGTCTAAGCACCGCGAAAAACTCGCAGCCTGTGACCATCGGGCCCGATGGGAAAAGACGGAGGATCTGGGGTAGGCGTTAGGCCGGAGAACAGGAAAGAGGGCGCGGCAGATGGACGTACTTCATCGACCAGGCCAGTTCCCAAGTCGGGATACCTCCCTCGGATCCATGCCCTGACTTCCCTCAAGCTTACCTCCACGCTGTCCCAATCGGGCTCCTCCGCCACGGCGTACGGGGTGTCGGTGAGGTCTGCGAGGCTGTGCGTGAATAGCGCGTGTTCCGCGTCGCTGAGCGCGGATGGGTGTAGAGAGAGCCGACGTGGCGAGTGCGCCATAGATGGAGGGGGGAGAAGAGGCGAACGAGCCGTCTAGTGGGAAGCGAGATGGAGTATGGGAAGCAGCGTGGGATCTTTTGATGCGTGATGGGCGGGAATCTCAGCGCGCTACCGCGAGTCATGGAATTCTGATGCGTACCCACTGGCGTCGGCCTCGTGTCTGTCGCGCGCCGCGGGTCCGCGTCGCGTTCCGGTTTGTTTCGATTCGTGGAAACCTTCGAAACGACAAACCTTCGATCGCGTCCCTCCCGGCTCTTCCTCGGCCCGGATTCATCATATGCATCATGTCTCCATTTTCGTCATATCAGTTTTGTATTCCCTTTGATGTGGCCGCGCTAGTGCTCGTTGCACGGACCAAGCTCCTCACTACGACATTCCACGCGCCCCAATGAAGAGGGTCTCCACATCTTCTGCGGGTGCATGTAGAACCGCGTCCCGGCCGGTTCTCGCTTGCTTTAGTTAGCTCCAGGTCCGCCTGCCATTCAATGCGTCATCACTGCGTCACGATGAATCACAAAGTGCCCCTGTTCCATACAGCCATTCACGTTCGTCGATGCGCCCCTTTACACACGATGACATTGGGGCTATTAAAGAGCGGCCGCCTACCTGACACCTACCCACATCGCACCTTTCTGCATCCCCACCATGGACAACTACGACAACAACAACAACGACAACAGCAGCTACGGCTCGCGCAACCAGAGCTCGAGTGCGTTTGCTGCAGGCGCCATGCTCGCCCGTCGGACTTACCCCGCACAGACAACTATGGTTCGAACAACAACGACAGCTACGGCTCGTCGAACAATAACGACGGCTACGGCTCGTCGAACAACAACAACAGCTACGGCTCGTCCAATAACGACAGCTATGGCTCGTCGAACAAGGACTCGTACGGGTCGTCCAACAACGACAACTACGGTTCGAACAATAACAACGACTCGTATGGCTCGTCCAACAAGGACTCTTACGGCTCGTCCAACAACGACAACTTCGGTTCCACCCGGAACAATGACACCTATGGCTCGTCCAACAACACTGACAGCTACAGTTCGCGGAACCAGGATTCGTCGAGTTTGTCTCCCACTCAGTCCCAATTCTTCGCTGACCTTTCTCGTTACAGACACTTATGGTTCTTCGAACAACGACAGCTACGGCTCGACTAACCGGGACACCGGTATGTCCCATACCTGCCGCTTCTATCCCTCGCTTACCCTTCGGTTCAAGACAACAGCTACGGTTCTTCGAACAACGACTCGTACGGATCTTCGAACAACAAGACGTACGGCTCCTCGACCAACACCGATAGCTACGGTTCTTCGGACCGCGACAACAACTACGGGTCGTCGAACACTGACAACTACGGCTCATCGGGCAACGACAACTACGGCTCGAGCGGCAAGGCGTCGATGGGCGACAAGCTCAAGGGTGCGTCCCACCTCACCTAGACTTAGCAACGCTCATACAGTACTCCAGGCACGGCGGAGAAACTCGCCGGCAAGCTGATGGGTAATGAGTCAATGCAGCAGCGTGGCCAGGATCGTAAGGTGCGTATCTGTTGTATTGTAACCTGAAAGCGTGCATATACTCACGAGCGCGCAGAACAACGAGTTCGGCAGCGACAACTACGGGAGCAACAACAACAACGATTACTAAATGGGAACTGTGAATGGACAGTAGCAACAATTCGAAGAATCGCATGTAACTTTATTGTGAAATTTCGTTTATCAGTCGATCCTGCATATCAAATTACGGGAAGCGCATTTGAAAATCTCCATCGTAATGATGTCGTAGTTTCAAGTCTGACATCAGACATGTTCATGAATGGCGATTGCTCGGGCGTGCCGCAGGATGCCATGTGAATTGCAAGAGGAGCCAGAAGAGCGAGTAGACGGCCACGGGGCTGCCACTTCGAGTGAATGAATGGACTATGAATGGCGTGTTCTCACAGTTCCCGGTGCTCCGTCAAGATGTGCGAGCCAACGGTCACTCCACACACATTCCGTGCCGGTTCACGCAGTGAGGAAGGTATCCGGCGCGCGCCGGTGGTTATGTTGCGCAAGTGAGGGCTGGCTCTGGCGTTCATCCCGGCCGGGAAGCTTCGGTCCGGATCGCCAGCCGCGGCACTTCGCCGCCGATCATTGGTACTGGCAGAGCTGTGCTGATGCAACAGCACATACAGCCTGACTCCTGATTATTTCGTGGCCGGAGCACTTGACAACTATTTATGGCGGCACGTTTCGTCACCCTCTACTCTCTCGATCTGTCATGAGTAAGCTCGAAGCGCCGCGGAAATCGTGAGAGGGAGAAGAGGAGCGACGTGGGTACAAAGACTGGGGCTACTGGCGTATGCGGACTTTCTCGAGCCCACTATGAGTCCCTGGAATCTGACGCTTGTCATAGCAGGGATTGCTGCCCTGGGAGTGTATTACACCTCCTCAGCCTCAAGGAAGCGAACGCGGGATGTCGATGGATTGCCCCGTCCACCCCGAGAGTCTTGGCTATTCGGTGGGTCCGAGCGATGGCACTACACATCGAGTCTCTGAGATCCATTTTTCCAAATTCAAGGAAATCTTCTGCAGCTTTTCCTTCCAAGAAACTACGGTGATCATGAATTCGGGTGGCATGCAGAGTATGGCGACGTGTATGTGATACACGGAGTTTTGGGGGTATGTTGTCGATCCGACCTCGGACGGGTTCTCTGACGACCCCCCTCCCCCCCAGCAATCTCGTATGATGGTCGCGGACCCCGTGGCCCTGAATCATCTACTTCGAAATGACCACGTCCATCTCGCCCCGATGATGCTCGGGCTTGCGCGTTCCCTATTGGGCCGAGGTAATGCGATGGCTCTTCGAGGTCAGCCACTGCTGGATGTCGCCGAATCGGCTCTTACTGCCGTATGTCCTAGATGCATTGCATAGGAAGCTACGTGCGGCTCTCAATCTTGGCTTTGCCCCCGCTGTCGTGAAAGGATACCTGGCAACATTCGAGTCTGTCGCTCGTGGCGTACGCAGGAATCATTTTCCCGTCTTGCTCTGCAGCTAACTGCCGGTCCATAGTGTACAACTCAGATCACAAAAGCACTGGACTCGGAGGACGGTCAGGAAGGGTCTGTCGTCAACATCGCAGAGCCGCTCTCCACGGCAACGCTGTCCGCAATTTCTCAAGGTTCGCGCGCGTGAGCGGATAAGATCGCGCCCTGCCAGCGATATCCCCCAGTCTTTGAAGCGACATGTGCCTTTGGATCTCTGATCCGAAAGTCCCCGTATCTGCTGTGCGGCGCCTGTATGGTGCTAGGAAACTTCCCACACAGCAGACGGCTTCGCGGCTCACTTTTCGGCTTGTGAGCATCCGGTGCGGTCATGCCAGAAGTTTGAAGATACCCAGAGCTTAAATTCGTTGAGATACTGGCCGAGCTCTCTGACGAGGTCTGGAGTTGGCCAGTGGGATCTATGTTCAATGATACTCGAGTATGTGGCTGCGAGCAAAGGAAACGACGACTGATTGATGCGCTCGGTCATCTCCGGTGATGGGAACACATCCCACGTGATCGATATTCTGGAATGAAGTTCAGACAGAATGAGCCCCGTCTGTCTCAGTTTGTGTCCCGGTGTCAAAATGGTTCGAATTTGAGCAAAAAATATGTCGTTGCTTCTTGTGCACAGGTAGTGAGTGGCGTGCTCTGCTGTAAACCCCAGTACTGGTTGCAACGATGATGATCCGACAGCGAATGAGGTCACTATTCTCAATGAGGCATCGGCAAGAACGAAAGCGCAGATTGACGTAGCCTTTTTCGTCAACAGGTTCCGAGAGGAAACCTCCCCAAGTTTAACACTATCTCTGTTGTAAATCTGTAGAGAGCTGTTTTCAGTCGATCCTCATCGGAATGTCAACAAACCCTGCATAGCATTCGTTGCGCTGGCAGCGGATTAGGGTCGGTGTTCTAGACGGACCTACATTGAGTCACACCACTAGTCCATGACAAAGATCAGCCGATACTTACCACAATTAGCTAGCCTGTGGTCAACCAGGCACAGCTATTGGGAATAATCCGTTCTGAATTCCTCGTGCTAGAAGCAGCGAGAATTCTCCAGCCTTGGAATAGGCTCGACAGGGCATGTGGCCAAAATGCGTCCAAGACACCGCGGACACTCCGCAGTTTTCGATTCATTAGATAGGAGAGGAGTGCGGGCCGGATGTTTCCTTCCCTGTTTCTAGGCTGTCAAACACCGCATCAGATGCAGACGGCACCGAACGGTCCGGTCAAGTTCCGGGGATCATTCTTCATTTTCGCTCCCGCATCCTGGACCGAAATTGCGTTCAAAGAACAGTTGATCTTAGTTTATAATTAAACTAGCTACCGGCGTGTCATTCGAAGCAGGACGGAGCTTCCTTGGAGGTTTTACAGCAATTCGACAGACGCACTCCCATTGACGACCCCACGGGGAATATTTGATGTTCTTGATCAGGCACAATTGTTTTCGTTCATCAAAAGTAGACAGTATATCACCGATATTCCTCCGTCCTAGCAGGTCAGCAGACGCGCCTCATTTACCGAATCCCCGTGGCACGTTTAAAAACAGGCTGTCAATTTTAGTTAGTTTCGAGGTGTGCTTGGTCCCTACCCCGCTCACCCCGCATTCTTCGCACGAATCTACCGCAACGACCATCATGTCTCACCAATTCGAGGACGCACAGGGAGGGGTCGTGCGCGTCGACAACACGCGGCTGGCCATCGACAACTACGCGGAGGTCATCAAGGATGCCGCCGCGGCCGACGCGGCGGACCACAAGCTGTCCGTGCGCGAGGCGTTCCGGATCTACCGCAAGGCTGTGATCTGGAGCGCGCTGCTGTCCGCGGCGTTGATCATGGATGGGTACGACGTGGTGGTGGTACGTCCCCAACCTCCCTCGCTCTCCACGTCTCCGCGGATGCTCAATCCATCTCGCGTTCGCAGATCGCGTCGTTCTACGAGCAGCCTGCGTTCTTGAAGCGATTCGGTGTCACGGACAACGCGGGGCACCGGACCATCCCCGCCCCATGGCAGTCTGGACTCGGAAACGGTTCGAGTGTCGGCGCTATCATCGGTCTTATGATCAACGGCTGGGCGAGCGAGCGCTTCGGACCGCGCCGGACCTACATGTGCGCCATGGTGGGGATGATTATCAGCATCTTCGGCCCCGTCTTCAGCCAGTCGCTGGCGGCACTCACTGCATCGGAGATTGTCTGTGGGATGTTCTGGGGAGGTATGTGCTGCTGCCTGGATGAGTCGAGACTGCACCGTGCTGACCTGGAGGGCAGTGTTCCAGACTTTGACCACCGCCTACGCCTCGGAAGTCTGTCCCATCGCACTGCGCCACTACCTGACTGCGTGAGTGCGCTTAATCTCCGCACTTCTTTCCAGCCTCACCCACCGGCTCCCTTTAGCTACATCAACATGTGCTGGGGCTTTGGCATCTTCCTCTCGTCTGGGGTGGTCCGTGCGTGTCTGACCATCAACTCCGACTGGGGCTGGCGTCTTCCCTTCGTGATCCAATGGGTCTGGCCCATCCCGCTGATCCTCGTCGGCTACTTCGCGCCCGAGTCGCCGTGGTGGCTTGTGCGCCAGGGTCGGCCCGAGGAAGCCGAGGCAAACGTCCGGAGACTCACCAACCCCGAGCTCTTCTCCGAGCAGGATGCCAAACGCCAAGTCGCGAACATGATCCACACGACTGCCATCGAGCGTGAGATGCAGGCCGGAACTTCTTACCTGCAGTGCTTCAAGGGGATCGATCTGCGCCGGACCGAGATTGTGAGTGGTGCGCATCGGTCCGTTCGTGGCCCATGCTGATCGATTCCCAGGCTATGATGGTGTTCGCCTGTCAGTTGCTCTCTGGGCAGAATCTGATTGGACAGGGTGTACAATTGTAAGTTTGAACCGGAGTAGTGTGGGTCTATACTGACTCTTTCCAGCTTCGCACAGGCTGGTTTGAACACCCTCGCTACCTACAACCTGAACCTGGCCTTGAATGCTGTGAGACTCTCTGGACTGGACAGCGATCCCCGTGCTCACCTAGCCCCAGATGTTCATCATTGGCACCGTCGTTTCCTGGTTCTGTGAGCAGTGACCCGCTTGATGATGCTTGTCTCAAAGAACTGACCAACACACAGTCCTGGCCCGGTTCGGCCGGCGCACGATCTACTTTTCGGGGATGGTCGTCATGGCCGTGGTCCTGCTCATCATCGGCGCGCTCGGCTTCCACCCATCCAAAGGGTCCGAATGGGCGACAGGCAGCCTGCTCATCTTCCTCAACCTGGCGTACAACTCGACGCTCGGTGCGGTGTGCTACGTGCTCATCGCCGAAGTCGGCTCGACGCGCCTGCGCGCCAAGACGGTCGTGCTCGCGCGGTGCGCGTACCAGGTCATGAACATCATCTGCGGCATCATCGTCCCCCGCATGCTCAACCCGTCCGCTTGGAACTGGGGCCCCAAGGCCGGCCTGTTCTGGTTCGGCAGCGCGACCCTCAGCGCGTTGTATATCTGGCTGCGCGTGCCTGAGAGTGAGTGGTGCCCTCCCCATCATTTCCTATGGGTGAGCTAACCGCGATACTACAGCGCGCGGCCGCTCGTACGGTGAGCTGGACGTGTTGTTCGAGAACAAGGTCCCCGCATGGCGATTCCATAAGACGGCTGTTGATCGTGCGTGGCTCCTCGTCCTCCTCTTCACACGTCCCCTCGCACTGACACCATCTCCCCAGAATTCGGACTTGGCGACCGCTCGCCTGCGACCGAGAAGCTCAGCGACGAAATGAACGAAAAGGCGTGAAAACGCACATATCTGCTACGAATTTCTTCATGTATATCTACGAATTAGTGATAAATTAGCCACTCACCTGGGGTCCCTATAAACGCGTCTACTTAGTCATCCTGTATGTACTGACTGCAATGGAAGCATCTCTTGATTTTGTTTTTGGGTGGACATGGCTGTGATCAAGGGGCGGCTTGGCAACCGCCGGCAAGGCCCGGGGACGTCATCAAGATTACATGCAATTGCATCCAGGTCTTGGTTCGGTAACCCTCTTGCCTCAGGAACAGCCGTCTGTGACTGCAAACCCACTGGGCATTCCAGTGAATTTAGAGCATCGTACGATCGGATCGAGAACTGAGCGTAAGCAATCGGACGACAAAAAAATCATTCCATTTCAGAGTCGTGTGCACAATTATAGCCGGGCTGGACGGAACGTCTATAACGTACAGTAAATGACATGAATACAGTAGAGTACGAGCAGATAGCATTACATAGATGGCAGAACAGGCGTGTGTCGTACAGAGCTTCGCCGACCGAGGGGCCGGGAGTGGGACGCAGAGTGTAAACACCGCAATGCAGGGTGGAGAAAAGGTGGACTCCGGTCGTGGGATCGTGATCATAGGGTGGGTGGTAGGTAGGTCACAAATGACGGACTTTTAGGAGTGCGATTGGAGAGAGTCCTTCAGAGGGCGGGGAGAGTCGGCGGTGACGAAGTGAATGTCTCGCATCAGGGTAGCGCCTGGCGCAGCACGGCCTGGACCTCGTTTTTCCCTTTCTCAATGAACGTCCACGCCGCCCGTCTGCTTTCCATAAGCCTCTCCTTCCCAGACGTTTTCACTTGGCCTTGTGCCAATCCCGACTCCCCATCTGCGCACGCCGCCGGACGCGCCATGGCAAACAGCATGCCGAAGAGGAACAGCACGGACAGCAGTACCCCGAGCGCGACCATCACGAGCAGCGAGTACACCAGCAGGAAATTGAGGCTGCGCGCGACGTCCGTCATGTCCTGCAAGAAGCGCGCCATCTCCTCCCTCCACCGGTCGTCCGCGCCAGAAGGTAGTCGGGCTGCTTGTTGTGTGCAGAGCGAAACGCACCGATCGGCGAGGGCAGGCATCGATCGTAGAGGACGGATGGGCTGACTGACTTGGTAGGAAGCGAATGTCGCCGATGAGTCCCGAGAATTTGCATGCTTTATAAGAAGGCAAGAAGAAACCCGGCGCGGAGACGGACAAATCTGGAGAATGACACATCACAAATGACTTCGCCGGACACCCACTTGAATTACCATGCATCGGCAATTTGCGCAAGAATGATTTCATGCTCGGAATTAGCTCAGGGTACTCTGATCCTTCCTTCGCCTGCACATGAGCAAGGTCCAGACGCCAGCTGAGCTTAGGTAGATGCAGACGGCCCCCGATTTTAAAATCGATGATGCATCATGCCGAAGGCAGGGAATGGGTCATGTCAAGCTCAATGATGAACCGGATCATTGACGTCATGTTCTGCGATCGACTCGGAGTAGGTCTAGTCTCCCGGGTTTATGGTACATATCTCGGTTTGGACGCGGTTCTGGGCTAAAGTGGTTCGATGTGGGTGGGCCATGCTAACGAGATTAAGGTTATGATAGTCCTGCGTGGATCTTGCATCCGACAATTGAAGCCGGCCGGGTGGGTGACAAAGCTGGCCTGGGCTATAGATGCGAGGGGCTTCCCTCTTTGTCAGGAGGTCGATGCCGGATGATGCCGTCGGGGAGAAACGATCGAGAACTTTCGTCAGCGTCACTGCCCGTCACAGGCTGAGCATGACGGCGAGCATATTACTGTAATCATGGTCCCAACACATTGTAGATAGACGCGCTAGTCGTAATAAAGCCACCTGCGTTCAACGTGTCTAGCCGGAGCCGGGAAAACTAATCTCAATCTCTCAATCTCAATCCCAATAACGATCTCCTCATGACGGAATCAAACGCGTATACAAGGAACGTCAGTAGATCTTTGAGCATAGCTGGCAATCCAATCCATTAAGCAACAGGAAAATGAGCCCCCCCACTCAAGGTCACGGCGATGACACAGGCGGAGAGAAGAACCCTTCTGCGGTGATCCCAACAGCCTCGACCGCGGCCCCACTGGCTTTGGTCGTCCCCCGCCCAATCGCAATCGATCCTCGCTTGCCCACAGTACCCACACCCATCGGCCCAGACCCTTTCTCGACGCTGATCAACGACCGCGACCGAACAGATCCAAAGGCGCCGCCTCCGCTCATAATGGACCGGGTACCGCCGAGCGATCCCCCACCCGAGAGCGTTGTGCGATGCCGGGGTCGGAACGTGCCTTGGCTATTGTTGTGGCCGTTTGGGCTGCTGCTACCCCACGCGCTGGGCGGAGAAGCCGCCATCGGCGAGCCTGGACCAATGGGCATCACTAGCATCCCATCATCCAAGTCCTCGTCGTCATTCTGCGAATGTGCACTGCGCACGCTCTGCCGGCGAGGAGACGGGGGTCGATACTCGTAGGCGGATGACGATGCGGATGATGAGGCAGAGGGGGCTTCAGCAAGAGGCGCCTGCGCTTCTGCTCGGTCTGGCAGCTCGTCGAAGACCTCGAAGTAGCGCAGAATGCACAGCTTCACGATAGCCCCCAGCGTCGTCTTGCCTTCCGGGAAGACATCCGTGCTCGGCGACGCTTCCGGTGAGAACAGCGCGGGCCCGCCCGGTACCGAGCACATCCAGACATCCCGAATCGGGTTCGTCTTGCTTTTGACCAAGTTCGGCGACAGCACAACGGCCAAGTTATGTGCATCCATCCGATTTGACGCGGCGCGCAGCGACACGTCGTGCATCAGGTCTGGTCACAGTCAGCAATAAGTTGCATTTAGAATACACGACGCACGGAGCACATTGCTTAGCAGGATGTATGTGCACAGCGGCAGCTGTGGAAGGATGCTATCACGAACATACGCGACCGCAGCCAAGTCCCGCTCGATCGTCACAGAATCGCTGGTATCCAGCGTCGCTGACGGGGCTGGGCAACGGCGAACCACCGCATATAGACTCTCGGGGAAGATTGGCTCCGGCAGGTCGCGGAGGTACTTCTTGACGAGGACCGCAGCGAGATGCGGGTCCCCGAATGTCTCTAGCGAGACGAAGTGGCCTAGTCCAATCAGTACGAGCAACAAAGGGAAAGATAACCATGCCCACCGCGATCGTAAGCCTCCTGCGCAGCGCGTAGCATCGCCGACGACGGAGAACGTCTGAACAGCCCTTCCTCCTCTAGCCCCGTTTCGCGGATGAACTGGATGCAGTCCTTCACGGGCCTTGGCAGCCCACCCTTCTCCCCATCGAAGCCCATGAGATCTTCCAGTGGTACGCCAAAGATGTGTGTGTCTCCTCGAGTCGTTACAGGCATCGTGATCTTGCTCTCATACTTGAGGTTCTCCCTACGAGGGGAGTCAATTTCGGCTGCCCGGAGAAAAGCAAAACGACGCGACGCACTGGTACACCGATGGGGACAAGTCGATTTGGGTGATAGGAATGTGGAAAGCAAGCTCGGACAGAGTGCCTATGTAAGCTATCTTGCGGAAGAACTTAGGACTGATGATCGCGCCAGCTAGACTGAAAAGCACTGCGCTGATGAGCTGCGGGATTCGGGAAGAAGCAGCACGACGCACTCTTCGAGAAAAAAGACGAGTGGATAATGTACAGCCGCTTGAGGTTCTTGCGGTACTTGCGGCTGAGACTCCTATACGCCTTCCACACCCAGTTCCATCCCGGCGTATGCCTCCCTCCAGCGGCGAAGAACACAACGGTGTAGTCTGATTCGACATAGAGATTGAGGTACGCAAGCACACGGCTGCAGCCAGGGAGGGCAAGTGAGCGGATGTATTGTCTCGAGCCAGGCCATGCACGCACGAAAGTAGCACATCGTAGTCGACCTCCTTCGGATCCGGGAGCGCAGACGCATTGAGAACGACCCTTCCTTCTCGTCAGCAGCCAGAAAGACCCATGCCACAGCGACGACTGCACACATACATCGGTCGCGTCCTACACGTAAGGTGAGCTTGCATGAGCAGCTGTTATCTGTGCCTGACAGCCGAGCGACGTACTCGAAATCCACGCCAGCCTGGAAGATCAGTCGTGTCAGGACGTCGTCCACATTATCCCGGCCCGCGGTATGAGAGAAGGCGACGTAGTCTTCGGTAGGTCTCTGCCGCTTCGCCGTCCACGGAGCAGTGAATTTCCGCTTGAAGGCTGACGCGGAGGGAGGACTTGAGGGGCCGGGCGACGGAGATGACTGGGCTAGGGAGAGCGCCGCAAGCCTCTGCTTGAGCGTCGCTCCTGCCTTGAGGGTCGGCGGCATCGGGAGAGGAGGCTGGTGGGAAAACTGGTTCCAGGAATGATGATTGATTGCATGTGTTTGATCGTGATGTCTATCGTTTCCCCTTAATCGAAGTGTCGTTTGGATTGATATCTTGCACGAAATCGGCATTTGGCTGGACTACAGATAGCACGCTAACGTGGACCGTCTGGACATGTCATTTCTGGCCAATCTTCGAGGCTGCATGTATGATATTCGACGAATACTACTGAGTGACTACTCCACTACACCACTGCTTCTTTTCAACAACTAGGACTGTTCCTCGGCACCCTCCGAGGTGAACGCCTCCATCAGCCAAATGCGTATCTTCAAACGTGACTCGCCTCCTCAGGCAGCTTATGCTCCAACTCCGAGAATTTCTCTGAATCAGCGAGGTTCCTTCCCATTCGGCACGGGAGAGGGTCATGTGTTGAAGGAGGGATCTATCTGTGCGCTCCCGTTCGCACGACCATCGCCCATGCAGTACGTCCAAACAGCCCGCTTCTCGAAAACAGGAATCAATCTGCCAGACAATAGAACGGGTCTGCTTTTCTGACTTTCTCTCCTTCAGGGTGTAAACCCGTGTTTCAGTCATTTCCCGTGATGGCAAACCTGACCTGGGAGAGATCAGGGCACACAGTAAGGCATATGCGAAGAATTTTTAGAATGGAAGACCGGTATCCCAGACAATTTCCGCCATCGCTCGATAGTAGCGGACCTCATATCGAACTGGAAAAGATAACCGTTGGAAACTTGTATCAGAAAGGTGGTAAGAGCAGCTCGATACGTACTCAACTGATGCTATAAGAAGTCATCGATTGTAATAGCCGACGTACTATCGAGTTTCTTTGCATTGAATTCACGTACCAAGCATTGTAAGCAGAGCCTGAGCGCGGATACTATTCTCTAGTAAATCTAACAAGTAGAGCTCGAGCATGATATAGAACAACTGCACCTCACCGCTCCCGTTCTCCCGAGACTGTGCAGCCATCTGCGTGCTGAGAACAATCAAACAGGATGGATGGACGGGCGGGGCGGAAAGAGCGCAGATAAGACCCAGATCCCTCAGTGCAAGATAGACGCGCTTGAGGCATAAGAGCAGCAAGTTCTGGCGTGAAACCGGACACGACATTAAGGCCAGGTGATTTGCCCAGTTCTTGTTGGAAGATTTCCATCGCGTTCACGGATGGAGTATACCAGCAACAGTGGTGGATAGACGACTGTATCCTGGTTTCATTCGAGTTCCTCGATTATCTCGAACAGACAGCGTGGAAGGTAGTCCAGATAAGTTCGTTTCTGGACGGGCTCGCGGCGGATAGAAAACCCTGTCGATGAACATGCGTCCTTGATTGATTATCTGGTGTTGGGGAGCATGAATTAGCTCGCGAGTTTCGGAGTGCAGATCCAACAGCTTGAGGGCATCGCGCAGCCACAGGTTCCATATTAGAATTTGGGCCGTGATTCCTTTTTGTGTGTCGGACGGTGACGGACAACGAGGCTTTCGGAAACAGTAAAACCATCAGTGTGTCCAGTACGTTAAGTGCCGGATGAGCTCCAGTATTGACGCGTCGGGAGTAGTTGCATTTTTTGGACACGTGAAAGATAGATCATGGATGATCGGCAGCCGTGATGAAATGGGCGCGGTTTCGTAAATAACATGCTTCAAGTCCTCTGGCAACAGGCCGAAGATGCGCTTTCAAGTTCGCGTCCAGCCTGTATCATTATTTAATTCATCAGTGACATGCGCCACAAGGCGGTCAAATAGAATCTGGGGACTGGAGAACATCGAGAGCCTGTGGCAGAAAAAAGGAGACGAACCGAAGGAAAGGTGAGCACGCAGTTTCATGAAGCCACAACTCTGGGTTGTGTCCGCAAGATGCCGAGTGGGAAAATGTCCTGACATGGCCGATCAAGAGATAACGGGTACTCGAAGCAGGATACCAAAATAAATACCACTGCGGAAGTCTCAGTCCTTGTGCGCGGCCAATGAGCGCCGCGTCCGAAGGACAAGGGCAACTTCCGCGTACACCGCATGACCATGGGTTGCTCCGAATGTCGCGACATTTAGAAGACTGAACGATATCAGGACCTCTAATGATCCAATGCAGCAACGGGAAAATTTTGCCAGGATCCGGACCCGAAGAGCAGCTCACTGCCGGACAAATACCATCGGTGGACCCGACTGCTGACCTGGAACGGTGAAAGGTTCTGTTACTGCTTTCTCCCCAGGGTTAGTGAGCTCCGGGAGTTCAGGATTGGCTTTGGGCACACTCTAAAGAGCACTCGGAAGGAAGAAAATCGACTAGTTTCTCTCGAGCGTGACTGACATGAACAAAACAAACTGACCCCAATCCGGCCAGAATTTGGCCAGAAGAAATGTTTGAAACTGGAGATTTTGATCCTAGCCCCGTCCAATCGCCAGCGTATCTCGACCGTGATATTTCTCGTTGCGGAATGAAACGGGCATCATCCATATATAGAAATCTACCAGGAAACCGGGTTTACATCTTCCTGTCAGTACTGGAATGCCACGCAAGAAGAAACTCATCACGTTCAATGGCACCGCCAAGCGTTTTCCACGCGCGTAGTCCACAACGGAGAAGCTCGCTCGTAACTATTTTTTTTGCATGACCCTGCCGGAACGGATCCCCGGGCTGCATATGTGGCGATCTCGGGCATCGTGGGGGTCGGACAGTCCATGCCTCGGCAACCAGAAAATGTGGGATCAGCCCGTTGTTCGGCGTCGGCCGTATCATCAGTCGTGATCGATGGTTCTCAGGCCGTCGAGTCGCATTAGGCCGTGGCGTAGCGAATGGACGATTGCAACCACTGCCGCGCTCATCGATTAAAATTTTCAGTCATGGGGCCAGTGGGAGCAGTGGCTTACAGCGTCATTTTTAAATGAGACAGAACAAACAAAGTTTTTGTCTTTAGACTGCGCGGCAGATCACTGTTTATTCTGTGGGTCCCGTGCTCCCGATCGAAGCATGGTTACTTGCGCTGACGTCATGTTTCATATCACAATAACGTTCCAAAGCGGTAGACGACGGGCGGTATGGCCCTTTGAGACTGCCTCTTTCACTTCCGTTTGTATTGCGCGGTACTCACGCGGCGCTCAGTTTTCCCTCTAACCCCAACTCCACGGTCACATGGGGGTCTGCAAGTATCCACGATCGATGGCGATTACGATAACACCCGGACGTACCTGGTGGGCATGGCGATCACGCGCCAGGAAAGGCATCTCTTTACAAGACTGGTATCCGGATCATCACTCCTCCCATCTCGGTATCTGAACAAAGGCGGAAGGCAACAAATGCCGGGGCCCTGGGCCAGATGCTCGAGTGTATATAAATGACTCGACGGAACGTTTTTCAGCATCTACCCCACCTACCCACACCAAGCCCGTCTCCAAAACTCCCCCAGCTCCACCATGTGCTGCTCACACCGCTCCACGTCTACCACGTCGCCCGCCGTGCCCGTTTCGAAGCAGACGACCGAGCCTGCCGCCCCAGTGCTGAACAATGGCCCGCAGTGCGCGCACTGCGGATGGCGCGGCGGAGGACACGCGAACAACTGCCCCTTCCGTGCGTCTGCTCTTCCTCTCTCTTGTCCGTCTCGTACCCTCTGACGCGTCCGGCACGATCCACAGGTTGAGAACCGAAATACACGCCTACTCTGCTCTCGCTCTGCCTCCCTGCTTTCTTCCCCACTGTGCGTCGTCTGCCCCCATCTCCAGTTGCCCTCAAGCTCTGACCCCCAGCTCCCGGTGCAGATAATCCTAGATCGTGCTGTGCTGCTCCTGTATTCTGTTTTGCTTCGCATGCATATGCCTGACATACCCCTATCCTACAACAACGCTACATATATACATACCTACATGTATATCGTCTACTTCCCGCATAGATGGATGGATGGATGGGAAAATTTATCTGCTGTATGATTTCCTGATCTCTGTTCTCGAGCTCCGGTTGAAATTGGAACTGCTTTCCACGTGGGAGCAACTTTCTCGTTTTCGGTGCGGATCTTTTTGAGGACGTTATCGATCCGAGGACCTTCGGTTATCTCGGCCGCCCGTGATGCGGTCTGAGGTCGGGGGCCGAGGCCAGATTCCATGGCATGATATGGCCAACGGATGAGCAGAGAGGAGTACTCGGCTCAGCACACCTCCTACGTACACAATATTCCGCTCAGCGCTTATCACCCAAGACTCAGCAGGTCCTACTCAAGATCCGGAAAACCCGCAGAAGACTGAGCGAAAGATGGATGCAGCGATGGATGGATGGATGGATGTATGGAGGCCGGGAACTATATGCTGATAAACGGAGGACGTATCACTGATACGCGATAGTTTGCCGACATAGGATCAATTTCATGATGCGCTCCATGTCATGATGCGCCTGTCTGGACGGCTGAAAACGTTATACTAATAACCGATGTCTGAATCGTGGATGGCCGCTCGGCAGATATTGATCAGATGATTGACGCAATGATCAAGACCCCAGGTAGCCGACTATCGCAATATCGCAACATCGTAATATTCGAAAAGCGCAACATTCGAGATAGGATCAGCGGCCGGGTCGCCGGCGCGAGCAGGCTCGTCGCAAGTCCGGACTCCCAGGCGACATTCCAGGGCAGCGGTTCGTACGTCGTGTTCGACTGGGGAAGGAGGTGCGCGGCCTCCCTGATACAGCGCCGTCGAGGGTCAATTCACACACCCATACTGTAGCTTGGGGGGATCCTGTCGCTGACGATCAACAACGCGACGGCCCGGTCGCAGTTCTCACTGTCGTTCACCGAGTCCGCGGAGTTCATCAGCCCGCTCAAGTTGGACGACTCGTGCCAGCCCGCACGGCTGCAGAACTGGGACAGAATCCAGACGTTCCACGTGCCGCGAGCCACGGGGCTGCTGACGCAGACCGTGGGACAGCAGCGCGGCGGGTTCCGCTTCCTGACGATTGTGAGTGCGAGCGCGGACCCGCTGACGATCTCGAACATCTCGCTGGCGATCACGTTCATGCCCCACTGGGATGATCTCAGGGCGTACCCGGGCTACTTCTTTGCACCTGACCCCGGGTTCCACGACATCGACTTCCTCACGAAGATCTGGTACGCCGGTGCGTCATCGCCTGTTTGCTGGCTGATGTGGCAGAGCGTGGCGTGGGTGGGGGCTGACCGCTAGCAGGCACTATAGGGTGCAGACCAACACAATCCCTCCCCACACGGCGCGACAGGAGCCGTGCCCAGCAGGAGGTTCGTGTCGGCGTGGATCTGAATTTTGGACTCAAACTGTGCGATCACATTTGTAGGTGGCTGGTCCAACGATGCCTTGGGAGGAGCTGCCACTGGGCCTATCCTCGTCGATGGTGCAAAACGCGACAGGTGAGGAATGGTCGGTCGCGATCTGTGTGTGCAATCCCTGCTGATGACATTGGTACTGTCAGGAACATCTGGCCAGGTAACCCCTCATGCTCATGGACGCGATCTAACCCTCGGACTCATGCGACGGATCAGGCGACTGCGGCATCTCCACACACACGGAGCTCGTCGCGCTGAGCGACATGGAGCCGACCAAGAACTCGTTGATGGTGATGTTCCGCACGCAAAACCTGACGACTGGCGCGCTGCAGTACTCCGGGCCGCCGCTGAACAACCAGGGAAGCGACACGTACATCTCGTGGTCGCTCATTGGGACGCACAACTACTTCCTGTACACGGGCGACCTCGATTTCATCAAGTCTGTCTGGGCGAACTACACCAAGGCGGTTGGCTTCCTTGAGGGCCAGGTGGACTTGACCGGCCTGATGAACGTCTCGTCTGCGCTCTCGAACGACTGGGGCAGGGCCAGCGGCGCCGGACACAACTCTGCGGCAAACGCGTTGCTTTATCGCGTGAGGATTGATTTCTGTCTCTCGCATCATGTATCCGCGCTCATCAAGCTCGTAGACGCTCGTCACCACGGCGGACCTGGCGACGCATCTCGGCAATGTCTCCCTCCCCGCCACATACCTCGCCAACGCGACCAAGATCAAAACTGCGTTCAACAGCCTGCTGTGGGACGCCGCGGCGGGCCGGTTCCGCAGCAACGACCTGCCGAGGAGCATCCACCCGCAGGACGGCAACGCGCTCGCGGTCCTGTACAACCTCACGACATCGGACGCACAGAACAAGGCCGTGAGCGCCGGGCTGATGAAGTTCTGGACGCCCATCAGGCCGTGGCTTCGAGGTGCGTGTTGCGCTGGTGGTTTGTGGTTTGCGTGTCACCTGCGCGACAGATCCAAGCGCATTTTGTGGCCGGCAAGGGCGAGCGGGCAATTGATCTGATCGAGCGCGAGTGGGGGTACATGCTGGAAACCAACTTGAGTGTCAAGTCGCCGCTGCTAGAGGGCTTCTCGGCCAACGGATCGCTCGGGTGCGTGTCGTATCAATCAGCTGCGGCAAGCTGTTGGTCCTGATCTGTACGCATGGTTCTCGGATGAGGAAGACTCCCGCGAAAATGATTAGTGAATTACAGTAATTACATGCTCACTACGCTATCTCGAATATTACACTATCTTGAATGTTGCGCTTTTCGAATATTACGATGTTGCGATATTGCGATAGTCGGCTACCTGGGGTCTTGATCATTGCGTCAATCATCTGATCAATATCTGCCGAGCGGCCATCCACGATTCAGACATCGGTCATTAGTATAACGTTTTCAGCCGTCCAGATAGAGCGCATCATGACATGGAGCGCATCATGAAATTGATCCTATGTCGGCAAACTATCGCGTATCAGTGATACGTCCTCCGTTTATCAGCATATAGTTCCCGGCCTCCATATGGATGCGATGCGATGGTTAGCCCGCATGGTCGACACTTGATGCCGATTCCATGTTCAGTCCGCCTGTCAGACCCACCTTTGGAAGCACCAGAAAACTATTATCCAGGTGCAAAATGCGGTCGCGATAAGCCTCTCGTCCAGAGCTCACTAATCAGGGTGGCGTGCGCTCGGAGACATCGGGGTGCCGCAGAGAAGGACAGTGGCTCTAACGCCGGCGTGCAATCCGAGTGGCAGGCGGTCGGGCTCGCATTATCCTTTCTTTATACTTCTTGTCATTCACGTTGAATGTAATCTCCTGGTTATGCAAGGGTAACTCAGTTCGATGGACGATCTGAGTATGTATGGAGAAGCGTCTGCGGAATCGTTTACTGGCCTGCTCTGAACCTTCGATTGAAACAGTCCCAGCGGTGTAGAAGTCTTTTCTCGGACAGCTGGAATCTGCTGTGATGGAATATACTGCTCTCCAATCACCGAAGAATGCCCGATGCTCGGGGTGACTAATGCCTCGCGTCCAGCATCTGACTCGGAAAAATCGGGCAAGGGAGTCCGAGAGCGTTAATCTGAAACACAATCCACCTCGGCTCCCTCGCGGGGCACTCGGGAAGCCGCATAGCTCACAGGAAGAGAAAAGTCCTGTCTCTTGTTTCGTCACGCGGAACACCTCAGTAATTTCACTGGTTTCTGATCATTACGGGCAGGATGGGCTCGACTTTGAGCTGCAGGTCTTACAGGGACTCTGTGTTGAGTCGCAGTATACTAATGGGAGATAATATTCTCGGGCTAAGGGATAGCGTGCTTGCTTGGTTAGCATATTATTCTGAAATCGGATCAGACTGGGTGGGATGAGTATCTGGTCAGTCAATTACATTGGATCCCATTGGCTAGGGTTGAAATACACATTCATCTCATGCAAAGTACTCAAGAGTTGCCAGCAAACTTGAAGACCATTCTCAGTGTGATGGTATCCCGTAACGTTAGCTGTGATAAATGCTCATGCTGTGAGTCGAAGTCTACATTGAAGCGGAGCATGTAAGGTTCAGATTTCGCTATAATTGCGGAAACGCAACTTCTTGAAACCCCTGCGTAGCAAACTTGTTTATTCTCCAAGCAGGTCTCACTTTAGCATACCGGATTCAAAACACAGCGCACACCCTTGTAGATCAAACTTCTCGCACATATCTTGTCTTTCGGACGGAATGATGCTAGTGGAGGACAGGGTAATCAGATTATGGAAAGTTTCAGAGATATATCAAAAGACTATGGACAAGTGACCAGGAGAATCGATCAACTAGGATTAAACCACCCATATGAGCCTGCCTCAAACCGTAATGCAGCACTGCACCCTCCGCTTTGCCTCAGAATACAACAGCACCAACAAGAGAAACAGCCGGTCGTCCTCGTTACGCAGCGTCAGGCTCATGCGCAGGACCGGCACGGACGTTTCGCCAGCGCCGAAAGATACCGCAGATAACTTGAGCTCTGCAACGATCTCGCCTCGGTCGTTCGAAGCCTGGGGCAGTGTGAATGCCAATGGGAACTGTGCACTCGTGAAAGACAGCAGGACACGCACCGTCCAGCTATCCCCCGAATTCATGTACTGAATCCGGAACTCCTCGCCTTTCAGCCACTTCCAATACCGCACGCTGCAGAATCAGTCCGTCATTTCTCTCCTTGATCGAATCCAATCTGCAGCACTCACGCAGACAACATCCCTGCCTTGCGCTTCATCGTATCCACCCATTCGACTTTGTTCCCGATCCTGAACGACTTCTTCTCCCAGTCGATGACGCCACAGATCGTCCCAACACGATTCTCGATCGTGGTCTCCGTGCGCGTGGAATAGTCGTCCGAGTAGTACGTGCGGATGCCGTAGCGCCGCGAGTGGTCGCCGCGATTCCGGATCACCGCTTGCAGCACGTTCTCCGTGTCGAAGGGCAGGTCCTGCAGAGCGTGCGTCACGGCGGGCATTGCGGTCTTTGGTGTTCGGTGCAGCGGATGAATGAACGTGAGGGAGGGCAGTCGAACCAGCTGGGTTGGAAGGGAGGAAGCGCCGAGATGGATTCGACCAGGAGACAGGAGATTAGGTTATTGTAGAGGAGGGTTATGAAAAACAGACTGATGTACCTCCTATTTGCCAAAAGGACAAGCGATCAGATTTATAGCTGAAAACTCATCCGCTCGATCAGGACAGAGACGGTCGCTATGTCCGTGTCACGTCCCTCTTACAAATTTCATCCTGCAGCAACAGACGCTGAAAACTTCAGGGCGAGAAGAAACACTGATTTCATCCTCTGCTATAAGCCTATCAAGATGTCAGCAAAAAAAAACTGATTTGACAGGGGTCCTGCTGTGGCTGACAGGCCCTGAAAGGTTGAGAATGCAGCTCAGGGGTCACAGCGAATTATGGCGTCTGATCCTATCATCTCTTGTCGGTCTAGGCGCTCCTGGACCCATCCAGTGTTTGAGAAAACGAAAAGAAAAGGCGACGATCGGAAATTGCCGATGATACATTTGATGCGATCAACGAGAGGCTTTCTGCGGAGAGCAAGTATTCAGACGGGTCCTGCAGTATTATATTGCTCATTTTCTGATTTATTGTAATTTCCTGAGAGCTTCGCATAACCGACGCAGACTCGTAAAGGTCATGATACAGGTGGAACATCATAATAACTATCATAGGTCGTGCCGCCGCTCTTCTCAATCCCGTGTCACTAAGGTGGTTCAGACTGGTGGGCTCGTTGTCCTTGTTCTTGGCCGTTTTAGGGAAGGTTCCCGTCGCCAGGTCCGTCGTACAACTAGGACTAGGTCGGTGTTCACCGTACGATGCTTAGGAGACCAGAACGACTCGAGACTCCACGACACAAGACTAAGCGCGACAGTGATATGAATGTAGAATGTGAGCATAGAGATGCCTGCTTTCGAGACATCGCTCAGTCTTACCGTGGCTCATATGTCGACTTAATCCAGCTCAGCACAATGCACAGGGGAAAAGGCCACCAGCACATCCAGAGGCTAGCGCACATTTCGATTCATTCCATCCACCGTGATCCCACGTTACCACCACTGCCACAAGGATAGACTGATCACCTCAGCGTCCCTATGAAGTCCGAATCCGAGTCGCACATTGCTGGGAGCCAGGAATCTCGCGCAACGCAGGGTAGGGTGACGAGATTCAGAGACAATTAGCGTGGGGAGATCGAGGACAATAATGTGCCACATAACAGAAACTGTTCGGGGAGTTGCGGGAGGGAGAACATACAGCAGTATGAAGGGGAAGCCACACAAGGCACAGCGCATGACACTAGTCATCCGCACGCGAGCGGATACTATTGGGAGAAAGTGCATCGCTGCGGGAAGGTCACTTACCCACCTGCCCTCGACGCCAGCCCTAAGTTCCGAAAGTACCCAGAGTCGGCAGATCCCCGCGCAACCAGAGGTGGGAGCAGATCCCTGACCGCCCATGGTCTCGGTGGCGTCCGTGAGACAAGACAATGCACCACCATCGCCAACGTCGAGTCAAAGAGGGACGACTTCTGGGCTCTGCAGTGGGTGAGATGTGTCCCAATCCTCGCCAGGTCCGACCGGAACGGTTGTGGACTCGGGGACTCAATGTGGGATGTCCGAATGCTCTGCGAGACCGCAAACGCCAATGTACCCGGTTGTGGAACATGCCCATCGCCCGTAGAAAGAAGAAGCTAGGATATACAAGCCCCGAGACTGATGCCGTAAGGAAGGAAAGGGCCGATGTAGTGCGGAGGAAACCACCTGCGCCTGCGGCACCATGATCGGGCAGATCTCCGTCTCCACGTGAAGCCGCAGCGTCCGCATCGGCAAGCCCTCCTACGGTTGCAGTTGACACATCCCCAAGCACTCACGGACATATTGTTCCCGCCTGCTGGGGATCCCCTTCACAGCGAAAGACGAGAGATGAGGAACACACTATTCATCCTACCGATTCATCCGACATGCGAGCTGAAACCAGGGCTGAAGAGGCTATTGCAGAGCTGAGATTTGCCGCTAGAAACGTAGACAGGCAGGCTTCCGATGAGCGAATGGTCGAGCGTTGGTAAGAGCGATGGGTGAGAATTATCTGGATTCCGGCGGTGGGGTGTGGGAATGTGAGCAAGAGGGACCTTGATAAGACCATGTATTCTTTGGAACGCGTGTATGGAATGGCACCTTGCACAGGATCATACAGTAGCACTGGTGACCGAAAGGCAAAGACGGTTGATATTTAAGAGTGGCAGTGCGATGAACCCGGAGCTTTCCGAACGCACGTGAACAAGATACTTTCAATCAATTGGTTTAGCGGGGCGAGATCCTCCGAATTGCGCCAAACGTTCCGATTCAGCCAGGGAAGTTGAATCGCTTCAGGCAGCACTATATGGCTCCTGTCGGATGCATTTCTTTGTATTTCTCTTCGGGCAGACTTAGTTGGTCCAAGGAAAGAAGCAAAATTGGGGGAAAGCCGGCCATCAAAGTCGATCCCGAGCGAGTCCACCTTGAAATTGCCTAGTGACCAGTGACAGACGACTGGATTCCCTCGCTTCAATCACCCAGTGACTAGAGACTGCCGGAGGGATCATAAACTATCATCAAGGGTGCAAGGCGGTGTACATGCTGGGCCCAAAGAATAAAAATTATCACACTTGAGCTTGGACGAGCAAAAGAAAAACAGATCACGACACTTATTGTGAAGATATCGGAGGCGGTCATAGGTTCTCGGATGTCGGAATTACTGTCCGATAGCGAGACTCGTTTCTAAGAGACAAAGATTATGTCGTGCTGCGCGCGGATACAGGCAGACTGACAGTAGTGATCTCAGGATGCCCCTGCTATTCATGGGCAAGTTCTCACAATTCTCATTGGCCGGAATATCTCGCAGTAAGTATATATGTATGATGCTGACATTGACGTGACGGGAGGCTATCGCCACGTGTCTCCTTCACTTGTAAAAGTGAGTTACCCGATCGGACATGGACGCTGGACCCCGACTGGGCAGATACTGTACTTACCTCGACGCTCAGGAAATAAATGAAAGTGTGCGAAGTTCGGTCCGCTTTTCAAATGAACCGATGCCGCCGGTGCGATTCCCGTTGATCCTGTTCCTCGTGCTACTGGCGGGGGAGAATGTTGGCAGAACAGTTTTAGCACGCTCTCAGTCGTGCAGAGCAGTCATCGATAAAAAATGGCGACAGTTGCGAAAATGCTAATGCAGCTTGATGGGATGTCGTAGTGCTTGCGTCTTGTAGAAAATGGAGTCCTTTGAAACTGAAACCATCTGCACTTAGCGTCATAACATTCCAGATGTTGTAGAACCGATTCATTGAAGAGTACCGGAATTTCTCTTGGGCCTCCAGGATGATAGCACTCGCTCGCTTGTCGCAGTCGATTTCGCCCCCGGAGCCTACCCGTCATACCACAAATCGAGTACTTCATCTTGGCATTCATTTGAATTGAGCGATTAGCCTATTTTGTCTCTAAAGGCAAGTGTTAACCCGCGAAGCGTCTCCACGAGTGATCATCAGGACGTGAAGCAAGCCCCAGGAGGACCTGGAGCCCACGCACCCAACACATGTGAGCACCTCACGGCATGCGGGAAGGCAGAGAGAAGGCGGTTCAACGGGAAAACGGAAAATAACAAGCCTCAGCGCCATGGTGGCGAGGCTCAGACTCCAGCTTCTGCAAACTTCAGATGTCTACCATTGGACATCGGATCGCACCCATGGCTCCCGATGGCGGAGAGAGGGGGAAGACGGGATCACGTGCATGGGATGGACCCGCATCTGCGTCATTTGTGCAGTGTCATTTGCCCTGTCTATCTGCTTCCTCTGTTCTCTTTCAGCCAGGCCTTTTGATGAGGGTTCTATCGTATAAAAGACCATCGGGGGTGAGATAGGAAGCAGAGTCTCATCCTTCGCTGCAGCCTCTTCCCACCCACTTCTCTCTCTAACAACCAACAATGTCGACTACGAATGTTACGATCCGCCCTGGTGTCGTGAGCACCCTCGCGACCCCGGAGGGCACCAAGAAGCTGCAGGAGCTGCTCATTCGCGATGGCAAGGAGCACCACTGCTTCTTCAACGACCGCGGTTTCCACAACCACCTTCCCCATCAGTGCGTCTGGGCCCGACTAATCTCGAACGCATTTAGTGGCTGATCTTATTCCCCAGCCTGATCGCCGCGTGCGATATGGGAGCCTCGCCGAAGCTTTTGGAGGAGATCTACGAGCTCGAGGCGCGGGACCAGCGCCCCGTTGGTGAGCCCGGGCCTCCTTTGGACGATGTCCGATGGCCTTCTCGGCTCGGCGACCGAAGGTGCGCGCTTACTGCCTCGGGTATCCTGTGGCTAACGATTCTGCAGCGCTTATGCTACGTACCTCGTGTTCTTCAAGGAGAAGATCGCGAAATACGGTGTCACCAAGACTCTGGAGGACTACTTGATGTCGTCGGAGGCTAACTTCAACGGCGCGTCGATGTTCGGGCGTCTCTTCGGCGGTGCGCTCCACCCTCTCATCCACATCGGAGTGAGTTGTACCTCTGCTGGAAAAGTATCGCATCTGATTCATCCGTGCATTACAGTTCGGTGTGGAACTCGGTCTCGACTCTTTGGTTGCTCAAGGTACGTGCAGTGCCCATCCGTCAGTGCGAGCGAACAGCGGGATCTCATTCACCTGCAGGTCTCGCCATGTGTGCCGGAACGGAGGGCAACTTCTCTTCCGCCGTCGCCGATCACTGGTCGACTGCGATGCCCAGGGTTCCGGAAGTCCCTACCAAAGGTGTTACGCTCTTCACCATCCTCCGCCAGGTGTACGAGTCACCGGACCTGTTGCCCACTCTCCCGTACGTCCCTAACGACGCTATCGGCACCGGGTTCTACAAGATCAGCGACTCCCCGAGACACACCCATGCTCTGCGCAATTTGTACTCCAAGTGGTCGATCGACACGACCCTGGAGGGGGCCGCCTTTGACGCGGAGATCAAGAAACGCGTGGAGGAGTCGTACTGGCAGGCAATGCTGCTCACCGCCGGCGTTGGACGCACCGGCCACGGGCCCCGGCTCGACTTCTTCCTCATGCACACTGTGACCAGCGCGATTGTCCTGCCGCGCTTCCTCGACGCGCTGCCGCAGAAGCTGCACAAGGTCCAGCTGCTGCAGGGCTTTGCGCGTGCTTCCGCCGTGTGGGCTATCGCTCGCGGACGCCCCCATATCAACCCCACGCTGCTCATGTCGTATCCCAATCTCCCGGCCCCGGCCAGTCTCAAGACCAGCACCGCCGCGGACCCATGGGCCCCGATCATTACCACTGCCCTGGACCACTACGACTCCCACGTCGTAAAGACGATCCGTGGATTGTATTTCGGACACATCCATTACGGCAATGTCCCCGCGGGCCAGGTGTTCGGTACGTACGACGAGAATGGCAAAGAAACGCACCCGGGTCTCGCCAAGCTTGATGGGACGTCTTGGATCCGCGCCGCGGGTATCACATGCACAGCCCTCGGCTGGATGGCGTTCGGCGAGGAGTCCGGGAAGTGGGATCGCAGTGGTCTTGGCTGGGATGCTGCCTGGGAGTAAAGTGCAGGCCGTAACTCAGCACGTAGGCTTGATGAAATAACGCTTGTACACGCCTGATGAAATTTCCATTGTTATGATATACGAACTAGCTGTCTGAGCATTGGGTATCAATACGAGCTGGATGTGCTCGAAGCTGAAGCGCCACAATCAAGTCATGTCGCGCGAGTGCAACGCGCGGGATTGACACTAGCTATCGCTCCGGGACATTTGATTGTACCGGGCAATGTACTGCTTCTTCCAGGTCGGCTTTCTCGACACCCCGTTCGGATCATACACAACGAGCCGGGACGATTGGTATGTTGCGTATTATGATAGTCTGTTCTGCACGTAAATTTCAATGGTGGGCGGGTCCCTGGCCCATCGCACCACCTGAAAGTGAGCCTAGGGAAGCATATCCATTGGTCGAGCGAGTAATGTCGACGGGAACGTCGTTCGAAAGCATATTAGGGGCCAGGCTAGTGTGCTGACACTTAGGAAGGCAGGCAGGATAGAGGAGAGGCACAGAAGGAATTCCCAATGTTCACGTTGGCTTGAGGGCCGCGAACTCGACCGCGAGGCGAATGTCTTCATTCTTCGAAACACAGCGGGGGACCAATACGGGTAGACACCATTCCGGTGATCTCCGGGATGACAATGATTTGGTGACAGACCCATCGGTCATATCTAATCACCGAGGTCCGAAGCGGCATAGCCCGGCACCGCCTTGTCCCCGAAACACTCTTGTCAGGCCCAAGGCAAACGTTCCTTGACCGTCGCTCCCTCTCATCAGCCTCCTCTCTCTCTTCCATCGGTACACGATGATGTGGAACTTCAGCCATGCTGCGCGCACTCCTAGTATCCCGATGCCGATGCCTTCACCAGGATCTGAGTAAGTTTTTTCTCACAACAAAGTTAGCGAAACTACGCGACTGATGCGCCAAATGTGGGGTAGATTGAGTGTACCGTGAGCAGACCCAGTTTTAACCTGTCTTGTTGGCTGAATCGCGTGCAGACACCACCCACAGCACCACCGATCTTCCAGTGCCGGCGCGCCGACGGGCTGGTCGGGCAATGTGTCGGGTGGATCGAGAGCGACGAGTCCACGACCGATGGCGATGCCGGCGCCTGCGTCATTCATGTGCGTCCAGTCTCTCACCCCAATTACATCCTCTGTAGCTGATCGACGCGACGCAGAAACTCTCCGCCAGTGTGAGCAACAGTCAGTCCGCTACGCGTCCTTGCGCATCTCACATTCCGCCCAGAGAGTACGCGTACGAACCAAGCCCGCGCGCCTTGCTTACGGTGCCGGTGCACGAGCACTACCACCACCGAAGCTCCCATCGGCGGCATTCGCATTCACGCTCGCACTCTCGCTCGCACTCGCACTCGCACTCGCATAGCCCGAAGCGGCATAGTCACCATAGCCAGAGCCATAGCCGTCCGCATACGCCAGCACCCCCACCCGCCCAGATTATCATCGCCGCACCACCGCCGCAGCACCAAGTCCTTCGCAAGCCACACAAGCAGCAGCATCAGCAGCAACAGCCGGTCTACCATGTCGTGTCGAAACCACACACCCACGCGCCCGCTGCGGCCCCCGTGCCCGTGCCCTCCGTTCCGCTCATGCCGCCTATCCACCCGAACTTCATGTACTCGCGGTGCACCGGCCGACGCAAAGCCCTGTGTGTGAGTCATCCCGATCCGGGATCCGCTCGTCATGTGCTGAAAATACTAGATCGGAGTCAACTACTTTGGGAAGCCGCACGAGCTGCGGGGGTGCATCAACGATGCGAAGAACGTGTTCCATTTCCTAGTCCGTGCGTCTCGGCGCCTTGCTCTGATCAGCTGCTACATGTGTCTTTTGTCTCACGCGGTTTAGGACATGCGTCGTATCGCCCTGAGGACATCGTGGTGCTCACTGACGATGCGCGCCACCATCGCTCGCTACCGACGCGCAGGAACATGATCGATGCAATGCATTGGCTCATCAAGGACGCGAAACCGCACGATGCCCTGTTCTTTCACTGTGTGTTCCGTGCTCCTTGTCTGGCAGTGCTGTCTGACGCCGGCTCTTCAGATTCGGGACACGGCGGCCAGACGAAGGATCTAGATGGAGATGAGGTGGATGGATATGACGAAGGTCAGTCGGTGGTGGGATCCCCACCCTTGCTTCTAACGGAAGGTTCACAGTCATCTTTCCCATGGACTTCCAGCAGGCAGGACAGATTGTAGACGACGTGCTTCCTCTCCGTCTCTTTCCTTTCCTTACCTTGCTGAATACATGCAGGAAATGCACGACATCATGGTCAGAGGATTGCCTGCCGGGTGTCGATTAACGGTACGTGCTGGAGATCAATTCTAGGCTGATCACTCAATCACATGAGCAGGCTGTATTTGACGTTGGTCCGGTTTCCTAGTTCATCGAGTGACTATAATTACTCATTACAGTCATGTCACTCGGGAACTGTTCTCGGTGAGTTTGTTCTCCAGTCACAGCACAGCACTCACGCGACGTCCAGATCTACCATATATCGTAACCGTTTCTTCACTCCTAGTGAAAACACACTGCTGAATCGGCTCTTTTCTAGTACGACTCTCACGGTCGACTGAAGGGTAATCACGTGAGCCAACGTGCACTGGCTCGTAAAGCGGCGCCGGCGGATGTGATCTCGTTCTCGGGATGCGAGGACGGACAGACGAGTGCCGACACGTTCATGAACGGTCAGGCCGTCGGAGCTGCTAGTCATGTATGCGCTCCCCGTTTCGCTCATGATTTCGCTGCTTACACACTGTCTCATGCAAGGCCTTCATTGAGGCTGTGCGGTCGAATCCACAACAAAGCTATCAGCAGCTGTTGCAGAACGTTCGGCACGTCATTTTTAGCTATGACTCTGTGATACTTGACGGCTGAGCTTGCTTTCAGCGTGCTGTTGAAGCCGAACTTTACTCAGAAACCCCAATTGGGCAGTTCACATCCGATTGTGCGTTGATTGTCGTGAATTTGCCCCACGAATGCTGAGAGTGTTCTTAGGACACATCGCTGAAATTTATCATGTAGTATATGTTTGCTATCTGCTTTCGATTGTCTTCATGTCTTATCGTAGTACACTACTCTGCTATAATTGTAATCGCTCGCTGCTCATCAATTCATCACGGCGGTTTCAAGATGTTCCTCGCTCGGTTCCGTGGAGGATTGGCATTCTCATGATTATATTGGATTACTTAGAGCCTCAGGTCTACCTAATATAGGGTAGTCTCGATTGATTTTCTCTGCTTTACCATATTATCCAACGCGAAAGTGGTGGATGTATCCGTTACGAATTGTCCGTCCGTACATCATTAGTCTTGTGTAATATCGAGAGCGCTATATATATAGAAACTCATGTCATATCAAGAGCCACCAACGTTGGCCGGTGAGGTAGTAGATATAGATTTGTTGAATAATTATAGGGGATAGGGCAGCTCAGCCTTACTCAGGCATCGTGTCTTTGGAACGCCGAGGGACAGATGCCCACAGATCTGTCAGTGATCTCATCCAGAGTCTGTGTAGGACTGGCATGGGTAATCGGACTCGGAACTTAAAATAGGATTGGCCCAGTCATGCTGCCTCAATTCTCAAGTCCCACTCCTAATTGTCTCGTATACATTCAACAACGGCGGCGACTGTTCCGTTTCTGGGAACTTGCGCATTGGGAGCGGAAGGTGCAGGTGCGGCGGGCAGCGAGGGTCTTGCGACTACGTGGGAGTGTGCCGAAGGAGGGGGTACATAGTTGTCCCTTGACTCTAGACCGGAGGGCTAGACCCGAGGTCTCTTCAACACGTTCTTGTCAAGCTCAGGTCAAACTTTCCTTGACCGTCTCTCTCTCTCTCTCTCATCGGTCTCCTCTCTTTCTTCGATCGGTGCAAGATGATGTGGAATTTCAGCCATGCTGCGCGGACGCCCAGTATCCCGATGCTGATGCGCCAAATGTGGGGTAGATCGAGTGTACCGTGAGGAGACCCAATTTTCACCTGCCCTCGTGGCTGAATCGTGTGCAGACACCATCCACAGCACCACCGATCTTTCAGTACCGGCGCGCCGACGAGTTGGCCACGCAACGTCTCTAGTGGGTCAAGAGCGACAAACACGCGGCCGATGGCGATGCCGGCCCCTGCATCATTCATGTTCGTTCAGTATTTTCCATATCTTGTCGCTTGTGACTCAATGACGCACCGCAGAAACTCTCCTCCTGTGTGAGTAACAGTTCACTGCGCGTTCTATCCGTATCTCACATTTCACCCAGAGAATACAAGTACGAACCCAGTCCGCACACCTTGCTTTCTGTCCCGGTGCACGAGCATTGCCACCACCGAAGCTCCCAGCGGCAGCATTCACATTCGCATTTGCAATCGCACAGCCAGAAGCGGCACAGCCACCACAGCCATAGCCGTCCGCATACGCCGGCACTTCGGCCAGCCCAGATCGTCATCTCCGCACCACCGCCGCAACATCAAGTTTTCCGTAAACTACACAAGCAGCAGCAGCCGGTCTACCATGTCGTGTCGAAACCACATACTCACGCGCCCGTGCCCGTGCCCTCCGTCCCGCTCATGCCGCCCATCCACCCGAACTTCATGTACTCGCGATGTACTGGCCGACGTAAAGCCCTGTGTGTGAGTCATCCCGATCCGGGATCCGCTCGTCATGTGCTGAGAGCACTAGATCGGAATCAACTATTTTGGTAGCCCGCAAGAGCTGCGGGGGTGCATCAACGACGCCAAGAACGTGTTCCATTTCCTCGTCCGTGCGTAGCTGCGCCTTGCCCTGATTGGCTGCTGTCACCTGTGTGTTTGTTTGTCTCACACGGCCTAGGACACGCGTCGTATCGCCCCGAGGACATCGTGGTGCTCACAGAGGATGCGCGCGACAACTGCTCGCTGCCGACGCGCAGGAACATGATCGATGCAATGCATTGGCTCATCAAGGACGCGAAACCACACGATGCCCTGTTCTTCCATTGTGTGTTCAGTGCTCCGAGTCTTCGAGTGCTGTCTGAAGTCTCCCCGTCAGATTCTGGACACGGCGGCCAGACAAAGGATTTGGATGGAGATGAGGTGGATGGATATGACGAAGGTCAGTCTGTGGTAGTGCACCTAGTCATGCTCCTGACGAAATTTTTCAGTTATCTTTCCGATGGACTTTCAGCAAGCAGGACAGATTGTAGACGACGTGCCCCTTCTTCCTCTATTTGTTTTCCAGCTTGTGCTTAGTATGTTCAGGAAATGCACGACATAATGGTCCGAGGATTGCCTGCCGGGTGTCGACTGACGGTACGTGCTGGATATCCGTGCCTCGCCGATGATTCAACTGCTTTCGTAGGCTGTCTTTGTTGGAGTTAAGGGAGCGCGGGAATAAAATAAAGAGAGAAGAGGTTTGCAATAGCAGTGAATGGAATTGCTTTAGGGCAAACCAATGCCCTTCTACATAATTACAGGTTGCTTATATACTGTATGTTAGGCTATCTAGAGTGTTCTGTAACTGTCCATGGGTTTCCAGTCTGTTAGTAATCAATATGTGAGTTGCCCGAAGGCCGAAGCTGCTCGATCTAATCTAATCTTCAACACTCCCCCTGCAGCGAGGGCTTCATAAAATTCCTAGATGTTCCATATGCGCGTGATTGTCCAATGCTTGGCAACGTCCAACGAGGTGCGTCCAAATTAGCTCTAGCTCCGTTCCGTCCTACTGCCGCGGCATCCTAAATCATTGCACTGATGCATGCTGCCCGATTCTTACATAACGCGTGATTATTCAGTCGCTCAGAGCGCGTAGTCATTGTCGGAGTCATTTTCCTCCTCTTCGTACACACCGAAAACAGCATGTGCTTTGTCGGGTTCATTTACATCTTCGATCTCGGAAGATGGGCAGACACGAGCAATGTGTCCTTTGCCTCCACACCTGTGGCAAATGGCTCGTTTCCACGTTGATGATGACGTGGCGAAGTTTGATGCGGGCTGTCGTGATTGACGGGTGACAGATCGACGGTTATGGGTCGCAGCCATGGCAATGGCGAGTTCCTCGGGGGTAAGTCCATCCTTCTCGTAGCGGCGGCGTTCCTCGGTCAAGATGTCGGCAATGACAGTTTTTGACTGCGGATTAATTGTTCCATGTAAATTGGCGCGAATGAACGAGTCCCATTCAGTCGGGAGCGAACTGAGAAGGGTGACTGCAAAGTCTGAGTCAGACACTTCTTGTCCAAGCGAGCGAAGCTCCCCCTGGAGTTGGCGCATCATTTTGATGTGTGGTTCAAGCGGCTGTTGGTCGAGTGCGCGGGTAGAGTAAAACTTGTGGCGCGCAAGAATCAGGCCCATTTGGCCTTTGAGCTCAAATAATGCAGACAGCATCTGCCATGCACCGAGCGCGGTGGTCTCCCCCTGGATATGTTGGACAATATTAGGTGCGACACGAAGTCTGATCGATGACAGCGTGCGACGATCGGCTTTGTCCCATACGGCTTTCTTGGCGGTATCAGTGGGCGGGGTAACTTCGGGATTGATGTGATCATTCAAGTCCATCTCTGTGATGATGTCCCCCATTTGGACCTTCCAAGGACCATAATTTTCAGGGCCGGAAAGTGGAGTGATACGGAACGCGTTGTATGTGACAGTGTCCGCCATTTAATCGGATGATCGGTGATTTAACCGAGATTGGTTTGTGTTGGAGTTAAGGGAGCGCGGGAATAAAATAAAGAGAGAAGAGGTTTGCAATAGCAGTGAATGGAATTGCTTTAGGGCAAACCAATGCCCTTCTACATAATTACAGGTTGCTTATATACTGTATGTTAGGCTATCTAGAGTGTTCTGTAACTGTCCATGGGTTTCCAGTCTGTTAGTAATCAATATGTGAGTTGCCCGAAGGCCGAAGCTGCTCGATCTAATCTAATCTTCAACAGTCTTTGATGTTTGTTGTGCTTCCCAGCTCGTCGATTCACGCTAATTACTCATTGCAGTCATGTCACTCGGGAACCGTTCTCGGTGAGTTTTCGTCGACCCATGACAGTGCGCCCTCAGAAATGACCCGATTCCCAGATCTGCCATACATTGTAATGATTTCTTGCCTTCCAGCAAAATCGCGCAGCTTAATCGTCTCTCACTTGCAGTATGACTCGCACGGGCAGCTTAGTCACGTGAGCCCACGCGCACTTGCCCGCAAAGCGGCGCCAGCGGATGTGATCTCGCTCTCGGGATGCGAGGACGGAAAGACAAGTGTCGAAACATTCATGAACGGCCAGGCCGTCGGAGCTGCTAGTCATGTATGCCCTCTCCGTTTCCTTGATCACTCTTCTGCTGATGAACTCTCTCACCGCAGGCCTTCATTGAGGCTGTGCTGTCGAATCCACAACAAAGCTATCAGCAGCTGTTACAGAATGTTCGGTGCGTCGCTCTCATTTGTGGCTCTGTGGTACTTGACGGCTGAGCTTGCTTCCAGCGTGCTGTTGAAGCCCAACTTTACTCAGAAACCCCAATTAGGCAGTTCACATCCGATTGTACGTTGGTTATCGAGCATTTGCTCCATGAAGGCTCACAGGCTTTTGTAGGACACATCGCTGAGGTTTATCATGTAGTTTATACTTGTCGCTTGCTATTTGCTTTCGATTGTATGTCTCTTGTTCTGCTGTCGTACTCTACTTTGCTGTAATTGTAATCCTGTGCTTGCTCATCAACTCATTGTAAACATTTCGAGGTGCTCCTCGCCCGGTTTCGTAGTCGATTGTGATTCTCATTTGTATCAGATTACTCTGGCGACCCATGTCTGGCTAATATAGGACTGTCTCGACCAATTGACCCTGCATCTCTCCACATTCTTCGGTTCGAAAGTCCACGATGTTTCCGCTATGAATTGTCCATACATTATTTATCCTGGGTAACCCCGAGAGCGCTATATATACAGAAGCTTATGCCATATCAAGTACAACCTGTGCTGTTGGCAAACAAACATGAGCAAATCGACGATCAAGCCATCCATTCAATGCACATACTATGCGGCCCGGTCCCATTCAGTCTGCGCCTGACCACATCTTCCATGATAGTCCACATGCGATCTTCTCTCTGAAAATGGGCCCCGCGGAGCCGAAAGGGTTCTCGCAGAGAGAAGAAGACGATCCGCGGGTCCAGCCAGCCAAGGGTGCGCAGCGCATCGACGAGCAGGATATGCACCGAAGCTGGGGGCCCACCGTCGGAATGCCGGCCATGCCCGGTCCCACTGCTCCCACTGCTCCCACTCAGCCCCGCCCCAGCATCCCGCAGCGCGAGAACCTGCAGCTCGGGACACTCAGCCAACACCCGGTGCACGGTCGTCGCCATCCGGCCCCCCGTCGGGACGGCCCTGCGCCTCTTAAACGTCAGATCGAGCGAGACGTACTGCAGTGTGGACGGGAGGTCGCCCCAGCGCCAGCTCTGCCAGTCCTCCCAGACGTTCGTCGCGGTGAGATGCGTCAGGCGGGTGAACAACGCGCCACGGGTGGGCCACGGATCAGCGGGGTGTGCGTGTATCGCGCCGTGCCAGACAGATATTCTGCGGGGCCGGATAGAGCGTCCCAGAGCTTGGGCCAGAGAGAACGAGCTGATGGGGCTGCCGGTTGGCGTGGGGAGGAACCACGTTGTGAGCGCGTCGATTCTGGAGCAGATAGCAGCTATACGCGATGCGTAGCTCGGGAGCATGTCGAATAGGATGGAGAGCGATTTCACATGCGCGGTGAAGAAACGCGGCGGCCGAAGCAAGGAGGACTCGATGGTGTGGATGAAGGCGAGTGTAGTGCGGGTGCTGGAGAGGGAAATGCTGGAAAATAATATCGGGTCTATCCTGCCGACTTGCTATCTGAATTCCAGAGTGAGATATGGAATGAGGGCGCCACATACCACCTTCTGGTCAGCCGAGAGATCCTAACCAGGGTAAGCGCAGACCTAAAGTCCTCGCTCGCCGCCAGCTCGAACACATTACGCAACAGTCGAAGGGGCAGTGGCCCAGTAGCCATGGAATACAGCAGCAGAGTGAGCCAATCCAGCTTTTCTTTTGTGCGAGCTCCGGAATCTGTCTCCCTTCCCGTGTCCGAAGACATAGGAAGAGATAATCCTGGAAATCTGAGCTGTACGTCCGCGGAGTTGGAGATACTCGGGCTAGATATCAAAATAGATATACACTTCACCTCGGTTGTGAAATTCTTTTTGCCGGGTCCGATAACCCGAAAGTTGTAAAGTTGACTGCGTCTCAATGTGAAAAGATGAATGGCCGCACCCACCCACCAGCTAACGAGAGTAAGGCCATTCGATAGTATTCGAGTAGCGCCGAGCGTTACCGTCGGTGAGATTGTCGGTCTTCAACGCTCTAACCGTGTGTTGGCACAATCTGATCCGCGGAAACGTTTAATTATCTCAACTTCTTGTGCTCCATATGTGGAAATTACTATTGAAGGTAAGTTGACGTCTCCGAAAGCCATGCGGTTCCGCGGTGCACAAAACGATCATTGAGGAGCCTGAGTTTTCCACCCTCTCCGGAAGCCAGATCGTCCGACTTACGGGTGTAAACTAAAACGCTTGGAGATGACAAATCACAAGCCTACGTTTTACGCGGCCGGAACAAAAATAGTTGTGTATCCGGAAGCTGACTAGGACCGAAAGCCCCGTATGCCATCACCTCATGTTGATCCAAATCCAAGCTTAAGTGGCGTCATCTCTTTACTCCATTCATCCTTGGTCATGTTGGCTCGATATCTACTCGGATTTGTGGCGGAGAAGCTGATACCTGCTTGCATGAGGCATGCTCAGCAGTGGACCTCTGACAACTATCTCCCGCGTCGTTTTGGCACAAGACGCAAAGACCGCGGATCAAACAGTCTGCACCGCGGTCAAACAATAAGCACGACAGTATCACAGTCGTTTACAAACCTTTACCGGTGCCCTGGCTTTGCAAAAATGCCGACTTGATAGGGCCAGTTCGGCTCTGGGGCCCAGGGCATTGAGTCCCTCCATCACGCGGGGAGATGCGGGCTTTGGCCCTCAGCGCTAGCCCAGTTCTCGTGATAGCCTCGGCCCGCGGGAGCGTCGTTAAGAAAATGCAGGCTTCCGTAGGTTGTGATTCCTTCCTCCGTGCCCGTGTCTGAATAAGAGTCAAAACTGGGAGGTGGTCCGCAAGAATATGTCTGATTGGTTCTTCCACTGGCCCAGTCAGTCAGCTCATACACCCAAGACATTCCAGAAACGATGTGTCACCCTCGGCTTTGGGTTTCATCATGAGCACATGCTTTCCCACGAAGATCGTTGTGTGAAAAAGGGACACGAGGAGACCCTGCATTATTACAACCCGTTTCAAAGCTCGTTTCTGCATTATGGTATATTATGTTCAAAATATAGAGATGAGGGAGAGGCCATGATTTAATTCCATGCATGATATCCAATTTCACCCTGCCTTCGGTGCGCCAGGACGGATGTATCTCCTCGCTGAAAGCGCAGCAGTCTCGTTAGATTGATGCGCACAGCACGATAATGTTGGGTTAGGGTCAACTGACAGTCTTGACTCTTGAGCCACCTCGATCAGCGCTCTAGATTACAGGTTCCACAGCCTACTTGGTACTGAGCGCTCTCGTCTCGGAAGCGTTCAGTCACGCTTCAACCTCTGAACGCGGATACAACTGGGTCTCGTCGTCGTCGTAGCGGTCTGTCATCCAATTCAATGATAGTACCAAGTAAGTGTGGGCGAGTTGCTGCTGGAAACCAGCAGGAGTCTCATCTCATCTCCATGGAAATTCGGTCGACTGACTGCCACTCACTCTCATGTAAGTAGCACACCCGTGGCGGTGCTCCTCGGCCCACCGAGTGCTCACACAGCTGTCAAAGCCGATAAGCAGCCAGTGCCCTTGAGCCGTTGGGCACTCATCGCGCTTGCCTTGAGCTGGACTCCACGTTTCATTATTCTCCGGGATCACGGCAAATCAGCAGATACCAGTCCCACCACAACTTCTCATCCCCACCACGACTTGACTGAAACGAGAGACCGGCTGGGAAAATTCGGGACGTTGCGGGACGATCTCGACATCTACCGGCGTGACGCTACGCCCGAGCGGTCAGGATACCAATTCAATGCTCCTGGTGTATCGCAGCTAAGCTGCTATCTGGAAACCGTCACACATGATCAAAGATGCATGTGGATCAGGGTTGATATCTTTCGCGGCGGATTCTGATATCGCCCTAAGGATTGACTTGAATGGAAGATTGTCGCTCTTGCGCTGTATTCTTCATGTCCAGCGACTCTGGCGTCTCGCAAAACACTCTCAAACTCATGTCTACAGATTTCTCGGGTTGTCATCAGAGACGTCGTGCAGTACCAGTCACAGTCTATGACACCCTCCGTCGATCACGAAACTACGATTGTGTGGGTCCCGGGTAGGAACGTCATTGAATAATCGGACACCGCTCCAGAACTCTTCAGTGCCGCTCGCCGACGGTACATTTGGCCTGACTTGATTCATGTCCAAACTTATACGGCGTCTAATGTCGGCGCTCCTGATCTTCTAAAACGAATCTGCGAGCGTAGAAACCCGTAGGGTCCAACAGCGTGATGATGATATCTGAGTGTGGGTATCCGTCGAGCCCGCAGAACTTCTTAAGACGCTAGTTCAGTAACCATGAGATTCTCCAACCCATCGATTTCCAGCCTTGGGTCCTGCCTTCGTCTTTCCCCCTTGTCTCCCTCTTTTTTTCCTCTTCTTCGACACTCCTTACATTGTCTTAACTTTTTCGTGATGGCCACGCCTGGCAATCCTACCACCCGCGAAGCATACTATCACCCGTTGACGGGCATGGTGGCATCCGGGCTCCGGGAAGAACTTGACTGTGCAGACATTTGGGCGCATCCTCTGCTTTTCAATGTGCGTGTTCTGCGACGCGGAATTTCGATGGGATCGAGCCTGGCTGACTTGTCACATCCAGTCTGATCAGCCCACTTTCTTTTCGTTTCAGGAATCCTTCGACGATTTTACTCACGACCACCCTCGGCATGATCTCGCTATGCCGGGGGTTGATGATCGATACAATCACCTGTCGTTGGGGACGGCGGATGAGCGCTATCACTCACGAGACGCACCCAGTCCTTGCCCATCTTTTTCCAGCCTCCAATCAAGCCTTCATACGGGGCCTAGAATGATACAGTTGCCCGAGCTGTATACAACGAACGATGTACGTTGCACTCAGCACAGCAATCAGACATCTGAGCCAGCACCAACGCTTCTTGGCAGAATTTCCCCGAACTTAAATCGTTCGACGAAGCAACGACACAGTCCCTCAGCCGACCCCGAAACGCCTCCTGGCCTGCGACCAGTCTGCTTTCGACATCGCCATCCGCACACCTCTCTGGCCCACCCACGCCATTCACAGACAGTGTCAGCACATATTACGCCCCATCCAGACCGCAATGGGATACACCCGTCTCACACCCCGATCCCTCGCAGCTCTCGTTCACAGGGTATGACGATTATCTCGATTGGGCCTGGACTGCCGCAACACTGGCGCCGGAGGTCTGGCAGGAGCAGCACTTGGGCGGCGCAGCCGGGCCGGCCCGGAGCAGCCCGTTCCGAAGGAGACGGTCTGGGAAAAAACAGCCGGTTGCGTGCGTGTTCTGTCGGGAGCGCAAGATCGCGTGTGGGCGGCCCGCGGGGGCTGCCGACGGCGGCACCGGCGCCGGGGATCAATCTTGCAAGTACGTCGTGCTCTATCCTGTTCTGCCGTCGACACCAGAGTGAGCTGACTCGTTCATAGTCAATGCGCGAAGCGGAAGTTGGCGTGTTTCTTCCCCGCCGCCGTGTCCCGAAGAGGATCACAGTCACGTGCCCCGTCTGCGATAGGCAGCAGAAGATCCTCGCTGGCGAGAGATGATTTACCTGCACCTTCAAATTGATTTGACGATAAAGACTAATCTGCGGACGCCGAATTTTTGTGCCTGCCAAAAGTATTAAAATTACATATAGCGCCAGACGGACCTAAACCACGGACTAGTTTGTACAATCACACTGTATGCATCACTTATGATCACCCTACTCGTATCGGACTCAGCCTTTGAGACTAACATATGGACTTGGACATTGACATTGGTGACCTGACACCCTAATCCACTGTAATCATTACTAGTGGAAACGCAAGATCTGCCTTTGTACTTTGGACGGAAATATCCCAAACTTCAAGAATTGTTCCTCGGTAGAAGCCGAGACCTGTCGATGATTCTGGCCACCAGGAACCCGACGTATCTCTGGTTGCCGAATCGGCGGGAAAAGACGAGAAGTGGTCCTAAATTGTTCACAAGTCTGAAAACAAAGAGCAATGAGGCGATTGAGAAATCGTCAATCTTCTCTCACGGCCTCTGCTAGCACAGCTGCCCTGCCTTCCACGCTGTGTGATAATTTGGCACTCAAGTTGTACATGATGAAAATGACGTATTCTGAGTAGCCGAGACTCATTGCTCAACAGCTCTTTACCCCTAGGTACAAAGTAATAATGCTCATGAGCTCGGAACATGTTCGCATTAAGTACGTCGATGTTTGGATCCATTGTCACGAAGTTCAATTTCGTGAATGATTGCGAGAAATTAATACTAGAATTGCTCCACATGTGGGAGTCGTTTCAAAGGGCTACATGTATTAGCCATGAGACAAGGGGGACCTGCTTGTACCCCTGGGCCACGTTGACAAACCCCCGGGACATGTTTCACCGTCATTTGTGGTGCAAAACCATCGCTACATGCGTACAACACCAAAGACGGACTCCATCTGGAATTTTGAAGTCCAAAAAACCACAAGGATGAGTTTTTGTTCCTGGCAGAGCATATTAGGCACTATGTAGTTTGCCGGGATCCTATTCCGCTCACATGACTCCGTATCCACAGGCATATGAAAGTGTTTGAGTATATATGCTTTATATCGGTATGGTAATTTACAACAGGTGTTTCTCGGGATCTGCACTCGTTTCGATGATTTTTACCGGCTTCGCTTGAATGGATGGATCATCACGTGTCAATGAAAGATAATGACAGAGTGGGATCAAAAAATGTGAAACAAATCAGGCCATTGATGTATATTCAGTCTGCTCTCTCTCCCTCGTCCGCCCCATGGCCACAACTTCAATCACACTTAGACCTCTCGGTTCGTTCTGCTTGGTTCATTTTTTCTCCATGCTGATATACAGGGCAGGCATTGTTGAGCGCTACCACGCGCTGCACCATTTCTACGGCTATGGTGCAAACGTCGCTGCATCCTGCCGCTATTTCCTCCACCACGAAACATCCACACCACTCACGAAAGAGATTCTTTTTCCCGCCCTGCGTAAAATGATCGAAACCCAGGCGGGGCTGGGTGTGCGCATGGTGGGTGACGAGTCCGGGAGCACAGATATCAAGAGTCTCAGGTTCGAGCGGCTGGACATCGTCGATCTAGATTTAGTGGTCGAATTTGGAGGTGAGGAGACGGTCGAAAGCGCACTGCAAGGTCAGTTGTGCCGGGATTTCGAGACTCGGGACCCGGTCCCGCTATGGCGGGTGCAGGTCCTGCCGGGTGGTGTGGTGGTATTTGCGGCACATCATGCCATAGCAGATGGGATGAGTTGTTTGGCGTTCCATCGTGCTCTACTCGCTGCGCTCAACGACCCCAACTCCGCGGCCACTGCAGATCCCGTCGTCATTGTCCCCCGCACTCTGACGCTCCCCCCGTCGATTGACGACGCAACAGATCTCTCGCCAGGTCTGTTACGGATCCTGTATGAAATCGTTCAGGCCATCCTACCCGCATCGTGGACCGCCCGGGGTACAGCATACACCGGCAATCCCGTGCCGCCCGCTGCACTCCCCCGTGCAAAGCTCTCCACGCGACTACGCCTGCTCACCATCCCTCCTGCCGACGCCGCAAAATTAGCGTCAGCAGCCCGCGCGCACGGCGCCACCGTGACTTCCGCGCTGCATATCCTCGGCTGCGCGGCCCTTTCCCGCGCTCTGCCCGACGCGCAGAGCTACCCGAACATCTCGTCGAACATCTCACTGTCGGCGCGTACCGCGAGCGTCCCTCCGACGTCGGATAACCTGATACTCAACTATGCATCTGGGTACCACGTGCTCATCCCCACCTCGCCGAACTTCGACTGGGCCTGCGCGAAGGTGCTCTCGGGCGAGCTTCGGGTGCAGCAGAAGGAGGGCGCGCGCGCACTGGGTCTGATCCGCCTGCTTGGTTCTGGGTTCGCCAATTTTGTGAAGAAGCAGGTCGGGAGCCGACGTTTGTACGCGCTGCAGACGTCCAACGTAGGCCGCTTTATTGTTCCTGATGATGGGATGTGGGCGTTGCGGGACGCGGTGTTCGCAGCAAGCGACACGTATGTTGGCGCTGCCATGATGCTGCACGTCGTTGGAAGTCCAAGCGGCGAGTTAGCTGTTGTGTTTACGTGGGATGAAGGGAACGGGGATGGGGCTAGTTTGGACGAACATGTGATTGAGCGCTTCATTGATGCGTTTCAGCAAGGTATCATGGATTTATTCTGATTGTCATGGAAGAGTTGTGCAATATTTCACGGACAGTGACCTTGAGCAACTAGATCGATCTTCAGTTCCTAGGTTGTCTAGCCTCTGACATAAAACTAAGCAGAAAAATGGCAAGGTACTGCGCACGTGAAAAGCACGTGCGGCTGAGATCTCATCTCCGGCTTCTTCGTGATAAACATGACATCGGGCTTGAGCTGACACTTACCAACAACCACACACTCCCCTTGGAGTTTCGCAGGACTCGAGACTTAGCCAGGGGGGTATCTAACGCAACATGTACATATGTATTTCTACATCCGTCAACGTATATACCCATGTAAACAGAACGGCGAAACCACGTAGTTGTAGTCGAGAGCGGGACTTGGAGATTCCCAGAGTCCCGCGGTCGATTCCGGGTGTCCCTTTCAAAACGTACAAGATTCTAATTGCTGTTGAAATACTTACATAAAACCCAAACCCCAAAACTGTTGTCCATCATAATAGTGTGCCGTTTCTGACATCTTGAACAACTCACTCAGCCACCCACGATCTGCCGAAAGTCGAGAGGCTTCGAAGCACCTGAGCGGTTTCCACCGGATTAAGGCAATCGAGTGACTCTACTTGAATCAAATTAAGGTTGATCTCTCAACGGGACAAGCTGGACTGTTTCCATCTCATCCCGCTTGACAGCAGAGCCAGACTCTCCGGTCTCCGGCAAACCGCTGTTCCCTTCGTGCACGTCCAACAGGCGTTCCCGGATGAACGCCACGACGCCTGCCGACTCGGATCCAGGCTGCCCGCCCTCTTCCAGCAGCTGCGGGAAATCTTCGTGCCAGCGCCGGATGAGCGTGCCTCGCTGGAATATATGCAGCGCGCCGAGGGCCGAGAGGTGTCGGCGCGCTGAGATTGATACCTGAGAACGACAGACGATAAAGGAGCGCGGATGAAACGCACCTAGGAGGAAATACAAGACGCTGGCGCCGAAAAGCCATGCAAACACGCCGTCGATGGCAGTCCAGAAACCACCAAGGACGGACAGGCCCTCGGTGGGCGACGAGCTCGCGTAATCTTTGACGTAGCTCGTTGGGGAGCTCACGCGTTGCACGATAGTCAGCAGCGACGTATTCGCAGGAAGACCCGCTGCGGGCAGGGGGATCTGCACGATGCCCTCCAAGTGCAGACTGTACACCACTTTCGGTCTCTGAACACCAGTTTTGAGTTCGCTGAATGACAGACGCGAGATGGTGTGCATACCGGGAAAACCGCTACGAAGAAGGAAGTGCGCACGGGAGTCAAGTCTCGGCGGGTCCAGGAAACTGAGGCAACCAAGTTGACATTGGGCACAACTGGGATCGGATCACTGAACATCAGTAAATCGGCGACGTCTCCTGCTGCGCCTGGGAAAACGTTGGCGACGTCAGTCGAGACCGCCGTCGGCGGGAACTGTATAGTCAATTGCATGCTCAAGAGTTGGATCCACGATAGATTGTTGCCTGAGTTTCGATGCTCAGCTGCGAGTTCGGAGTATAACATGAGTGAGGGGCGTACAATTTGCTACCATCCCCGGGACGGTGCTGGCATTGTATACCTCCTTGCTGCTGCAGACAGGCTTGGGTCCCGAAGCTCCGCCGCCTAATGCTGCGGCCTTGTACACATGGGTGATGTTAAGGAAGGTAGGCACCGCAAGGCTCCACGAACTCGAAAATTCGCTGGAAATCTGAGACATAGATAAGGTCAGGAATCCGATGAAGAAGGCGACTGACCAGAGCAAACTGTGGTGTTACGTCGACGAACGCCAGTTTCCCGATACTCCATTGTCTTGCCGATTCGTACGAAACCACGGAGTTATTGATGGGCAGCCAGACGATGTAGTAGACCGCCAGACAGGGAATGCCCAGAGTGATTGCTACGAGCACCAACGCCCGCAGTACGATGATCCCCCCGGACTCGCCCCTAAAAGCTCGAGTTCAATCAGCGGGCACACCAGACACACGTTCTTGCAAGCGCACCGGACGAGCGGCCGGGCAAGCGATCTGCCTAAAAGGATTCGCCACGGGGTGTAAGGCGGGTTGATCGGGGTGCACCTGCCCAGCAATGCGATTTTCATGGACCAGATCGAGCCCGGAGTCTGGCTCGCGGTCGCCAACTTGAAGCACAGAGAGACGCAGAGGAGGAGAAGGATGACGATCAAGAACGCGTAGGCCCCGCCTGCTGCCTCGTATTCAGATAGGAAGAAGACGAACGCTGTGGATCTCTTTACCGTTCTAGCCACTGCCAATCACGCAAGGAACGCACCGCTGACTTCGAGAACCGTCAACAAAACGTCCAGCCACGCATACAACCGCAAACGCACACTGCGCAGGGTGAGCCGGTCCATAGCCACTTCGTCAAACCCACCACGACAGATGGTGCACAACTGCAAACGGGGCAGCGCCAATCGACACTCCCAGCAGCAGCGCATACGCTGCGCCCCCACTCGATGCGAATTTAGGCGAGGGAGGCAGGACAAACGGGAGACTCCGGACGACGAGTGCAAGGAGCAGGAGCCGATGGGTGTACACGCGGAGGACTGGGCTCCACAGGAGATCTGAAACAGGCATGGTAGAGGGAAGAAGAGGCTGCACCGGGCAGGAGTGGCGGAACCTGGGTGGATAAGGCACTTATACTGGAGCAGAGCACTGATCTGGTTGCCCAGTGCATCTCTACATACATGCAAACCATTGGGGCACTGTCACCAGCGGATGCAATGAGGCGCAAGAATAAACATCGATCACTGTCGCCTTCAGTTGATCATTTCGAGCACGTTGCTGGGACAGTGCAACAGATCGATCAGAGACTTCTGCCAACCGGGAATTGCAGAGGTTTCGCAGACCCACCTCATCGTCAGCCATGAGCGCATGATAAGAATGGGTGAAGCGAGCCGATCCGTCACACAATCACACCTCTGGGACAAGGTTACTTGTGACGTGACAAAGAAAATTGCGTTCGGAACGAAAAAGTGGATCTGGGAGACGAACAGTAGATTCCGAAAAGAGGCTCTTCGGACAGAGGCGCCCGGCTGGCCAGACCTGTTTGGTGACATAAGTGTTTTCAAGGCCGACCGGCCTGTCCCTTCGGACATGGCCAGAGCTACGGTCATACACTTTACACGAGTGATAAACTATGAAAAAACGGACTTCCAGTCGAAACACCGCATATACTCTTGACTGTTTTTCTTTCTACTGGGCGAAACCGAGAATCGCAAGCACTCCTGATCGCCTGATGCCATCACTCTCATCAGCAGGACTCTGGACACGCTCTGGAGGCAGCCTGCTCGGTTGATCCCGACTACTTACCGTCATGCCACTGGCTCGGCTTCCCGAGGATGTCGAGCGCTACATCTTTGAGATTGGGGCATTCTCAAATCCACGCTCGATCTCCACGTATATGCTCGTTGCACGACGTGTCAAAATTTGGTGCTTGGTGCCTGCATTCTTCAATGGCTAGACATCGCTGAAATGATCAGAACAGGCTCGAGCCGCTACTCTACCGGACCCTCGTTACCGGCTCGGAGGCGATTCCCGCCATACCCGCTGTCCCACTCCAACGCATCCTAGATCTCCCGGACGCTCCTAGATTCACGGCGCACACGCACAACCTGCTCTGCCACACACTGACTCAGGAGCAAATCCTCAAGATCATCGCCTTGTGCCCCAATGTCAGAAACTAGTTCGTCACGCCGTATGCCTGGCACATGGATGAGGAGTCTTGGATGGATCTCGCCGTGGGAGTCGCGTCTCTTAGACGCCTCCGGCGGCTGCACTTCTCTCTCCACTGCATGTTCGTAAAAGACTTTGATGGAGGAGAAGCTAGTGCTTCTCACGATTGGGAGTGCGCCCTGATCCATACACCGTTGTTCTTCACGCTCAAGCAGCTCACGCATCTCGAGATCTTCTCCGGCCTTGGTGAGGCGTCGGACGATGGCGCGCCTCATCCGAGGTGGAAACTACTCGCCGAGCTCCCGCTTCTGACGCATCTAGCCTTGAACTGGCTGGAGCCCGAGCTCTGGCGCGCCCTGCTCCGTGCGCCGATGCATCTCCAAGTCCTGGCCATCCTCACGTCGTTCGATCCATCGTTCCGGCCCACCGCCATCGCGGATGGGGTCCCAGATGATGATCCTCGTTTTGTTGTTATCAACCAGGACCGCTTTGCCGAAGATTGGCAGAAGGGTGCAGTCGCGGGCGAGGATTACTGGAATGCGGCGGAGAGATTTATCGAGAAAAAGAAAAACGGATTGATTGAGCAGGATGCGTGAGTCTGTTTTACATCCAAGGCTACAGAAAGTTCCTTGATAACTCTTAGGTTTTACATCGAGTTGGTTGACAGCTCCATGAATGAAAATTGAGTAAAGATTCCGAAACCAGTGTGAGGAAGCGACCGGGGTCAACGAAGATGAACATATTTTTCAGTCCAACGAAAGGGCAGAGAAAAGCCCTGGACATTGACTGGGCTATTTCGCAGAGCTTGGTATGCGGCTCGGAATGTGTCTTGTCTGATGATGAAGGATACTGGCATAACAAAAGTTCCGCGTGAGTTCGTAAAAAAGCTCCTCCACAGAGGATGTGTCAACGATTTTTATCGCCAGGATTCGAAAGTCAACACAGCTGCCATGTCAGTATTACAGCCTATTTCCCTGGAAAAATTTCCATACATGGACTGCCTTCCTCGTGCCATCATTTGCAAAGAATCATTTCCGGCGGACCCGGTAATGCTACTTAACTCGCAGGCAAAACCCTGGCCTGAATTAACCATCCCATCTCATTCGTATCATCCCTTATCAGTCCAATGCTTTCTTCGCCGATGACTAATGTGAGTTTCAAGGACTGAAAGTTCGGCGTTCTAAGGATTTGGCGAGTCCTCCATCGAAGACGAGTGAATTTTCTCCGTTGGATTTCGGAGTTGCTGGTACACTGACAAAAATTGATCATATGGGTTGTTGCTCATTCTATCGCGCATCTGGGACTACAGGGGGCGAAGCCTTCAATCTGTCACGTGCCGTCATGGCCCAATGTCACATTCATCTTCTCCTGTGACTGTCAAATCTGCTGACCGGCCCGCTTCTTTTTCGCTGCTATCTTGCTGCTATCCGTTGGCTATTCGCCTACTATACCCTGCGCAATCAGCGAACGACGTGACCTTCGTGAACACTACAAGTAAGGGCATGTCGCGTGGGTGTACGCCGGAACGAGGGAATCACGCTGCACTATGAGCATCTGCGACCCATGTAGGTACGGTCTGTTCTGCTTTGGTTGGCCCGGGCTGACGCGGCGGCCCCTCAGAATCATCGAAGGCGTATGTTTGTCCCAACTCGGACTTGCACACAAGGATCTGACCCTTCTGAGACCTGCGACGGAGCTTTGCCTGCATGTACCCAGTGCCAGATACGCTCTGTCCCGTGCACTTACCAATACGAGCGACCGTGCAGCCCTGAGGACGACTTCTTTGGGCCTTGGGGGCTGGATGAGACTACCGCGGCTGTACTGTTGGGCGGAGGTGGGTGTCGCCGGCGTTCGGAAGCCGTGGGCGCTAATTTCAAAGCTCAGGCAGTCGTTCAAGCTCGCCGGAGTCGATACGTAGCGGCCGATACTACGATAGACTGACTACGGCCTCGCCGTACGATCGGATGGCGAGTGTCTCGCCGTTTGAGACGCGCTCGGTGCATTCCCCCTACGACCGCTTGTCTGGACCGTCACCATTCGAGCGATTGTCGAGCGGATCGCCATTCGATAGATTGACTACGCCCTCTCCATTCGACCGCATCATGTCGCCGACCACTTCTCCGTGAGTTTTGCGAGAATGCAAAGCCTGACGACCTCGTCTTAATGTCACTTGTAGCCACGACCCCAACTCCTTCCTTAGCCGCTTCTCCCACTCTCCGCTCTTCTTTCTCGACATCTTGTGGTTCCGACAGTCGTTTCCAGGCGCTGTCGACTCGGATCTCCGCACTGCCGTGTACATGTGGACAAGCTTCCCAATGGCTGATACCACTCTGTCCCAAACCGTGGAGACGCTGGCGAAAGCTGTTCCCGCCAGTGACGACTCGAGCACAATTCTTCAGACGGTGCAGGGGCAGATCATCGTGTCGTACTACTGCCTGGACACCGGCTGGCGCGAGCAGGGGATGAATCTCTGTGGAGCAGCGCTCTCGCTTGGTTCCTGGGCGGGGATCTCTGCGTCAGACACGAACTCTTCATCGACGTCTCTGGAGCGAAACAAGGCGTTTTGGGCGCTGTTTCTGCTTCATAATCTATGGGTCGCTTCGTTTGGCGTGAGTTCGAGTCTTCCGTACGATCCGCGGGACGTGAGTGTGCCTTGGCCGTGCAGCGGGAGGCTTGCGAGCGGATCCCAGTTCCCTATTGCCGAGTTTCTCGATGCAAAGTCCGATGTCTCGACAGATTCCGCAACGCTCTTTCTGCAGGCGTCGATTCTTTTGCAGCAAGTTGTGACGTTTTGCATGGAACGCCAAGGCAAGGCCATACTCGAGCTGATGATGGCTGAGCTCATTTCAGAGACAGGCGACAAGTCGGATGCTGATCGGTTTGCGAAGCTTCAAACACGGCTGAGGTCCTTCGTTGGGCATCTGCCTCCGCTAGTCTCGACAGAACCAATCGCGGATGAAAAGTATCAAGTCGCACTGATCACGCGGTGTCTGCTCAATGCCTCGGTTCTCCGATTGCACGCATTCGGGCACAGCGGCTCTGGAACCGCCCCAGCCGTGGACTCTGCGGCTCGTGCGGCATCGAATCGGTTCGTGTCGGACATCCGGCATGCTCAGAAGCGGCGATTCGAGTGGGTGGATCCTGTGCTTGGAGTGAGCCTGCCTCTGTCTGTCGCATCTTCCCACTGACCGGTGTCAGCCATTACTGTCCACTGCATGCTTCTTCAATTCTTCGAATGCATCGAGGGTTCCCGAAGCGGTGTCGAATATCCGGACGCTTGCCTCGGCCATGTCCATCTGTGCTGGGCATTCTACACTGATTCGTGCGTGCTGTTTTACTTTCCAGGCGATCAGATCCCTCATGGCAAGCAGAGCAGTGCTGGGATGCGACGATCAGCTCATTGCACGCTCAGGGATTGTCCAGTGCCTTGTTCTGATGCCCAGGACTGCTGCCTGACACCCCGACATCAACGTGTTTGCTTTCCATTCACACCAGTCTGCGACGCGCCTGGAGGGGAAACCAGGGACCAACTGCGTACTAGATTGTAGTAGCTCTTCAATTGATCTATGGTCTTCGTACTATTGGTCCACCTCCATGGATTGTTGGATATTACTGTGTGCATGTGCAGCCAATTTTGCTGGACTAGATACAGATAATGAATGGCTGAGTGGCTTGGTCGACTAGGCAGAGAGGATCAGTTCAGGACACTTCCGCAACAATGAGCAAACGCACTCTTCACACCGGAAGCCAGAGCGGCTCGTTCCAACACTCTCCTGCTCCTCGCAGATGCATTGAAATGCCCACACCATGGACACTTGTACTCTGCAAACCAGCATCGGTCATTTCTTACCGCACGGCCCAAAAGTGAGGAAACGCACGCGCATCCGCCCAGATCGCCTCGGGCACCAATCCGTTGTGCGCAAAACACCTCTCGCAGATTAGCGCGAAGCGTTGCTTCGCGTCATTCTGTTGCTGTAGCTCCGAGTCCGGGCCAAGCAACAGGTCCACGAGCGAGTCGAGCCACCCGCGTTGGCTAGGATCAGGGGTGGCGGGCGGTGAGTCGATTGGTGCGAGAGAAGGATGTCCCGGGAAACGACTGGATACTGGTGGGGCTTCGAGACGCGGATGGGGTGCGGCTAGGGGGCGTATGTCTGCTCGAGGCTGTGAGTAACATTTATGTCGGGAATCGTACCGTCATCGGGGATCAGGAAGCAGCCAAACGCTATTTAGAGCAGATAGACACCCCAAATTTGAACTGATCATGCGGGGATCGTCGGACCCAGCGAGGCCGAAGATATGACGCTCGACATCCCCCGGAAGCGCAGGAAGCGGAGATAGTCGGAACAGTTTGGGAAAGCCGGAGAGCACGGCGCCGATAGGATATGTCAACTCTCAGTAGATCCAAAGCCGAGCGTAGTTGAGAGATCAGGGATATGATGCTACGGCGGTCCGGTACGGGCCAAATACGTCGCTCATTTTACATAACTGTTTCTCACTATTCACGGACAACCCTGGCGAGCCCCGACACCATTTTTAGATGTTACGGCAAGTTCAGAAGGGCTCTGACTTTGCATTATGAGTCGCATGGACTAGAATGGCAGCCTCTGCCGACAAAACATGGCGCTAGGGGGTATGGCGTGACTTGAGGACGACCACCCTGATAGCTCTTATAACGGAAAGACGTCCTTTTTCTGCTTCGTGTACCCCCCACGAGGTCGGCCGATCGGGTAGCGGAGGCGAACCGCCAAGGTCGTGATAAAAAAGTGGGATCATATCAGATAACCGGAGTGATCCGGGCGTCGTTTTCCGCATGGGTGCGACCCTGACCTCGATCCTCCCGAGGCTGCGAATTGGTTCCTTATTTATTTGTATGCCACGCAGGCAATAGTCATCAAGAAGAACAGAGCTGTTACAAAACAGCAGGAAGGCATTGTGACCGCAGTAAAAGGCAGACTGATCCAAATTGAGAGCACTTGGTCATAAACGGTGATCGGAGGATTTCACGCGCGCTCCTTTGTGCATCATGATCGTGTGCTTCCAGAACGATTCACCGGAGCGAGCGCACACGTAAGGGCGCTCGGGGCCAGTAGAAGCAGCTTGCGGGCGTAGCCAAGAGCACGCGTCATTGACTCATGTTTGTTGGGCAGCCCCTGCACCTCAACTGGGGGCATGGCTTGCCTCAGTAAAGCCCCTCGCGTGGTCCAGACGCGGCCCAGAACCCTCCGGAACAAGCTTCTACCGGGACCAAGAGATTTTGGGGCGAGGGTTATCAGATAAATCTATGACGTGATCATCTAATCAGATTACCCTAAATCCGGTCCAATGCGAGCTCGCCAAGACGACAGCGAAGAAAAAAACGCGAATATAAGCGGTTCGGGCGAGGGAGATAGAGGCCACTCCTCTTCCCCCAGTTCTTGCTGAAGAGACATGTCGACCTCTCTTCTCTCCGCCGCCGCATCTGCCACCAGGACTCTCGCCGCATCTGCATCCGCCTCCCACTCTGCGGCGCCAGCGAAGAAGGCCAACCCTGACGGTGTCTTATGGAAAGCACGAAACAAGGAGTACCCAAATCAGATCTGGTACTTCTGCGCCGCATGCATCGCTCTCCTCACACTCGTGAACTTGACATCGATTCTTGTGCGCCGGTTCCGCCGCTCGTCGCCGTTTGTTGCGCGTGCAAGGGGACCCGTTACGTTGACCCGGATACCCGCGGCTGCGACACATCTCTTCCGCTGGCTGGCATTCTACTCGACAGTTTCGTTCGGCGGCTACACGTTGGACCTGGCGGAGCTGTTCATGGCCTGCGGGTATATCGCTGTGATCTACGCTTGGGGGTTCGTCAATTGTGAGTTGTCTGTCTTCGATCGTGCTCACCAGTGCTGATGGGACACAGCGACTAGTCTGAAGGGCCAGGTTCTGCTCGTCAATTACTGGAGCAACCGGACCGGTGATATCGCCGCGACTCAGTTCCCGCTGATGATTGCCCTCGGGATGAGGAACAACATAATCGGATGTGGGTGCTCGGCGTTTTCGTTTGCTTGCTGTTCGCTGACCCCCCATTTTAGACCTCACTGGCATCTCGCTGGATAAGGTACCAACCGCCTCGTTTCGCTTTTCAGATCCAGCTGACGTCTTCTTAAGATGAATCTTCTGCATCGTGTGGTCGCACGGGCCCTTTGTGTGATGATCTGGATCCACGGAGCCGGACGAGTGAGTTAATTGGCCCCTCTGCTAGATCATCTTTAACGCAATTTTCCAGGTTTACATCGCGTAGGCAGACTTCCTTTTCTCTCAACGAGTCTGACATCAAGCATAGCATCGGCAATGGAGAGAACGCCCAAAACGTTCAGGAGGGATGGTTCCGATGGGGCATCGCTGCTGCGGTTCCCTTCACGCTTCTTTGCGTCTTTTCTGTGCGGACAGTCCGGAAGCGAAGCTACGAGGCCTTCCTCATTGCTCATTTCTTCGTGGCCATGTGAGCATTAGGCATTTGGCATCGGGACGAGAGCTCACCAAAGACAGCGTCCTTCTCGTCGGAGCTTACTACCACGCGAAGGCGAAAAAGTAAGAGTGCCGTCGGTGATCCGTTCCACAAGCTCACGCGTCTCCACAGTAAGGCAGTCGAGATATGGCCTTCGTTCGTCATCTGGGGTTTCGACCGAACCCTTCGGTTCATCCGGACGTTCGTTGCCAACAGCGGATACATTCACTTCCTCGGCAAATCCGACGCACGGGCGAATGCACTCGAGGCGGACGTGCACGTCGTCTCGCCCAAGCTGCTGCGGGTCTCAGTGCTGCTCCCCAATCGGGTCCACTGGAGCCCTGGCCAGATTGCGTATCTCTCTGTCCCCAGCGTCAGCCGCACGCCATGGGAGGCGCACCCATTCTCGATTGCCAGCCTCGACACCAGCGCCAGCGCATCCTCCACGAACTCGTCTCGCGATGAGAAGCAGGGCGAGCTCAGCGCGTCCTCGTCCTCGTCGTCAATAGTGGTCCCGTCGCCCGGGTACACGAAGGAAGCGGTGTTCTTCATCCGTGTGCACCGCGGATTCACGAATCGGTTGTTGGATGCGGCCGCGGCTGCCAAGGGCCCTGCACGCTTCAATGCCTTCGTCGACGGGCCGTACTGCACACCGCCCACGGCGCTCGGTTACTCGTCCGTGCTGCTCATTGCGGGTGGATCTGGTGTGTCGTTCACGCTGCCTTTGCTGCTCGATCTCGCACGGTATGTCTCGATCCCCCTCTCGAGCGTCCAGCTGCTGACAGAGTATCCAGCGCTGCCCGACTGAACGCGAATCCATGCTGCGGCCGAGTCGTCTTCGTCTGGTCGGTGCGCGAGTCTGACCAAATCGACGCCGTAGCACCTCTACTCTCCGCTGCGCTCGCGGACCTCGATACCAAGACGCTCGGTCTCGAAATCCGCATCCACGTCACACGCAACATGGAAGACACTGACGGCACCGAGGACGTGGCGGCGGGCGACGACGACGAGAAGGACGTCCCCGCCAGCCCCACCAGCTCCGTCACGGCCGCGAGGCGCCTGCGGCGGTTCGAGTGTGTGACTGTGAGCCAGGGGCGGCCGGACATTGACGAGCTGCTGCGCACGGAGGTCGCTGCGGCGTCGGGTGCCATGGCCGTGAACGGTGCGTGTCTCCCGTCGATGCTGACCGTGCATACACTGACGCGGGCACAGTCTGCGGGACTAGGGGATTGGCCAAGCATGTACGACGGGCACTCAAAAAGGGGACCAGCGCTGCGGACGTGTTGCGGGGTGGGCCGTCGGTGCATCTTCACGTCGAGTCTTTCGGCGGCGCCTGAATGCCTGAAAAAAACTGTTGCAAGATTCACGATAAAGATTGTGATGACATAGACGACAGATAACGAGAGACGCGGGTGTGTGTAGGATAGCCCTGTGTAGACTAGACGTGTGTATTAACTGAAGGAGCTGGAACGTCATCAGAGATCAAGCGAGAAAAGACGTGGCTGTGACAAAATTATTCTGACGGGTACTGATCCGGGACCCGTGTCACCGGCACGCTCTTGCTTGAACCGTTAGACCCAAGAGCACAGTCCACATACTTGGGGTTGGACGATATCAAACTATCGACTCGCTCCATTTTCCCCGAAAAGGAGATCAGTCAGAGAGTTGGAAAACCTAGGCGTACCGAAACTTATGTTTCCCATCGGGCGCATCTCGGATTTTCGCGGCGAATCAAATCGACAAAGGCCGGGAGATTGAAATCTCTTGATTATCTCTGTCAGGGCAGATCCCCATCCAGTTTTCTCGAAGCGTCTTTAAACTTGTCGATCTCCAAACTTGGCAGAGTCTAGATTGTTCGTGAACTTTCTTCATCTTTGTTTCTGTTCGATCGGTGCCATGCAATATTCACGATGTGCGACCAAAAAACTATTGTAGTGAACAATTTTACCACAGGAACAAATCCGAGAGTGAGACAAGCAGAAACGCCCGGGAATCATACAGCGAAACTCAGACGGCATGTGCAGTTCTGGAAAGGTCTGAACTAGCAATACTGTAGACTGGTCAGAAGAACTGAATCAAATCTTTGCCCAGTCCATAATCCAACTCGATCTCCCCAAAGCTCTGATTGTTCGTAGCAGTGATGAACTTCTGCCCCGCGCCTGTGCCTCAGTAGTACTCGCAAGTGCCCCGATTACGTTCTGTGCGTCCTTGACGATGACCTCCCTCGGTGGGCGACTGACGCGGTTGATCCCGACTTTCGCGCCGACGATCGCAGCTCTCGGGAACAGCGCGATGCGCTGCGCTAGATTCTGCACGTAAGTGTGCAACGCTTGGCTCGTAGGGAAGGCCTTATTGATCCACCCGATCTGCGCGGCGGTGTCCGCGTCGATGTCGGCGGAGGAGAGCACGTACTCAAAGGCGCGGCCGCGGCCGATCGTCTGCGCGAGGTACAGTCCACCGCCGGCACCAGGCATCAATCCGAATGATGTTTCGAGTTGGGAAAGGAGCACTGAGGGCGAAGAGACTGCGAAGCGCATGTCGCAGGACATGATGAATTCGTTGCCGATACCCCGAGTGCGCTGGATACGGGAAGTGAGATAAGTGAATGATGAGCAAGGAGAGCGAGAAACAAGCGCACCCCTTCGACCATCGCAATCGTTGCCTGCGGAAGCTGGGTGACATTCCAGAGAAGTGCCACTGGGAAGGTCATGTCTTGCAGCCCGGGATCGTTGAAAGGAAGAACAGATTCTGAAAGAGATCTCAATCAGCTCGGGGCCCTTCCCGTTCCAAACACCTCACTTACGGTACCCGGGAAGGAAGTAGTTGATATCGATATGGGCGATGAAAAACTCCTTGTTCGCACTGGAAAACACGACCGCTCTGACATCCGTGTCAGGGCTTTGCAGCTCCTCGATGAGATTGGCTAGGTCGGCCTGAACGTGCATGTCGAAGATGTTGATAGGGGAGAAAGTGTTATTGATGACGACGTTCATGACTCCCGCTGAAGTGGACGTCTGGAGGGTTCCGAAAGCCGGATAGCGGGCGGCGAGACTGTATATCACCAACGAGAGGAAAGATAGCAGAGAGATCAACATGGTTCAGATGTGGAGCTTGACTGGAGGAACCTGAGCGCGCCTAGAACCGCTTATATACTAGGGCCCGCATGACTCCTCCCAATCCAACAGATTGCTCATCCACCCAGACCGCACCGAATATGTCATCCCGAACTCTTCCAAGGATACATTCTGGGCCGTCCCCCCAACGTGTGGCGGCGGGGATTGTCCTTTTGTGGACTGCCGAGGTCTTCACCGATGCTGCTCGGTCAATGACAGGCAGCTGCCCGGGAGATGACTGTTTCTGGCAGACCCGAGCAGAGATATCGTGGGTTGTTTCACCTTGAACACGCACTCTCCGAGCACAGCAGGAATTGAACCGTGGGCACCGAGTGATTTGATGGACCGACCCAGTTGATCCATTAATCGCCAAGAACAGCCAGAGGATGAATCACGTGCAATCCCGTCCACTGACAAGCTTGCACGTGCAGTCACCAGGTCCTCTAGTCGCCGAGCACGTGTCGACTCTGCGCCAATCCTATCAGACCTCCTGATCTTTCTCCGTTCTCGACATGTCGCGGGACCTATGTCGCGCGGGTCACGCGACGTCATACTCCGCAATTATTCCGAGCGAGCGGGGTAAAACGCTCGCGTGGAGCGCAGGGCCCGGCGAGGACCATGCGCCAATCATCTCTCCCCTTACTCCTGGTCTCCTTCGCTCTCGCTGCCGCGTCGACTCCGACATCCGAGGTAGTGGACTCGGACTTGACGTTGCTTTTCCAAAACGACCTCGATTGTGCGTGGGACTTCTATTGCAGTGGTTGGAGGCGGGGTAACACCAAGCTTCAGGGCGGACCACGAGCGAACACGACAGCTTCATCCTCCTCTCGCCACGCACACACACTCAGGCTTCTACCGCATGCGCACAGCTCAACGAGAACCTGACGCCGACGAATGGGACCTTCTTCTCCTCAGACGTCCCAGCACTGTTGTCGTACACGGCCTACTCGCAAAAGAAATCGAAGACGCAGAAGTATTGGGTCGCCGGTTCAAGCGCATCCTGCACGACGATCAGCCCTGCGGGTCTGCAAACGACTCCCTGCTCCCAAAAGCTACCTGTCCTATGCAAGAACTCGGCGCCGAACCGGATCTCTGGGCAAACCGACTTGAGCAGCACTTGGCAAGTGAACGTTAAGGCCGGGGATTTGTCTGTGACAGGGTGCGTTCCTCACTGGCATCGGATGGTGGGAAACTCAGTTTATACCCCAGTACCCGCGACCACGTGTCCTTCCGCTTCCTGGGCATCCCATTCGCGAATCCGACTCAACGCTGGACGTATTCGTCCTTGTACACCGGTCCGTCGGAGATCACAGCCCTCGAGATGGGCTCTCCGTGCGCCCAAAACGGAGGGACTGGCGCTGAAGACTGTCTCTTCCTCAATGTATTCACGCCATTCATTCCGGCAAAGCCTAAACAATCCTCCACCGCTCTGAAGCCGGTCATGTTCTGGATACACGGCGGAGGCTTCACCAACGGAGAGGCGTCTAGCGCTGACAAAGATGGGGGAAGCTTGGCGAGCCGTGGAGATGTCGTCCTCGTGTCTGTGAACTACAGGTGCGTTGCTGCTGCATTCGCAATACGCTTTCATGTATCGAACGATCCCCATAAGACTTGGCGCTTTGGGATTCCTCGCGCTCGACGACGGAGTGACAAATGGCAACTACGGACTCGCAGACATGATCACCGCGCTGAAATGGGTGCAGAAGTACATCTCAGCTTTCGGCGGGGACCCCAACCGGATCACCATCTTTGGGCAAAGCGCCGGGGCGGGTGCAGTTCGTGCCCTGCTGGGATCTCCTCCAGCGTTCGGCTTATTCTCAGGGGCCATCGCGCAGAGCAACCTGGCGGGCGTTTCGTACGCCAAGACGTACTCGGATTACTACACGATTGAGCAGGAAGTGGCTGTGGCTGCATCTGCTTTCGTCTCCGAAATGGGATGTGCGAACGCAACGGCGAACGCGACTCTGACTTGTTTGCGGGCTGTCAGCTGGCAGACCCTGCAGAACGCTCCGGATGCCCCCAGGTTTGCGATTAATTTGCGACCTATTGCGGCTCCCTGATGAGGAACATGGATAGATATCTAGTTGTGGACGGGCATTATCTTGTCCGTGACAGACTTTCCGTCGATGGGAAGGGCCCGATCGCACCGAATGTGCATGTCATGTTTGGCTGGATGGCCGACGACGGCACTGACTTTGCGGGCGGATACCCTGCTCCAGGAGAGTCCCAGCTGTCGTCCGTCGAAGCTATCGGGTGAGGCTCCATTCTCCCCCGCCTGTTTTCATCCGCTAATGCGGGTTCTAGTCTGACGGCAAACACCAGCTCAGCCATTCTTGCCTCGGGGCAATTTCCGACATACACGTCCGGAAACGCGACACTCGACGTGCTGAACGTCACGAGCAGGATCGCCACAGACGGTGAATTTAGGTATTTCCTTATTCTCCTGCTGTCGAGGTCTCTTCACTCAACGCTCTCACCAGCTGTCTTGACCAAGCAACATTGCACTCAGCTGCACTGCACAAGGTGTTCAAGTCGGTCTGGGCATATCAGTTCGATAGAAGCTATATGGGCTACGAGCCTATTCCTGGTGTGTGCGATCCACCTGCCACGGCCGCGCACCCGTTCGGAGATCCCTCCCTTCCGTACTTCAAGTAAGTTCGCTCGCGTTTTCGGAATTGATGCAACCGAACACTCAAATCACCTCTTCATTAGATGCCATTCGGGAGACTTGTATCTCGTGTTCGGCAACATCGGACAATCGACCCCCGGGTTCCCCTTCCGCGACGCATTCGATCTGCCATTCGAGCAGCTCGCGCTGGACAGCTGGACGTCCTTTGCGCGGACGCACGACCCGAATCCGGACTCTGCGTTCCTCGACGCGAGGGCGTTTGCCGGGACGAAGAACGCTCTGGCCCAATGGGGCAGTTGGCTGCCCGTGCAGAGCGCAAAACCCGTCAGGATTTTGGATTGGCCGAGTCGGAGCAGTGGTTGGCTGGAACAGAAGCAGTGCGCAGTCTTGGGTTTTCCGTTGGATTATTATGAGTAGTTTGATATTGTGTTCCGCGTGCTTATCGCGCGGCTCTTCTCAAAAGCGCCTATCAATGAACGCGCGTGTCGATCCCATGCTTTCAGCTCGGCGCCCCGAACCCGTGCGGGAACTATCCTCCCGTAAGTACATTCGAATGTCAATTCTACTGACTTGTGCACGCTGTTGAAGTAAGCTTAACTTTAGGCAGAAACGGGGGAACGTACTTCACACTGCGCCCAAAGCAATCTCTTGAGCTCCAGACGAACTACAGCTCCTCGTACTGTCCGTCCTGCCTGCGAGGTAGCGCGTATCATGAGAGCATGTGACCGCGTGACCAAAGAAGGCGGAGCAGCTCGGATCAGTTGAGAAAAGGAACGAAGCCTCTTCTCATCTTCCAAGAACTTGGGTGGCCGCTCAACTTCTCGTGCACGCCGTTCTGCTCCACGTTCATGGGCCATTCTCTTGCCGCGGCCGATATGGGTCCCTGCTTGACTGGCGGCATCTCTTTCGGCACCGCGGATAATGATATGGGGGTTTGAAGGCGAAGTGTCGGCACCGGGATCATCCTTTTCTTCTCACCTTCCACTGACCGCTCGGCTTCTCGAGCACACCTCACGACTCCACCTCCCTGGGCCTAGCGTCATTGTCTCGCGTGTTGCCACCGATGCGAGACTCTTCTGAGCTGGCGCCATCTCTTTCGGCACCGCGGATATGACGCCCGTGGCAACGCTCGGGCGCAAAGCGTGGGGCCTGGCTGTCTGTCTCCGAGTTCTATCCCGCTGAATCATGGAAGAGGAACGAACCTCGCGACTCGACTCGCGTGCTGGTGCATATGGGCGGGGGGAGATTTCACATGCTCATGCGCTGGGCCGTGGCGTCTATCCAGTTCAACGCGAGCGACCGAGCATATGACGCGAAGAGCGCCATCGACAACCACACTCGTATAAAATCCAGAGGATCTCCAGGGTAGGAGTCCCAAGGTCCCATCTCGGTATCCTCCCAGCTTCTCGGACAAGCATCGCTCAAAATGGTCTTCGCCTCTGCCCTCGTCTCGCTCCTCCTCGCCGCCGCTGCTCTCGCAGCCCCGCGCAGCAACGTCGAAGGCCGCCAGGCCCGCCGCCGCATGTCCGGCCCGCGCCTCCCGACCGAGGGCCCCCACGCGAACTTGATCTCCAACGCGACCTCCCACGTCGCGTACAGCCAGAACTGGGCCGGCGCCAGCCTCGAGAGCCCCTCGGGCACGTACACGTCCGTCACCGGCACGTTCACCGTCCCGACGCCCCACTCTGCCGGCGGGTCGGGCAGCTCCGCGGCCTCGGCGTGGGTCGGCATCGACGGCGACACCTGCTCGAGCGGCATCATGCAGACTGGCATCGACTTCAACGTCGACAACGGCCGGGTCTCGTTCGATGGTGCGTTTGTTTGTCTGCATCCGATCCCGCATTGCCCGATCTGAGGCCATGAACAGCCTGGTACGAGTTCTACCCCGCGTTTGCGAGCGACTTCTCCGGGTTCTCCGTCAGCGCGGGCGACGTGATCACCCTCGTTGCGACCAAGACGTCATCGACCTCCGGCCATGTGTCGATCACGAACGAGTCCACCGGCCGCAGCGTGTCCAAGACGCTCTCGGGCAGCGGCAGACTGTGTGGGGAGAACGCGGAGTGGATCGTCGAGGACTTTGAGCAGGGAAACTCGCTCGTGCCGTTCGCTAACTTCGGCACTGTCACGTTCTCTAACGCCAGGGCGACGCTCGCGTCGGGTGGAACGGTCGGACCGAGCGGCGCGCAGCTGCTTGACATTGAGCAGAACAGCGTGCTTACGTCCGTCAGCGCGTCCGGCAGCTCTGTGACCGTTCGCTACGTTTGAGCGCGGAGAATCAATGAGGGGCACGTAGTCTTTACTTTCCTGTAAGGAGTCTACAGCGTCCTCGTCACAAGAGCCAATCAATCGGAATGTATTGTCGAGAAACAGTGACTTGGTGTTTCCGGTCTGAATGAGCAGTCAGTCATCCAAGCCTTGCCGCCTCCGAAGGGGGGAGTTGAGTCTGTGATCCTCTGAATTGCCTATCTCACTGCATTCCCAGGTGGGCTAGACCCCGTGGGGAAGATACCGGGAGAGTGATGTCCGAGGGTGGAGCGAGCTGAGTCTAGAAGGGTCCAGACGTCTAGTCCCCGGGGGGCTATGCCAGTAGCCCACGTGCAGGGTTGACCGCAGGAGAGCCGTGTCCTGATTGAGTAGACCCCGTGGCGGCCACATGTGTCTAGCGGCATCGCCTCTGATCGCTCACGTTTAGCCCACGAGAGCCTAGCAATGGCCAGCTCCCTCGATCCTTGCTAGCTAAACTCTAACACAACAATGTAGCCTTCAAATGATATTCCAAGCAGTTTTTTCTCTCATTTCCCGCAGTCTAAAAGTGCGGAAATGGGCAGGTATGAACGATCTGGAGGTGGAGGTGTCGACGCGGGAAAAGACGGGGGGGCTAGACATGTCCGAGTCTTGTCCGATCAGTGTCGACTGATGCAGGCCCCGTTCGGCCCACGCTAGACACCAATCGCCCCCGGAGGGGCTCCACCACTCGTCCCCCACTCGGGGGCTAGCGGGGGCTACTTGACTCGCCCCCAGCGGGGTCTATCCCGCCTGGGAATGCAGTGTCTGTTTCTCCTTCTCAAGGCAGCTCTGATCAGCAGTAACTTTCCTGCTTAAGCTCTGCCCGTGTCCCGTGGGGATGGCCGATAGTCAAGCATATGACATGCGCTAACTCGAGGAAGAGCTCAGATGAAAGGCTGCAGTTGCCAAAGTCACGAGGCGAACAAGATCTGGATCGGGCACACCAGTGATGGGACCTTCCCACGACACCGCCTCGTATAGCCACTGATGAGCACATGCTGATTCTGTATCAGATCATGTGCATATCTTGTGCAATGAGCCATTGACCACTGCACAACACAGTTCCTCCCAGCACAGCATCCACAAAAAGGCACCCCAAAGGAGGCTCTGGCATTCAGACTTGCTCATCCTTTGTCTCTGATTGACCCCACCTTCTCTTGCCACTGCAAATATTCCGTACAGCACTGCACTGTCAAAAGACCCTGTCTACCCTAGCAGTACATTATCAGTTGCAAATATGTACATGATTGTGTAGTTAGACTATTTGCCTTTCAAGCCATCAAATACGGTCTTGTAGTGCTCTGGTACATCTGTGCACAAGTGTTTTACAAGGTCTGCGCTCTCTGAAGGCTCGTATTTGATGGTCCATCATAGACCAATAGACCCTGTCATGTCAAACTTGTGTCGCTGGATTGGTGTACCCGATCCAGATCTTATTTGTCTCATGGCCAAAGTGACTCAATCCAAGCCATCTTTGCTAACACTAAGAAATAGGTGTCATAGTTCGACCACTTTTTCATCTTATCATCGACGATCTTATCTTATCTTGGCACGACTTATCTTATCACGGATCACGGCATCAGACGGTCCGGACTAGGGGTTCCAGGGATTATCTTCATCGATTCGAGGCTGCGCGACATATGCTCCGGAAGGTTCTACTACGACCCATGACCAGCGTTCCATGCGGTACATAGCCCTATGACTCATTAGTTGTAGATATGACTCAGACTGGATTTGGGTATAAATAGTGTAGCTATTTGGTTGTATTCTCCAGTCTTCGAATTCACTTCTCTTTTCGACTTTGTTCTTGGGTTGATTGTCACAATAGGCTGTCAAAATAGAGCATGGCAAGGGCCAGAGGCTTGTTTGCATAAGTTTCTCTCTGCTATGGAGGCCCAGAACATGCCCAGAAGGCCCTGCTCAGAAGCGAGACAGTTGACATTGATACACAACTATGGCATACAGGACCCTGGAGTTATGACCATACATGAGTGATTGCTGACTGTTGCAATGGCAGATTGCATTCCAGGAATGAGAGTTGACTGTCATAATTTGATTGATGGTCAATGAATTTCAAGGTGAGGTCACACTAAAGCTACACAGAAGTATATGTAGAATGATGACATCAATCAACCAACCACCATGATCTATGAGACTCCAGGCAAGTGGCTTCAAGCCAAAGAAATGGCAATATTCTGAGCATTTGTGCTTATCAGGGAATGCTGTGAACAGCACACCAACGTTTCCACTGTTGAGCACTGGGGAGAGCATCTAGCAACTCACCTGTGTGAGTGAGAGCTTAGTGTAGGCACTATGTGGGAGCAGTCAAACGACTTATATCAGAGGGTAAAAGAGCCCTCCTTATATGTGGTACAGGGGCACTATTTGTGTCTATTGATATGAGTTGGCATGACTCTAGATGACACATGATGGAGTCATATGATGTGTCCCATGACATCCATCTGGCAGATGATAATTGATCAACATCCATCACCAAACATGCTCTCCTTGGACATATTGCTGAGACCATGTTCAAACACAACCAAATTTGTATCCAAAAATAGTGACTTACAGAGAAGTCATGATGTGCAAGTTGCTGATAGGCTGGCTACCAGATGTGCTTTGCACCAACTCTATAAGGGTGTATTTTTGCGCTTTTACAGAGTTTACTCTTGAACCACTTGGTGTATCATGTATATCATGTATTAGAGACATTTACAATCTTTAATTTATTGTAAAAATGATCAAGTGCTTCTCAGTGATCACAGGATCAATCTTCTTAGATATATGATATCATTTGTATAGCCTTTCACTGCCCTGCTGCGTACATAGCTTTTCTGTTACTTGCTACGGAGCGCAGTAATGCTATGTATACAGCCTTCTAGATAGATTATACAAAGGATTCACTCTCTTACAGTCACGGCAAAATTAAAGGGCCCAACCCATATCGGGAAGGTACCTTACAAATCCATCAATTTAGTTTACCATGCTGTATCTCTTCCTCTACCACCATGTATACAACGCGTACAACATTGAATAAGCTCAGGACCGTGTTGTTGAAGTGACCAGATGCGCTGTTAATATTGCGAAGCAGGTTGTTGACGCCTGGTATGCTTAAAAGCTGTGCCCATAAGCTTTGCTCATTGGTCCCTCTCTCCCATCCTCCCTCCTTCTGATGTCTCCCTCCCCTCCCACAACCCCACGCACCCAATGCACCTATGCTGTCATCACGCCAACCAAGCGAGCCATGGCTTCCATCATGCACGATCGGTGTCGCATGTCATGGGCAAAGATCTGTACCAAGTCCCCTTTTCACGAACTGAAGATCAAGCCACGCGCTCTTGCTAAGAGCATGAAGAAGGTTGCAGAGCACAACAATGACTTTTACTTCAACGGCAAGAAGGGTGTATGTGGGAGGAAGAGGACACTGTCAGAGGAGCAGATCACGGAGGCCATTGACAAGCTTGATTCCGGAGAGCTGGTTGATGGCGAGCAGGTGAAGCGCATCCTCTTCCCCAATGTCCCATCTCGCACTGTGCGTCACAGTCACTACAGCATTGCTCTTCCTAACCCTTCCAACTCACAGGTCCGGGACGCACTCACCAAAGCCGGTCTTCCTGGCTTCGCGCAACGACAGAAGCTGCCACTCACCGACAAGCATCTCACCCAGCGCCAGCAAATGTACGAGAAGATCGAGGCTTGGACAGACCCAGAGTTCTTCAAGATGGGTGTCATGATTCTCAGCGACGAGACGAAAATCATGCTGGGGTCATTGGACGGTCGGCGCTGGTGTCATCATTGTCAGGGCAACGGTGTGATGGATCCTCACCGCGTCCAGATTGAGGAACGACATGGGAAATTCAACTTCAAGATCAACGTTTGGGGCGCCATCCATCCCAAGGGTGTCAGCGACCTTGTGCTTGTCATTGACAACCTCACCGCTCCCCAATATGTCAACATCCTGACCTGTGCCATGATCCCTGTCTACGAGCACTATGAGAACCGCCAGCACGCATTCCTGTATTTCCAGCAGGACAACGACCCAAAACACACCTCGAAGCTTGCCAAGGTGCTCTTTCGTGACAACCAGATCAATGTCTTCCCATGGCCCGCCAAGTCACCCAACATGTCAACAATCGAGAATGCATGGGCAGAGCTCAAGCAATGCGCTTGTTCCCACCCCCGCTACAACCAAATCCGGACCGCCGCCGAGCTTTTTGAGATTGCACAGGAGGTGTGGAAGTCGGACTCCTTCAAGGAGTATGTCATTCATTTGTATGAATCTTTCCCTCGCCGGCTGGTTCAGCTCAAGGAGAACAACTACTATTGGATCAACTACTAACTGTATATAATGCTACTATGTCTTGTATAATGTAAATAATCTTGTTCTACGCTCTACAATACCGAATGTATCTTGCCTGATCAATTATATCTACTGTGTTGCTAAACCAGTAGTTTATTGATATATTATTCTATGTTTGCATTTTGCTAAATCTGTGAATACTAGAATACTCTAATTGTTGGTATATTCAACAATTCACAACTACTGGATATTGGACCCATTATATAAGAGTCCCAATAAACCTCGCTCTTGTGTCAACAAGATTTATAATCACAACTTTGTGATTATTCAATAAAATCTATTGATTTTGTTAACAATGTTGCGGGTGCCAGTGTTGTGTTCAGTAGGACTTAAGGGTTTGCTGCCTAGTCAACAACTATGGATGGTGTCAACAATGGCAAGGCAGTCAGACCACTACTGTGGAATTACCCTTATAAGTCTATACCAGACTCAGGGATAGTAGCGACGGACACTCATGTCACGGTAACTTCTCAATAGGGTTACTCTCCATAGAGGGAGCTCATCTCAAAGAGCTTAGCAAGGTGTGACATGCTCAATAGAATAACTACTACTAGAAGGGACTTGGCATTACAAGATTGAAGCAATCTTGTCGCGGCAACTCTCAGCTTTGGGTTGGACGTTCTCTTGGATCACACCACAGCAATGACCTGTCATGGGCCATGTTCCAACTCAATCATAGGGTACTGTGGACGCATGGCAGTGACACTTCTAAGTGTCACAACAAGTTGCGTCCACACCCACACATACCAAAAGCAATGTGGACTAGATCCATGAGTTAAACCATGTGAGCAACGCTTGGCATGCCTAGGACCATGTGGCTTCTTGGGGCACACATGTTGGACTCACTTGCCAAGACAAACCAACTGGCCAATCCAACACTTTGTATTCCAAAAGTATGATGCAGTGGGTTGCCCTGCATCAAAAACACCATATGGACAACAGGGTGGGTCCTGATCAGTCAAGACCTTTCTGATTATTCAACTGTCAATTACCATTAAAAGCAACTGATCTCAGATAGCATAGCTACTATGCAGCTGTACAGGACTTTACTAAGCATCAGCATAGGCAGTATAAGTAGCACAACATTTCTTTGTATTAGGGAGCTTCCCCCAGACTGTGAATCATACCCATATCAGATTGTTTCTCACAATTTGCGTGTCGCATGATTCCCTCTTAAGAAGTTCTTGTGATCCCCCTGCCCAGTTGCGACAAGTTGCTCTCTGAGCACTTGTAGCTACTGTGATTTGAATTTGAGTTTTGACTTGAGATATTTGTCGCAACACCCCATGTTGCTACTTTTGGGATTTGTTGAGATTGTTCCACACCTCTAGCTTGGCAGTGTATTGGATAGTTGTGCTCAGGTAGTTTTGGTCAGTTGGCAGTGCTGTCAGGGGAACCCCCACTTTCATCCGATCATCATGGGATCCTGCATGTGACTACGCACGTGCTATCTGTCAAGTGTCCACATGCTTTGGTCTGGACTTCCCTGCCAAGCACGCCCTCATGACCCTCAGACCTGGGCCCCCATTGTTCTCCCCAATCTGGCCCCTCATTGTTCCCTGGCCCCATATATAGTGGGCTCTGACAAGGAGAGTCCCCAACTCGGTTTCTCTTTGGACTCTCTCTTGTCAGGTTTGCCAGTCTCCTGTATTGCTCAATCCCTTTATCTGACACTTTGGACTCTCCCTTGTCAAGACTCTGAGATTGGGCCTTGAGGTTACCTTTACAAGTGTGTCAACTTGAGAACTCTGGTTCCACACTTCTTGCTTGGCAGTGCATCAATAAGTTGTGCTTGGGTTTTGGACTTTGGAATTTGACTGTTAGTTGGCAGTGTGTCAATGCAGTCTTTTGGTTGTACTAGTTGGCAGTGCGTTGACTTAGTGTTTGGTTCTTGCATCACCATCTGGATGCTGTTGCTACAAGGGATGTTAATACTTTGTATGAAGCTCTAACTTGTGATATTTGTTGGTTGTGATTGGATTAGTGTTGGTTTTGGTTGTATAGAAGACATTGATTGAGACACCATTTCTTGCTATATAAATTCTTGTGCACCGACTCGGTCTTCTGCAACTATTTAATTCCGTGTTTGATTTGAGAGGTCTGACTTTTGGTGTTCTGTCCACCCTGAAGCCCTTGCATCTTTCACACACTGAGAAGCTGATTACAAGGAGTGTGAACATGTTTATATTTGGGTTTACTTTCACAGTAGTTTCACTTGTGAGCATGCCCTCAGCATTTCACCAGTGCAAGAGACCAGGAATTGATGCACTTTGATAATCAGAGATGAACACCAATCCACCTGATTTCTTGTACTTGTAAGGGCAACCTCAAGGCCTGATCTCAGAGTCCTGGCAAGGGAGAATCCAAAGTGAATAAATGTGGTAGCTAGGTACAAGACCAGCATACCTGGCCAGGGAGAATCCGAAGAGAAACCGTATTGGGGATTCTCCTTGCTAGGTGCCCACTATTTATATGATACAAGAACAATAGACCATGCAGCGACAAACAAAGAACAATAGAAACAATAAGTACAATGGCCATCAGAGAACAAAAGGCAACAGAGACAATAGAAACAATAGCACCAGCTGACCATGGGGTTATCAAAAAGAAGCACTTAGTGTAGCAGTCCAGGCCACTGTATGTGACAGCTGACAGGTCACACAAGCGTAATCACATACCAGATCCCAGGCTGTTTGGTCTAAAGCAGGGGTTTCCCTGACATTTAGTCTCCTTGACACACTTCCCAAGTGATTCAGTGGGAACAGGACCCATTCCGCAAAACATTCTAATAGCTACTCTCCATGTGTTCTCTCATTTCATTATCAAGTACACAGACAATGATGTAGTGCTGTGTGATCTGTTGATCAATTATCATCTGCTATATGGATGTCATGATACACATCATATGACTCCATCACATGTCATCTAGAGTCATGTTGACTCATATCAGATAGACACAAACAGCTCCCTGTATGATATATAATGAGGGCTCTATTACCCTTCAATCCAAGTCTCTTGACTACTCCCATATAGTGCCCACACTAAGCTCTCACTCACACAGGTGAGCTGCTAGATGCTCTTCCCAGTGCTCAACATGATCTTCAAAGCAAGTTCTCAAACTAGTGTAGTCACCAGGGCCCAGCTGACAAGTAATTCAGCTCCAGGCATCACTCAGTTTCAAGATAGGAAGTCCACTCTTGTCGTTTTTGACCCTCAGATGCACATGCAAGTCTATTCTGATCATACCAACTGAGATTTTGCTAATGTCTAGTAAAGCTTGGAATCCAGCTCTTTCAATTATCACTTTTGGGACTGATGGCTAACAGCAATTGAACATTTCCTGAAGCAACATTTGGAAAAAATGCAATCAGAACACTATCTGCAACAAGTTGCACATGTGTGAGCTTTCTTTTGATATGCCAGATAAAGAAGAGGCTCCAAAGACACCACTTGGAATGTCTGTGTTGACTCTACCTGCTAGTGCAACACATCCTGCCCCGGGACCAAGCTCTCCAAAGACACATAAAAAACACAAAGGCTTGCTCTCTGATATCAAGAATACTCAGCTTAGTTCTTTCACAATGACGATTCTGAATTGAGCAATAACACAACTAGAGAAGATTCCCAAAGACAAGAGGATAGGGAGTCATCTAAACAAACCAGCTGTTTTCCATGGTCATATCAATGGGCCGAGGTAACCTATTACAAGCAGTCTGAGCCTGTAATGTAAAGGCTGTTGAAGTGAACTCCAGGAGCAAATCATCACTGAGCTGTGTTGCAGACAATATTGCACAGAGAAGATACAACCAGTAGCAATCACCTAGAAGACAGAGTCTTAGCAAGTGTAGAGACACAGGAGCTATATCATTTCTATTGTCATAGTTCGACCACTTTTTCATCTTATCATTAACAATCTTATCTTATCTTGGCGCGGGTTATCTTATCACAGATCATGGCATCAGACGGCCCGGGCTAGGGGTTCCAGGGATTATCCTTATCAACTCAAGGCTGCGCAACGTATGCTCCGGAAGGTTCTACTACAACCCATGACCAGTGCTCCATGCGGTACATAGCCTTATGACTCATTAGTTGTAGATATGACTCAGACTGGATTTGGGTATAAATACTGTAGCCACTTGGTTGTATTCTCCAGTCTTCGAATTCACTTCTCTTTTGACATTATTTCTTGTTGATTGTCACATCTATGGTACAAGTCATAAGTAAGGGTCATTAGATTGTAAGAGAGAATGTATACCTTAGCAAGTGTAAAGACACAGGAGCTGAGGATATGGAGCATATAGTACTAGGTTTATATACCAGTTTGGAGCAGATATCATGATGTCATAGTGGAGTAATGATATCATAGATGAGTAATGGATGATGCAATAATGAGGTCAGGTATGAGGTTATTGTGGAGCAAGCCAAAGTAGTCTAAGAATACTACTTATAATGTCATGTCTACTTACTGCAATAGTTGCTAATACAAACAAGCTTCAACAAGCTGAGCCTTCAGCTCCTGGATTTGATCTGGATCCATCTTAATCAAGCAGTGATGACCTTGCCACAGCTCTGAAAGGGCAGAAGCCACATGGCAACTCATACCAGATAGCCCATCCTTCTTGTTCTGCTTGCGTATGGGGTCAGCATTGTAGATGGTGGTGGTATCGTCTGAAGACTGCTGGAAGATGTATGACCAGAGCCATTGCACAAGTTCTCTCATGTTTCAAGTCAGCAATAGTCGAAATGCCAGAAACACAACTTACACATGATTGGGGTCATCAGGCCTGTAGACACCCTTGAAAGTGCCTTCAAAGAAGAACTTGATAGCAGTGTCACCCCAGTTCATCTGCATATGGTACCAGCCACGCTCCACTGAGATGTTATGGACACTTCAATGAAAGATGTTGGTCTTATCATGACCATCACAGGCCTACCTTTGATCTGTGCCAATAGAGAGTTTGTGAAAGCATCTATAAACA